AGCAACTGGCTACTCTTGATAGCCATTTGATTTGTATACCATGTCACTATCTTTGTTTTATCGTTTTCTCGTGATTTTTAAAAACCTATTGGTTGAATCAATTGTTAAACAAATGGTTATCTTGGGGCTCACTGTAAGTATCATCTGTTTTGTTTTGTTTTTTTTTTGTTTTGTTTTGTTCTGTTTTGTTTTGTTTTGTTCGACCACTGAATATTGTGAGGAGCTTAGTATTCGGTTGAGAACAAACATGTTTACCTCGCAAAATTAACCATATTAGTTATTGGAATCGGTTGAAAGATGTATCATATAAAACCTTTTCAGTCGGAGCTCCAAAAAAAAGTTTTCTCTGTCGTGACATTTTCGCTTTTTAATTTAATTTGAAGCGAGTTATGCGAGTGAGAAACGTCAAAAAAAAATTTTAAGTTTGGATTACTGGTTTTTGAAGCTTAGTTAAACTTTGTTCTGGTAAACTTTGATTTTTTCTACTCAAGCCACACAAGAAAAGGTACTCAAATTGAGAAATGATTGCCACAAAAATGTAAATTTTTGTTTCAAAGTTAAGGATTTGGAGTTTTCGGGGCTACTTGCACAGCAGCAGGCGATTCTTGCATCCGATTTTTTTTCATCTGACGTTTTAAGTGTAAAAGAACCAAGTGATTTTCACTTATATAATTTCTCATAATTTCTTTTTAAAATGTTCTTTTTTTCTTGGTTTCTTTTTAAGTGCAATTCATTTTATTTTTTTGAAGGAAGGCAAACTCAACTATCGAGTAGCGAAAATTTAAAAGTTACGAAAAGTGAGAGTCGGAGTTAAATAATTACCAAGTGATACAGGCTTCTCTACATGAGATAACTTCAAGAAAAAACGTGCAAAGCATAAGGAAATCTTGAATTCACAATGTTCAAAAGTTTTTAATCAATTTGTTTTTGGTTTTCTCGTTGTTTCACACTTTTGCAACCATCTGTTGGCTATGTTAATTTTTGATAGTCATTCTGTTGCTGGTAAGTGCACGTCTGGCTTTCATAACATTTTTTTTATGTGGTACGACAATTTTTTAATGGAATTTTTATGTTGTCAGCTGAACGGTCATCTACCCAAGTGTTGTCTTAGTAGCCGCATGGTAACCGATGCTTAAAGCTTATTTAACGCTGGTGTTGTCTTAGTTTGCTTAAAGCTTAACCGATGCTTAAAGCTTATTTAACGCTGGTGTTGTCTTAGTAGCCGCATGGTAACCGATGCTTAAAGCTTATTTAATGATGGTGTTCTGCGATTATTGTTTAAAACTAGACAATTGTTCAAAACTTGAAAATATTTCATCTGAAATCGAAAAAAAAATAGAAAGCAATTAGAATTCTTGTTTTGCTTTAATAAAAATATGCTTCATCGGAATATTTTGTACTGATTGCACAAGAATTGGCTCTCCTTGTTTCCACTTGTTTTTGCATCGTGCTTTTTATGCTGTTAGCTGTAAAGAACGATTTCAGCGCAATTGTCAGAATTGTAAAGCGATACCCTTTAATAGTTATGACACTTGCGATAGAAAGTTATTACACTATGCAACGGGGTACTAGACTTTTTTCCCGTAAATAGCTTTGTTCACAGAATGGTCAAATTTAGAGGTGGTATTTTTAGATTCAAATTGGTAAGTTTGGACTCAGCTCGTAATGAATTCAAATTTCTCTGCATATCTGGCACACTTGGTGCCAGATATTCAGCTCGTAAGGAATCAGTACGGATTCAGCTCGTAATGAATTCAAATTTCTCTGCATATCTGGAACACTTGGTCTAGTGGTAACGAATATGCCTGTGAGGGAAAAGGTCTTGATTTCGAATCTGTCAGGATCTGTTTTTTTTTTCATTTGAACAAACATGTGGGCTTAATACGCTTGCGATTAGCAAGCGCTATCTAACCGGAATATAAACATTGTTTTCTGGTTAACAGCTAGTTTAACAGAATCACTTGAATCATTTTATCTTTGGTTCATATGAAATCACAGTTCAGACGTTAATTCGAGCATGTGGCAAAGAGGCAACACACCTACCTATAGAAAAAAGGTCAATGGTTTGAATCCGGCCAGGATCTGTTTTTTTTGTAAGTGGAAAATTGTCCGTGCTTCAAAAAATCTTTGTCGGACTTCTGTTTGTCTGCTTTTTTTGTCGACTCAGTTAGCGCAGCACCAAATCTGCCTAAAAGTTGGGCATTTTTACTCGAATTATAAAAATTGTTCTCGTGCAATCCGATTTTGCGCAAGTAATTGAGTTTCAAGAAGTTCTGCCTATTTTTAGCTGTTTTTTTGATTTTTTTTTTGTGCTGTTGATTAAAAGTTTTGAAAGCTGTTTTTTTTAAAATATAAATTCGAGGAGTCTTCTGTGGCGTTAATGCGATGTTAACGCGGTTGCTTGAGAGGAAAAATCTCAGAAATTTGATTTCAGACGGACCTGTTTTTTGTCGAAATTGAAAGTTTTCGAATATTCTAGACTTACGTGTCTGCTAAATTTGTCGGCTTAGGTCCCGCAAAAAGGTTCGGTTTCTTTTTAGCATTTTGAAACCTCTTTGGGAAGTTTTTAATGGTGCAGATAATTTTGTTATAGAATTTTTTTCCTGTGCATTTTTCATAACTTTAACTACAAAAAAAATCAAACGATATTTAGGGTTTTTGTTCGATGTGTGATTTTTTTCATTTACTTGTAATCAAAGTCATACATCCTCTATCGCAAGTGATGCGAAGCTCCGCTTCGCCTCTGTGATAGCTATATACCAATCTTTTGTCGGCTAAGTTGCCACATCGTAAAATGTTTTTTTTTTCGCTGTACGTTTTTGTTTAACCTTGTAGTTGCTTGCTGTTTTGATTTACTTCTGCTGTTTGTAGTTTTACAAGCCTCAACTTCGTATATTTTTCTCGCAGAAAAATGTATTCTGCCCAAATGATTTTGGTCTATATTTCATCGGCTTACCGGCCTTATATTTCGTTTGAAGACCGAAAAATTGTTTGTGTGCCTGTGTGGGTGTTTTGAGGGGGAGGGGAACCCCAACATTTTTTTTCAGTTTTTATGTCTTTTTGAGTTTTTTTTGGCTGAAACGGTTTCTGCTCAGGTGGTTGCGGCTTTTTTACTGTTGGTAAATTTATTTCCGATACTAATGTATCTTTCTGTTGTCATGGCATATAATTATTTCATAAATATCTATTCATTTTAATGAATCTAATTATCTCCGCTTCGTTTTTGTGGAAAAATTTGCACAAGTTTTAAGTTCAAGTTTATGATATAGAAAAAAAAACGTTCGTTTGTTCGTTTCTTTTTCATCTGATGTTTCGTGGTTTGAAGTATGATTTTACTTGAAAGAGCAAGTGTCTTGTAATCGGGAACCTGATTTTTCCTCGTAAACAGCATTTACTGCATATTTTGAACGTGGAAGTTAATGCACTAGGTGCACGTTTTTCTTACAACGTACAAGCTGACATGCTCAAACTCAAATAAAACTGCCTGTTAGATCATTTTAGATAGTAATTAACTTTTCAATTACATTTATTGAAAAAACGTTGTAAATACGTTTTTAAATATGTGGCATGAATTTCAAGGAGTTTCATTCCATTGCTTGAGTTTTTTTTTCATTCAAAGAATTTTTTCTCTATTTGAAAGTTGTTCTGATGCTAGTAAGTTTACCAACCCTGATTTTGAATAATTTCATTCATTTTTCTCATCGGTTAAGCGGGGTCAGCTTATTTTATATCGGCTCAGGCAACTTATATTGCATAAATTCAAGAAGGATTGTTTAATGGTTTGTTTGAGGAGGGATGGGTTTTAAGAATTGCGAGATTTAAAATTTGATAGCCCTATTCTTACGTTTTCGGCGTAAGCATTGTCGACCCAATTTGTGTCACTTTTGTTGCCACTCAGTCATTTATTCCCAATGCCTGCTAGGGAGGTTTATGAACATCATCCGAGACAAATATTTTAAGATAGTGTTTTTAAGATAATATTTTTTCTACGTATTTTAAGTAATTTTTTCAGCTTAATATTTCCAAACCAATCGGTTTTCTTCTTTAAAATATCCTGGCATGCAATGTTTCGATTGTATCAAAAGTTTTGCGTTTTTTTTTGCAAAATTTTTATTCATGAAATTAATTTTTCCGGTTTCAAAAAAAGTCTTATTAGTGAATAAAATTGCTGCTTTTTTGGTTTGTTTTTTTGTCAGATTTTACCATGACAAATCTGAGATTGAGGATCGAATCTCAAGAGCTTGTATTGGGTATATCACCTGCATAAGTTGATACGCCCTATTTTTGGTAGTTTGACCGTTTTGAAAGATTTTCCCTGTTTTTAAAAAATCCCTGCCAAATCTGAAGTCGCCTAGAAAATGTTTAATTTTTGAAATTGGGTCGTTTTTTTGTAAACTTTTTGGTCGACTCAAGTTTTTTCACCTTAGTTTCCGCTCGGTAATTGGGTCTCAAGGTTTTCAAGGTCGTTTATGAAAATCATCCGAGACCGTCCAAGTATAAAAGTTTTGTTGATGAAGTTTTTTCGACTGTTTTCAAGAACTTTTCTCAGCTTGATTTGGAGGGTGCCAGTGTTGTACGAATCCTCAAGGTGGAACGGGCTGGGGCGAGATGGATGACATTCCCCTCCCCCACGGTTGTCCTGCGTTAAGTGCGACCGGTTGCAATCAAAAAGTGAAAAGGTCACGAAAAATTTGAATTGCTCGAAAAATTTGATTTGCTGAATTCCCGGCGGAATTAAAAATTCCTTGTAGATTCAGTTTACTCCAAATGGGAGATCCTTACAAAAATGACCAATCATAAATAGTATTTGAGTTTCGAAAAAATTCAACGTGATTTAATTTTGGTAGCGCTCGAAGTTTTGTAAATTTTTCTAAGTCCGATTTTGAAAATGGCTGAATTGACCGTGACTGAATTGCCTGAACGAGCGATTTTAAATATCAACAATGTAATAATTAGGACAATTACCTTATATTCTGGAAAACATTTTATTTTGTGTTTAGGAAGCCCTGGCGAAGTTCTCTTATGAGTTTTCGCACTGTGATCCCGACTTCGATTTGAGTTCATCTTCCGACAACCGTCTTAGAGACTTCAAACCTACATTCAGATTACCACCTCATTTCACAATCGCACAATCATCTTTTTTGGGGAGAATATTCAAAATGCCATATGATTTGCTCTGGTAAGAATTTTTTATACTGATAGTAAATTCGTTTCAATTTTTGGTCATCTATTGTTCCGAAATTCGAAGAAAACGGAATATTTATGCTTGGGGTGGGTTTTTTTTCAGCCAATTTTCGGCGATCGAAATAAATTGTTTTTGAAAGCGGGGTAGTTGCTAAGTAGATCCGAATTGTTTTTACTAAAAAGCGATATCATTTTTCAATGAGAGTTTGTCGATAACTGTTTTTTGCGGGGCTTTTTTTTTGACAGAAAGGATCGAATATGCGTAAATTTTCAACTAATCAGCGTCCTCTAAGTAGTCTAAGAGAATCGTCTAAAAGAGTCTAAAAAACTCACTAATTGTTTAGCCTGTTTCTTTCAGATTTTGTATTTCTGAATTATGATTGAACATAATAGTTTTCTTCGGTCTTTCTGACATGACGTGTTCCTTTGTTTGAGGTGTCCCTTATGATGTGAATATTCTGCTGATATTTTGTAGCAATGTGGCGATGAATGTGGTTGGACGGCGCATGATCTACCCTGGATCTCTGCAGATTCTCAACTCTCTTTTAAGTGAGTCATTACACTTGCGATCAGCTTAGTGTGTTATTACGAACCTTCTTTTTTCTAACCTAACGCGCAAAAAAATGTTCATTACAAGTGTTCACTCCTTCGGAAATTTCAGTGTATCATTGGAAATTGCATAGCATTGGCTCTCTAGCATAAAAAATGTCTAAAGAGGACATAAAACATAAAAAACGTCTACAGAGGACGTAAAAACATCTACAGAGGACATAAAAAAACGTCTACACAGGACATAAAAACCGTCTACAGAGGACATAAAAAATTGTCTGCAGAGGACATAAGAAAACGTATAAAAAACAGTTGCTTATCCCTATTGAATTTTCTTAATGAAATATTTCTAAAATCAAAAATACAGTCAAATTGTTGAAGATTTGTTGTAACTAAAAAAACTATTTCTTCTGATTTTTAATATCAGGGAATCCAGAAATTATCCCTCAATTTTTGCAATTTTCCCAAGTATCTATTAAGTTTTAAAATCGATCGAAACTTTCATAGTAAAAAAAAAATTTGAAATAATTTTTTGAAACAATTCGTTAAAGCTAAATTGTTTAAAAATATCCGATATTTAAAACATTCTGAATAACCTGATTACAACAGAATTGAAATATCACAATACTTCCAGAATTTGCCTTGTTGTCATAATTCTGAAGCAACGTAACTTACTAAAACTGAGAACTCAGCCAAATTAAGGGTAGATTTAAAAACTAAAAATAACAAATCACTAATTGAGCTTTGAAGAGCTTGATGATTTAAACAAATCGGCCATTCAAGTTTATTCGGATTTATATATTCAAAAAGAAGGCTACCGAAAAATTATCGAAGTCATAAACAGAGGAGCTGAATCAGGAAGTGACAACAATAGTCCAGACTCAACAACCTTTTACTGTACCAGAGGAAAGTAGAAACTTAAGTGTAGGGTCAAGTATAACAGCTCGGATAAAAACTGAAACCCTCGCTAATGACACTAGAGTACATTCCTACAGGGTTAGCACCCCTGAAGAGAAAATTAAACTTCTCTATCGCTATCCTGAAAAAAATGTAAAAATGCGCTATTGTCCAAGATGGACCAACTCTGTTCATAAAAACGAATTTTCCTTCCCCTGATGAATTCATTTATAAATATTAGGAACTTATTGAGGCAATTACTACCAAATTTAGCCCAGATATGGTCGTTGTCTGCGAAATACCGTCAATATTAGCTTACCATGGCACTAATTGGTTTATTGATGAATTGTATATTGCAATTAACGTACAATTCGGTTCTAGTGCAGGTTTTGAGTTGCTCAGATTGAACTCTTTGATAGACTGTTCAAAAAATATATAGGTTTTCATTCTGGGACAAGGTCCACTTCGATGATAATCACGGCGGTCCGTTTTTACGTAATTGTCTTCGTCCTTTCGTTTGTAAATACTCGAGTAACTTTTCCAAAGTCCAACTATCTAATGATCATGCATCTCAATTCCAACTTGCTTACAAAGCGCTTTTTCAGCATTATCAACACTCTTATTTAAACAACAATACAAATCCCTAATAGTTTTCGAATGCATCCCTATAGGCGCCATTTTAACCTTAATCAAAATCAAAGTATTGCTCTCACTTCGGGGATGAATCAAAATCACCATCAAACTTTTACTTTACTAAAGGCTTTCTTCAGTAAACTTAACTAGTTACGTCAAATCTTGTTCAAATTTGGTCTGTTATTTTGTTTTATCACAAATGCTACTAGTCTGTCTTAGTCGTAATTAGTTTATCTGTGCTTGCTTTTTGTGATAGCGATTTACGATGTTACGATTTACGATGTAGAAGAAACAAAACAAACTATTTTACATGGGTTGCCAATTTTTTTTTCAATAGATTTTCTTCAGCGCCTCTCCAGCGCACTACGCATTAATTTTTAATTTTTTTCTACCCTATATCTATTAGATTAGCCACTACTACAATTATTATAATTATTTTTTTCTACTTTGTTTTTCCCAGCATTTACGCACACTCTTCTTGAATAAAACTTTTTTAATCAGGCGACGTCCATCCAAATCCGTGTCCACTTAAAGAACTTCATCTCATCTCAGAAAAACTAAAATACTACAAAACTTTTATTTTAACGTCTTACATGTTAATTACAGAAGCATAGCAAGGAAACGTTGAGACCTGAAATCCTTTGTGAAAACGATTGGTGAAAATACGACTTTTGATTTTTCGGAAACTTGGCTAAATGACTGAAACGAGATAAATTTATGGGCTCTAGATAGTGAAAAATTTATTTTATTTAGATGTGACACATCAGTCGAAGCCAGCATGAAAACAAAAGGAGGCGGCGTCATGCTTTTAGTGCCCAAAAAATTTAACTGCCTTCTGTCGTGTTCTCCAAATTCTTACAAAACTGAATTCATTGAAGAACTTGCTCAGTCGGTTGACTATGCGCAATCACTTAACACTAATATAATAATTTCAGGCGATTATAACCTAAGTTATCCTAACATTGACTCGCGAAATCACTATTTGACTACATAATCAACAATCTTTGTGTAAAAGACCGAGCAAACAAATCAAATTATTTACACCTCCTATAAAAACGAATCGAGGGCAATTATTTTCATAACTGAGCTTGAAGTAAGTGGAAACAAAACTACCTTCAAGCGCAAAATATGATTTAAAAAACTACTAAGAAAAGTTATTCAAGTCAAATCTGTCAAAAAGTAAATAGAAAAGCTTCTACCAACAAAGTAACCCAGCAGCAATGATCAAACTTTTTCAGTGGAAGTATAGTTGAACAATTTTTAAATTGTGCTCAATAAAAGACAATATTTATCCGTAATGATAAACCAGAAGTAAAATTACAAGATAAAATTTTCATACGGCAGTTATTCATTTAAAAGACAGAGCATGAAAAATAGATCATTATTAACGAAACACGAAACTCTTAAAATCATCTGGCAACATTTCTATTCTAAAAAATTCCTTCGGAGAAGTCATAAAAAATATCTTCGAAATGACAAACCTCCGTAACTATAAGCTTTCAACACTAGGTTGCTTCTATGAAATAGGCACCGAGAGCTGTCGTACTATAGAACCACATCAAAACAAATCTAATAACAAAACTCGTTTTCGTTCAGATTTATAACTACCTTAGAGTGTTAAAGAGAACTTCTGAAACTGAATGAAAAAAACCGCAAGGCCCATCTGACGTTTCATCAGGGGCTCTTAAAGATGGTCGCAATGAAACCTACACACGTCTTACTTTTCTTTTCAATGAATACCTGAAAAGCAATCTTTTTCCTTAGAAGCTTAAAAATACAAAGTCACGCCTTTATACAAAAAAAGATGATCCTGAAGTACCTAAAAAATACAGGCCTATCTCAATTACTGAAGCGCTATCAAAAGTGTTTGAAAGCTTGGTATATAAACAAATTAATGTTTTTCATATGAAAATATTCGAAGCAACACTTAATTTGACTTTAGAATATCAAACTCATTAATTGATGCTGTTTTGTTTCTTTCGGAGTCATTTAGAAAGTCGATTGATACCAACAATTTTGTTGCTTGCTCATTATGAGATCTCTGGAAGGCTTCCGGCTCTATGATCATAAGCATTTAAGACAAAAACTCCAGCAATAATTTTTTCTGAACCTGCTATGAACTTGGTAAATTGTTTCAGAAACGACCGATGTCAGAAAACAATATAAATTAACACTGAATCGGACTGGATCTTACTTCATCCAGGTGTCCCTGAAGGCATTGTTTTAGGACCTCTGATTTGCAACCTGTACACCATTAATCTCAGTAAGCAACTGACTAAATCATGCAAAGTAGATCAATGTGCAGATGACAGAATTCTTTTCTGTAACAATTGACACATTGAAACTGCACTTAGAGAACTTGAAAAAAAATGCAGTTTTTTATCGAAATACTTTCGGAGACACCTACTCCAATTTAATGCGGAAAATACACAGCTTATTATCTTCAGTAGAAATCAAGTTTTAAAAGTTGTAAAAATACACAATTGCGCTGGACAAAAATATTATTGAGGAAAAAAATGTGAAATATCTCATGCCTGCGGGATTAAATGGCCTGCGGGATTAAAACCTCCAGTCGATCAAAAAACCCCTTTTGATCAAAAGAAGACTAGTACTCATAAACGCACTCATCATCAGTCACCTACACTATCCTTTCCTCCTTTTAAATGGTATTTTACCAAATTTGTCAATCTCATTAGAAAAACAATTAAGCTGGGCAATTAAAACTTGTGATCGTGCAAAATTTGATTCATCGTCTGATCTTAAATTAAAACTGAATGTCATACCGGAAACAATGTTTCTTCACATGATGCCATAAAACACCTCTTATTGCCAGCTTACGAAAAAATTCAATATGCGAACAATCACATAAACATGAACACAAGAAATAAAAAGTTGTATTTTGTCAAAAGATTTAATGAGTAAAACAAAAACTCTTTAAAAAAATGACTAGCAATTTGGAACATGTTACATGATGGCCAAATCTTTTTCAAGAATATCCTTACTTACAGTAAATCAAAATTTTAAGAATTATTACTTATTTTATTTAAAGAAGATCCAACAGTGGCCATCTATGGAAAATCCTCATGGATTCAGTTAGATTGTGATGCTATCAATTAAGTGCTTAAAATTTGTATTTGAAAATTTTGCTGATTTGACAGCAATTATTATTATAATTATAATTTGTCGTACACTTGTACATTTGAAATTTTTTTTCACCTGGCAAATAAAGTGTTTTTTTTCTGCTTTATTTGTGCCTGAGTGGTTAATGGTAGCTATAAAGCTTCCGTGGCGTAGTGATTAGTGTGTGAGACTCTTAATCTCTAGTTCGGAGGTCCGAATCCCAGAGGTAGACGATATTTTGCTAATTCGATCTTTATTTCTTTTTTTTATTGCACTTTATAGTGCTGCCTTCTGTCGTGTTCTCCAAAGTGTTAGCGAAGCGAAGCTTAGCCTCTTTGTTCAATTGTATAGTGGTGAACAGAAAAGCCATTGGCTGCGCTGTTAGCACTGAAGGTTCTGGTCACAGAACCTTCAGTTGAAACGAAACAGTTAGCCATTTTGATCGTGGCTGTTTATGTCAGTGGGACTAAAACAAATAGGCATTTTACTATGACAAAAAAAAACAAATCGATTTTTGTCCTTTTCGAATGATGTCCTTTTTTGTTACATATGACAAAAATGTGTTCAGGCTACTTAGCACCAACTACAGATAATTGGCTTTTCAAATAAATAACAAAAAGTTCAATTTGATCAAGTACCAACATCGTTTCAAATATTGATTCAACATGAACTTTTATCTGGGCTTGTAATTAAAGCTCAACCTCTGCTCAGAGGGTTAGAAGGATCGAATCTCGCAGACCAGAAAGACCGAATGCCTGAATTTTTTTTGGCCAATCATATTTCAATGTTTGAAGTATGTGTGGACATAGTTTAAAGGACTCTTCGCGTGTTTGTCCTTTCTGTCATGAGATTAACTTACGCTTAGAAGCCTTGGCTATTTTGCCGTTGTGAACTAGAAAACCTTATCATAGACTGTTGTTATTTATTTGTTCATTGCGAAGTTGAATGGAGTTTTGTTTCAGGTGAACCCAGAGATGAAGCTCGTTCCAAATTCCTTCTGAAAGTAAGCGCTACTTGAATAATAGTTTTTATTTGGATGTGTACCACAACTCGGCATAATTAACTTCATCATTAAATAACTGTTGTTTTCTGAAACAAATATTATATTTGAAGATGCCATGTAAACTCGAACAGACAATTCGGGCAAACTAGTGTTGAAAAGTTCATTTATTGAAAACAAACTAAATTTCAAACAAGAAAAGCCGGTTACTGTGCAAGGAGCACAGAAAGTTCCGATCATAGTCTTTAAAAAGATAAAATGATCTGACGTAAAACTATAATTTAGGCATATTCGACAGTCATGGTAATATAGGCCAACAGGAAAGCAGTTTTTGAAGAAAAATCACAAGAAAACAAAAATTGAGAAATCAAGTTTTTGATTCCTAAAATAGCATTAAAATTCTCCTAAACTAATTTTACTCGAGTTAACTAAAATTAAGCAAAAATAAACTATTATGAACGGCCGAAATTAAGCATAAATAAGCGTGCTCGCTCGCTTTACTCGCTCGATTTTTGTCGAAAAATCAAATGGTTCAAACCTGTTTTTCTCGACATTGACTGGAATAGCGACTGAAAGGGCTTCGATATGATATATCACTCAAGTCTCTCCTATGATTATTTGTGGTAGCTGATTATGCGTGGAAAAAAAACTTAAGAGACCTGAATACAAAGTTCCCATTTTTCAAATGGTCGGAACAAAAACAGCCAATTTCCAAAAAACACAATTTCCAAAAAACAGCCAATTTCCAAAAAATAATTTTTTTCCGGCTCAACATGTGCCTGCTCAAAGATTGTCGGCTTTGTTTTCGCTGCTTAAGTTTTGTTCCTTTGCTAATCTAAAATTGAGTATCTTGTACGTTAAATTAGAATTCCGTTTTAGGAACTTAGTGAGGTAGAGTTGTTCTCGCTCATTTTTGATTTTTTGCGGTTTGACTTTTGATTTCTGTTTCAGTGCACTTCCTTTCTTATGTTAAAAGGAAGTCAAACTATCGAACAGCACAATTGTAAAGATCACGAAAAACGTTTTCTCAAATTGGGTTATGTTGTCAAAAAGTTTTTAATCATATAAATTGTTCTACAAATTCAGAGTCCTACGTCCATCTTTTTTTCTTCGAAGTTCAAAAGTGTAAGGTTTTTAAAAAAACAAATCATTTTTTTTTTCAGTTTCCTTGCATTCATTACTTTTTTCCAACTGTTAGTTAGCTGTATTTGATAAAACATATAATATGAAATTGTATGGGATTGGGTTTTTTAGTTTATTTAATTTTGAGAAGTTTTCGAAAATTTTCTCACTCTAGCAAAAGTACTACCGGTTTTGAACAAAGAGATATCAATGGACAGACCGCCTACTCCTCTGTGTGTCTGTTAATTCCCCAGTGCTTTTTTCTTCATCACTGTCTACGGCCTTCGAAAAAGTCAAATATTCCCTCAACGTGTTTTTTTTTGTCTACACAGAAACTACCTCCCAAATCTGAAGTTTTGGGTTCAATGGATCGACTAGGTCGTAGGGAGCTCCCCCGAATAAGCGGCTACGCCTCATTGGTTTCAAAGAAAAAGTTATGGCACTCGGAATAGTCAAATCTTTATTTTTTGAATGTTTTTTTTTTACTTTTCTCGAAAACTACGTGCCCAATTTTGAATTTTGGGTTGAATAAAAAAAACGGTTTTTGCAAAACTCCCCTGCATGTGCGGCTACGCCCAAAACGTATTTACTGCTCAGACTCAATGGATACACCCATTTTTTTATGAATAGATCTGAAAAGTACTATGTTGGGTTTTTTATTTTGTTTTTTGAGACGCTTTCGAAATGTTTTTAGGGAGCTCCCCTGAATAAGCGGCTACGCCTCATTTGTTTTAAAGAAAAAGTTATGGCCCTCGGAATAGTCAAATCTTTATTTTTGAATGGTTTTTTTTACTTTTCTGGAAAACTACGTGCCCAAATCTGAATTTTGGGTTGAATCCAAAAAACGGTTTGTGCAAAGTTTTTTTTCTGTTCACTCTTGTTCATTGACTCTTTTCGAATTATCTGTTGGCTATGTTTTTAATATATATGCAAGATGGAGCTTCGACTATGTATAAGTGTTTCAACTATGATAGATGTCTCCCAAAAAATTATAAAAAGTTCTCTAGTCAAAAACTTTGTTGGTTACAAGCATACCATAATCATACGCAAAACATCCCCCTGCTTATTTAATCGCAATCTTTGTTTGCAATTTTTACGAGTAACTTGTAGCTTTTTCTAGCTGGCTGTCTATTATAGTTGTATCCCAACGGTAACTTTTGAATTATATTATTCTAATTTTTCTTCGAAAATTGTTGTCTCGTCGGCGATCATAAAAGTACCGATTAATGGCCTAGTTATTTCGCCGATACAAAATGTTTTAGTTTCAAGTCATTAATAATTTCTGTGGTGAGCCAAAACCGTTCTCCGATCTATCCAAAAGAAAGTTATTCGATTCATTGCCGAATATGAATTAATCTAAATAAAAAACTGTTTTCTGAGACTGCTATTAAATTCATACGAATGATTCTTGTAAAATTGTTCTGCTAATAGCTGATTAGAATATCACACGCTCGGTCAAGCTTTTTAGTTTGCCATCTGCTAAAGTGTTGATTTAGGGGAAGGATGTAAACTTGATCCTGTTATTTAAACAAAAAGATGGTGGTCCTTTGAATAAAAAATGACGGGTTGACGTGTTTTTTTGCAGTACGAGGGTGCCAGGCGAGTGAAGCTAGTGTCTGAATTGTCTGACGAAGTGGATGCATTTGTGGTGGACAGAAGAAACAAAGACTCTTCGGTTGGTGAATCGCTCAACGGAGACAAGATAGTCATCTGCACTGAAGGCAACGGGGGCTTCTACGAGATAGGCATCATGGCCACTCCCCTCGAGGCAGGCTACTCAGTGCTCGGCTGGAACCACCTCGGATTCGGAGGCAGCTCCGGTCTGCCTTGGCCGGAGAACGAACAGGCATGATGTATTCCCATTATAAAAAAAGAATAAAGTTAGTTTAAACTCCCCTAAATACTTCCTTTTTCAAGGGGCGCAACTATCTTACTTGTACCATAAGGACCATTAACTGGAGCATGATTGTATTGTAGAAATGTTTTTTTTTCTCATTAACAGGCGGCAATCGACACAGTGTACAAGTATGCCAGGGTGGAGCTGGGCTTCGCAGATGAAGACATTGTGCTGTTTGCATGGTCAATCGGAGGATACGCGACCAGCTGGCTGGCCATGAATTATCCCAACATCGGAGCAGTCGTGATCGACGCTTCTTTTGACGATCTAGTGCCTCTAGCATTGGCCAAAATGCCTCAGTTCGCATGTGAGCTATGTTTACAAATGTCACAGGGGTCCCAAGGAACTAGCAGGGTCTTTAATGTAACTACATTGCTTCAGTGCATTTACTGCAGTAGTGATGTCAAAAAAGCACCGAATATGTAAATTACCGCCAAAAAAGCATGTTATAATTAGGTTTGAGAAGTACTTAAACGATTGAGAGGCGTCATTTGGGCTCGTTTTCATATCAATATGACAGCGTATAATAGTTCACTTGAAATTTTGGGAGGATGAGTGGAAAAGAGCTAAATTGCCCATTGGAAAATAATTTTAATTGCTTTCGATAGTTTCCCCCTTTTCAAAGTTGAACTAATGACTCCACGGGGCAATTTTAAAAGACTTACTAAAATGTTGGGAAATAAAAAATAACTGATAAATAAATAAAATGGCGCGTGTGACAGGCCTAAAAAATCGGTTTTTTGATTTGAAATTAGTTCGAAGGGTGACTGAATTGTCTAAAAGTTGGTCCCAGAGAGGCTCGAACTCTCGACCCTCGCGTTATTAGCACGATGCTCTAACCGACTGAGCTATGGAACCTGCATTGTCTTTAGAAGCTATTAAACAATGTCGTGGTTTTTAAAGTCGACGAACCTTGGTAATTTAGAGGAATTGCATGATACAACAAAACCATATTTGCGTTATTTGTTCAAAAGTACTTGAGCGGTACAGATTAATCAACTACTGCGATGTGCAGTTCAGTATATCTTACGATCTAGTGATAGCGAATTGAGTAAATGAACTAAATTGTTGAGAGTAGACTCACTGAATGTCTTAGCTAATGATTTGGAAATGTTCGCCCTTTTTTCTAGTACGTAATGATTCAAGAGCAAAAGGATTTCGTAGGTGTTGTTCCCGTTCCTCCAGTGTTGCTCATTTCATTAATGTGTTGCTGTTTAAGAGCCAATGAACGTAGTTCAGACTCTTTTATATGTTGTTATCGTTTTTTTTTCAGGAAAATCATCAAAATTTGTTCATGCTTAAATTTACATTTTGGCGGTTTGACCTTTGATTTCTTAAGTTCAGTACCTTTCCGTTGTTAAAAGGAACGCAAACTCCACCATCGAACAACAAAAGTGTAACGGTCACGTAGTACATGATCAACTTTTAGTTTCGAAAATGAATTTGAATATTCAGATTCCCCAGCCGAATAAAAGCTCCCCAGTCTTCTCAATTTGGGTTAAGTTTATCAAAAAAATGCCGATCTAAAAGTGTTCATGAAATTCAAAGAGCTTTAAGGCCATCTGTTTTTTTTTGAAATTTATTAAAAAACTAAGTCAGTTTTTTTTTGCATTCATTGTCTCTTTTCCAACTGTCTGTTGGCTATGCATTGACGTTTTTGATCAGTATTTTTTTTTCATTTCAGCGGGACTGATCACACGGGGCATTCGTCTCTTCATGGATCTGAGAGTGTCTGAACAATTGAAGGGCTACCCTGGACCCGTGCTATTCTACAGGAGAACGAGGGATGAAATAATCACCACTCAGATGCACGATCTATCCTCCAATCGAGGCAATGACCTTGCACTAGACCTCATCGAGCACAGGTGAGGTCAATAGATCAATGACCTTTTGGCGATTACGAACAAGAGTTGCATCAATTGAACTTGGTATAGTGTAATTCTGCGATCATTTATACATATGCACCCGTTATCAGGCATCCGGCGCCTAAATCACCGGCCTAAATAATTGAAGCAACTATTTGAAAAGAGCTATTTGAACTAATGAAGCAAAGCCAAGACATTTATTTACGTCGTATGATTTTTCTCACTTGAATTTGTTGTTCTGCGGTTTGACTTTCGGTTTTTTAAGCTTAATTACGCTTGCGATTAGACTTTTTTGGCGTAACAACTTTTTTAACAGATTCACTTGGTATCTTGGTTTATAATAAGTTTAAATTTTTAAGCGTCTCCGGCACAGTAAGTCTGGAGGTGATGAATACGTCGGAGAGGGCAAAGATCCTGGGTTCGAATCTGACCAGGACTTTTTTCAAACCAAGGAAAATTTTGTTTCAAAAAATGTCGGCGTATAATTTGTCTGCGTATGTTTTGTTCGCATATTTGCCCCATCTTAGAATTTTTATGCCGTATGCAGTTTTCATTGTAATTGATTTTTATGTTTTCATTTACTCTTGCAATTTGTAATACTACTACCCTTGACTTCGTTCATTTTCTTTTTCGGCATTTTCTTTTTCGGCATAAATGATTTCGGCATATACATTATCGGCTTACTAACTTAGTTTTGGAACTTTCGAAGAAACCATAATTTGTATGCTTTTCTACTGATTGCTCTAAACGTTAAAACTCCCAGATTAGAATGTATAAATCAAAGTTTTTCATGACACCAATTTTATTTTTGTTTGATAGTTGTTTTTCAGTTTTTATTAAACACCGTCCAATGTGTTTCTGGACGTGTTTTCTGCAAATTGAACAACATTTCAGGCAGCATTTCGAAGTTTTTTTGTGGTTCATGGAAAATTTTTCCCGTTTTCTTTGCAATTAGTGGCTCTCCTTTCCTTTGTCTGCTAGCTTGCAATGCTATTTTTGTGGCATCACAAATAATGCGAAACTCCGCTTCGCCTCTGTGTTCAAATTGTTTTGATAAAAGAAAGGAAAATTTCGCTTTCAAATGTTCAAAGTGCAAATGGGTAATAAAAACACTTGATTGGCTAGTTTTGAAATTGGACGTTAGTTTTCAAGAGTCAATGAACTCAGTGAAGACTTTTAAATTGGTCTTAGTGATTTTTTTCCGTTTTTTTTAGAGGAAAGCCTTAAAATTTGTTGTTGCTCAAATTTGATTTTTCGCGGATTGACTTAGATTTCTTTTTAAGCTCAGTTAATTTCTTTTGTTAAAAGGAACGCAAACTCCTCTACCGAACTGCAAAAGAGTAAAAGTCACGAAAATGCGATTACCTTCTAGTTTCAAAAGTTGATTTCAATTTTCAGATTTCCCAGCGGAATAAAAACTATCCCATTGATCCATTTTTCTCAAATTGATTAATTTTATCAAAAAAGAGTCAAATTGAAATTCAAGAGTCGTTCTTGAAATTCAAAGAGCCATAAGACCTTAAATTTTTTCGAAAGTTGAAATTTGTTCGAAAAACTAGTCCGTTTTTTTTTGTTTTCTTGCGTTCATTGACTGTTTTTCAACTGGAATCATTATTTTGCAATATCGGCTTTTAGAATCATCTTTTGAATTCTCTGAGTAGACTTCAGTATCTCGGGTAATTGTGGATTCATTCTCATCCGCTCCAGTAACTAGTATCAGATGATAGCTTCAGAGCATTCTTTCTCTCCTCAATTTGTTTGTGTTGATCTAGATATCCCCACCTATTTGAAGAGAGTGACGCGTTCATGCGTGAGTATGCACTGGACTATCTGTCTGAGAAGTTAGATGCATCTAGCTGGGGCGGCATGGGCGGGGGGATGGACAGTAACCAAAAGGACCCGAATGCCACGGCTGTCAGCTACAGTACAACACAGTCACATGTGGAGAAGTTCAGAATGGACGAACTCAACTCGAAAGGCGACTGGTTCCCCTCGCAACTAGGTAACATTCAAGTTCTTTTCCATTACCCCCCTCACACACACACATTTGGCTTCTAATTTTGAAAAACTGTAGTGCTTTAAATTTGTCATAATGTATTATGTTTCTGAAAACGCTTGTTTTTCATATGTATCATAGTCGCTTTCCTCCATATCTGAAACATCAGTTTAATGGTGTAAAGAAAAAACCGACTGATTCTAGAACAATTTAATTTAAAATTTGTCAGCATGAAAATTTTGGTAAGCGTCGGAAATGGTGACCAAAAGCGTCATAGATGTAAGAAAAAGAGCTGCACCTTCATCTGTGCGATCAATTTCTTGCATTTTTTTTTATCGAACTTGGAGTTTATCTTAGTTTCTTGATTATTTTCGTAGTTTAGAAAAATTAAGAAAAATTTAGAAAAATTAATTTCATGTCAATTCTGGAACTGTTCAATTTCCGTTCTCTGTTTAAGCTTCAATGAGCGTCGTAGATTTTTTTCGAGGAAAAGTTAAAAATTGTTGTCGCTCAACTTTTCTTTTTCGTGGTTTAACTAACAATTTTTTTTAAACAAGGATATGTCTGCTGATACACTACTACTAATAACAATAAATGATTTGTTCACAAACTAACACTTAAGTTAATTTAATTTGCCTGGGAGATCACCATTGAAATCGAGTTCAGATTAACTACCTAAACTAACTTTGATCGAACAAACTGAGGCTGCCCAATTTTTTTGTAAGATGATTATGTTCATAAAGAGCTCATATAATGTATGAATATATCTTTGTGTTTCAGGTAGAAAGTCCAGCGAATCTGAAAAGAAACAGATACTAGAATGCCTTGTAAGTATATTGAGTTAAGTCATTTTCAATTATGAGTTCTTATAGAACAAATGTTTTTAAGTCATTTAGTGTCTTGAGATTTTTCTTGTTCATTTGTTACGCTCATTTATCAATTTTGACAATGTGGCATCGATTTTTTTCGAGTTATTTTTTCAAATAACAATTGGTCTCTGAGGTGCTGGAACTATTGACCGGATGCTCTCGCCGACAGCTTTTTTTCGGCTCTATTGGCTTCGGCCTATACTATATCGCATTATTGGCCTCATATTGTGTCATTTAATGGAAGGAAGGCAAACTCCACTGTCGAACAGCAAAAGTCTGAAGTCAAGAAAAACGTGATCGACTTCTAGTTGAAAGTGGTTTTTAATTTTGAAATTTTCTAGCGGAATAAAAAAATTACAGATTGATCCATGTGTCAGCAAATTTTCATCCTTATATCTACATCTGTTTGTTTCAGCTGCAGAAATATATAACAGATTTAGCAGATGTCCATTGCACTCCATTGCCAGTCTCCAAGTTCAGAATCCCAGAACCTATTTAGACAACAGGAGCATCCTCTCATATATGCAAATGAAGCATAGAACAGACAAACAGAACAGACGTCATCGATCGTTGAGATGAATGAAAATCCCATGATTTAATTCCATGCATTCGGCAATTGATTTTTTTCCCACAAGCAACGCTTGTTATCAAGTTCGAATTTGAATAAATCCAGTCGGACTGAACATTATCGATTATTTAATAGAATTCAATAAATATTTATTGAATAAAATGTTGAAATTGATATTTGCATGAGAATCTATTACCGGTTAATTAATTGAAATGTTCAGTTCAACTGCTGCTTATGTTTACAAATGAAGGGAAACATTAGTTGTGCTATATTGTAAATTTGAAATGATAAATCTAACGGCTTTTTAAAGTGTTTTCAAGAGTTGAACGTAGTGAACACTTATGTCTCAATGATTTTTTTTGGAAAAAGTCTTGAAATTTGTTCACGCGTTTTTCGTGATATACTATTCGATTGTGGACTCCCGAAAGACGTGACCGACTTCTAATTTCGGAAGTTAATTTTAATTTCAAATTTCCTTGCGGAATAGCAATTTTACATATTAATACAGTTTTCTCAATTTGGGTCAAGTTAATCAAAAAAATGTCAACCATAAAATTTTCCTGAAATTTAAAAAGTTTTAATGCCTTGTCTGCTTTTTTTTCTGTTTTTTTTTGTGTTCATTGACTTTTTTCCAACTCTGTTGGCTGTGTTGAATTATTTCAAAATGGGAGTTTTTAGCTGTCAATAATGCGTTGTTTTCAAAACTTTCTCGTGCTGTAAATTTTCCGTTCTTCCAGTATTTAGACAGGAATCGTAGTGAACTCGTTCTTGATAACACGCGAGAGAAAAGAATTTATCATCCGCGCCAATTTTTGTGTTATTTGTCAATAAAGTGGGAATCTATACGAAGTTTAGTAACGCTTGCAAGCTGTTTGTTTTGGTTCTGCATTATACAGATGCATCATTTGTGTAATATTGAATCGAGCTGATTCAGTGTCAAAGAACGTTGTGAAGACACTTTTCAAAGAATTGAGCTGCCACTTTTGTTTACTATTAATCCAAACAGGTAAGCTACCAGAAGACAGTTTAATTCGAGATCCAGAATACCAGGATTTTGTTTCCGACTTTAGAAGAAAGTGAGAATATATATTCCCGGGATGGGTTTTTTTATTCAGACCGGTTTTCAAAAAGTTGGCAGCGTATGGGTATCGATGCGGAAATCTTTGCAGGTGAGTATCCTTGTACTAGACTTAAATGATAATGGCTTTGCTGCTTGAATATCTTTTTGATGGTTTCAATGGGTGAATAGTTTATGCGTCGCAAATTATCCGCAATCATAATCGTTTCAAAGTGAATTGAGGCAAGCTAATTGGCCTTATTAGTTCGATAGACGACTCTAACTTTAACTCTTAAAACTTGATATTATCAGCCTAAAATTCGTAGTTCATTAACCAAGATTTATTCGAGGCCAATTAATGGGCAGTCGTAACATTCAGGGATTTGCCTTGATCTGAGCAGTCCTGGTAAACGTATAGTTTCTTTTCTTTTTTGATATCCTCATGGCCGTCTAAAGGAAAGCTCAGTTTACTTGAAAAAAATAGAAATTTTTCTGGAAGTTTGCGTTATTTGTTGTTTTTGTTATTATTCATTCTGTTTGAGTTATCTAAATGTGATTGGAACACCGCGCTCAGCAAAATAAGTCAGTCTGGAATATGGGGAAACAATAGAAACTGACTATGCGTTGAAAGTCTGGATAGCCTTTCATAGATACTCTGCGAATGGTAGAAACCACTATTGTTAATGGGTTTCACGTAATTTTCAATATATGAGAGCTTGGAATTCGAGAGAGCTGGGAAATCTTAGTTTGAAATTTTCAGGAGAACAAATTTATCGGCATCCCTTCTTTTGCTGGATCATTTTGAGTTCATTTCTTAACACTTGCGAGAGCTTTTCTCTGACTTCTCTCGCGACACCAATTTTTCCTACAAATCTTTAAGAATTTGTGAAGTTGCTATATTAACGAAGTTTAGCATCTTCTAGAATCCCTCTCACGTGAACGAGAAGAAACGCAGTTGTCTTTATTTCCAAGGTCTGGGGTTCGAGTGTCAGCCGGACATTGTTTTTTTAGCATGTTTTAGGTTGATTTTTTTTGTCTGCGTATGTTTTGTTGGCTGAGTTGTCACATTCGGGAGTTCTCTCGTGCTTTCAGAAATTTGCATTGTTGTTTTTGATTTACTCCTTAATTTTGTAGAAGTTAAAGCAATGAAGTGCTATTATATGTCTTTGGTTTTCCTGTTTTTTTTTTGTTTAAAGCTTTTATTCGGGCTGAACCGTTTTCCACTTTGTTTTATCGACTTAGTTACTTTCTTTTTTTTGTGGCTTCAAAAGCAAAATTTTTTGATCTAAGAAAATCAGGTAGTGCTTACAAAATTTGATAGTTTCTCAAAGTTTGCTCAAAATATTTTTATGGCAACATTTTTACGAATCGATTGAAGTAGTTCGGAGTCTTATATGGGTCTTGATGCTTGTTTCGTTTTTTTCCGGGAAAGTCATTGAATTTTTTCGGTCTCAAATATACGTTTCGCGGTATGAATTTTGATTTTTTTTCAAGTTCAGTTCTTTTCCTTTGTTAAAAGGAAGGCAAACTCCATTATTGAACAGCAAAACTGTAAAGGTCACAAAAAAAGTGATCGATTTGCTCTTCGATAGTGGATTTTAGGGAAAATTTTTTTCTAGTGATCCATTTGTCTCATTTTTGGTTAAGTTTATCTAAAAAAAGTGTCTGATGACTATGTTTAAATATTTCAAACTGTGCGTATTTAGTTGTCAATAAAACGTTGTTTTCAACAATTTCGTGCTAGAAATTTTCCGATCCACCAGTAATAAGGTAGGAATCATAATTAACTGCTTGATAATAACCGGGAGCTAAAAATTTTTCATCTGCGCCCATTTGTTGTTGTTGTTGATAAAATGGGAATCGATACGACGGTTAGTAACGCTTGCAAGCCGTTTGTTTTGGTTTTGAGGTCTGCAGATTTGTCTTTTCTTTAATATGGAATCCAGCATATTAAGTGACAAAGAACGGCAGGAAGCCATTTTTGAAATTGTGCTACTTTTATTTAAGGCTAATCCAAACAAGAAACCAGTCTTAATTAAGATCCAAAAGACTGTTTAAATTGAGTGATCATGCGAGACGGTACAACAAAACCAAAAATAGTTTTGTTGAACAGAGCTGAAATACGACATAGGACGAAAATGACATATCAAACTGTAGCGACTTTTTCCCATTTCGTCTCAACGTTTTCCGAATAACGTTTTCCTCAAAATTTTTCACCACAGTAATTGATTTGCCGTGCAGAAACAAAAACAAAAAGATAAAAACTCGGCTCAATAAACTTAGCTCTGCTCTGATCAAATTTTCCTCCGGGTTTTCCAAAACAATACTTTATATGAGAAATATTGCCAACAGTTCATAACTATAACCACGTTTGTAGTTCCGAAATCGCTAATTTTTGGCTTTGAAGAATTTGTCTTAAAAGTATTCTATTTTATTTGGTACAGCTCTGAGTTTGGTAATTGATTGCCAAGCTGTTTGAGTCTCCCGTAATAGGCCTTTTGTTCCGACTTTCGAAGAAAGTAGGAATTTATTTGCCTTGGGTGAATTTTTGTTCAGACCGATTTTACAAAATTAACAGCATATGGGTATCGACCAGGAAGACATCGGATTGCGAAACGAGTATGCTTGCACTACATAAAAATTGTAATGACTTTGCTGCTCGAATATTTCTCTGATGGTTTTAATAGGTTCATAATTCTTCCAAATTGAATTGAGACAAGCTAATTGGTCATATTATTTCCATAGACGAATCAAAATTTAAAATTTGATATTATCAGCCTAAAATTCGTAAATAGTCAATGTTTCGTTAGCCAAAAATCATGCGAGGCCTATTAAAGGGCAGTTGAAACAGTTGAAAAGGGCAGTTGAATTGAGGCAAGCTTATTGGTCATATTGTTTCCATAGACGAATCAAAATTTAACAGTTTAAACTTGATATTATCAGCCGGAAATTCGTATTTAGTCATTGTTTCATTTGCCAAAAACATGTGAAGCCTATTAAAGGGCAGTTGGAACATTCAGGGCTTTACTTTGATACGAGCAGGCTTGTTGAATAAATAGTTTCTTTTCTGTTTTGATATCCTGATGGCCGTCCAAATGAAAGCTCAAAAAATGATCGTTCAAATTGAAGCTCAGTTGCCTTCCAAAGTTATTTAGAAATTTTTCCGGATTTCGTATCATTTGTTGTTTTTGTTCTTATTCGTTCCTGGTTTGTTTTATCCAAATCTGATTGGAACGCTGCGCTCAACAAAATAACTCATTCTGGATTGTGGTTAAAAACTTATCAGAGTTCAAATATTTTTATTCAAAAGTTTTTATCCACAATCCAGAATGAGTTATTTTGTTGATGTCAGAAAAAATATCAATTAGTGACAGATTTGATATTTTGCTCAAATACTGACAGATTTAAGTAAAGCGGAGCAAAATGCTTCAGAAAAACAAGCAACAAAAAAAAACTTTGAAAAACAATTTTTAGCACATAAACTCTTTAGTATTGTGTTTATAGCAAGCTGAGTTTATAATATCTGGTAAAATTTTGTTTTTCAGTGTTGTGTGTTGCTGGTTTTCCTGAAGTGTTTTGCTCTGCTTTGACATGTGTCAGTATTTGATATTTTTTCTGAAATCAGAGTTCAGTTTTTTTTTCAAAAGTTAATGAAGGAAGTTTTAACAAATTGTTATCTCGACCGTATGAGTTTTGATTACTTTTGAAGTTCAAAATCAAATTCATCTAGAAAATTGAAGTGAAATTACGCTCTTTTATAACCTAAGTGCAGAGCAGTGCTGAAACAAGCGAAATACTTTGTTTTAAAAAAGGATCTTATTTTGAATACGTACAGGCTTACTGGATTACATTCAGGCTGCTTTTTCTATATGATAACTACTTTTCAGTCGTGAATCGATCGATAAAAAAATTCCGAAATTGTTTCTCAGCGTCGAAAATTTTGATTTTTAAGAGTAAAGAAAGTAGTCTTGGTGATTCTTTTTTCAGGAAAAAGTCTTAAAAATGCTCTTATAACTCTAGATGTGCATTCATACATATTAATGAATTTTATGAAAGCTCTTAGGTATATATGCACTTTTTGAGTTCAATTGAAATTGATGTGCTTATAATTACTTGAATAGCACTGTTAAAATAAGAACGTGGAAATGCCGCGAAAAAACGTGAACGATTTTGTTTTGAAAGTGGAATTTAATTTTTAGTTTTCCAGCGGAATAAAAACTTCACCTAATGATCCAGTTTTCTCAAGTTGGATAAATGATATCAAAAAAGCGCCAATCATAATTTTTTGAGCAAAGTCAGTTTTTTTTCTGTTTACTTGCGTTCATTACTCGTTTTCAATTGCTAGTTGGCTATGTTTAGTCAAATTTGGAACGAATAACAGGAGCGAATAACTCCACATCTATTTTTTTTGAAATTTTTTCGGCAAAGTCAGTTTTTTTTCTGTTTGCTTGCGTTCATTACTCGTTTTAAACTGTTAGTTGGCTATGTTTAGTCAAATTTGGAACGAATAACAGGAGCGAATAACGCTAAAAGCTCCTAATAAACATACGTCATTTTTTGTCAAAACTTAAAGAAATAAACATTTGAGCTGCTGAAAACTAGGGCCTATTTACTAAGCTCCCCGCAAAATTGATATATTGATGAGGTTGCTCACTTGGTCCAAAACTGTTTGTGGGAGCGTAGTATAACGCTTCCAAATAGAAAAAAAAACGATACAAATTCTAGGTTTTTGCTTCAAAAACATGTATAGTCGGAACCGGGTATTCTAAACACGAAGTCAGTTTTAATTTTTTTTATCGGTTGGCATTGTTATCAATTACACCCAATTAAAGTTTGAAGGCCTAATTTGGATACTATTTCCAGAAGGGGGGAGTTTGGTTACCACGTATAAAATTCTCATATCCTTAACCGTTGAATTTCGTTAATAGGGATATTCGTTAATAAGTACCTGAGGGGGATACAGTTCGCATAACTTCTATGTTGCAGCCTACTCTCTAAAATCAGTTGGTTTAGCAGATTGACACCAGGTTACCCCATAATGGTTGTTTGATACTAAGGTAAAACAATACTTTCTAATGTTTGGCTGGACTAGTTTCTCATCGCATGTAAATTTCAAGGACAATGTGGTCATTCTTCATTGCACCAAGGAGACGTTTAACGTAAGAGGCTTTGCTTTGTTGAAAATCAATCGGCGTGTGCTTTGTTTTAATCGTAGCACAGTCTACAGAACATTCTAGAGAGTTCGATAGTGCAAAGACAAGAACTCAAGCTACCTTGATTGGCTATCAAAACAGCAATATGCTGTAATTTATTTTTAGAATAATCTAGAACATTCAAAAGAAAAGCGAGCGCGGTTGATGGTATTATTTTACACCATTTTAATTTTAATTTTACTTCAACTAGACGTCACTTCAGATATCGTTTCTCTCTCTTACTGCAATTATTCCAAACACAAGCAGGTCAGTGTAGTCTTCTCTTCGGTTATTTCATTTTATCCTAGATAAATAATTTATTTTGAAACATTTCATCAATCATGCTTCTATTTGATTTTCGGTAATGATTTGAAGATATCAAATAAACATGGGACGCGTTTTGTTTTGACTTGATTCTAGGGAATTTTTTAAAGATTAGGTACGTGTACGATAGTTCAGTCCTTCAAACATACATTTGCTCCTGAATATCAACTTTCGGCCTTGAAATCTACGTGATTATTAGTAAAAAAGAATACTTTTCAGTAGACAACAAATGGACGACCATTTCCCAAATTTCAACGAGGATCCTTTCTTCCAACCATTTGGCAATCATTTTGGCAGCTTTTTTGGCGCTTTGGAAGGACCTTCCAATAGGAGACACAGCGAACAGAGTCATAGGGGAGACAGTTCGGTGGCCAGGCAAAGAGATATGTTCAGGGACCCTTTTGCTAATATGAACCGGATGATGCAGGAAATGTCTAGAGGGTTCACAGCTGGACCAATTATGCCGGATTGGAACCAATTGCAACAGTCGGTCGGGCAGGATAAGCAGTCCTACTCTTATTCTAGCGTCATGAGTTTCAGCAACGCGGGCGGACAAGGAGAGCCGAAGTATTTCGAGGCCACATCTTCAACTAGGCAAGGACCGGGAGGAGTGAAGGAAACGAGGAAGACGGTGCGAGACTCGGAGTCGGGCTTGAACAAAATGGCAATTGGGCATCACCTTAACGACCGCGGGCATATTGTCGAAAGATCGTTGAACCGACGCACCAATGAAAGGGATGAGCGTCAGAATTTTATCAACATGGATGAATCGGAAGCAGGGCGCTTCAACGAAGAGTGGGCGAAAGCCACTGCTCATTTGCGACAGCCCCCAGTGCGAGGTATTGAAAATGGAAATCGCGGTCGACGAAGAATCGGCCACAGAAACGAGCGCCCTGATGACGAGCGAGCTATCGATTACTAACCAATGCAATAAAAGAATTATTAGACATTAAAACTTATCAGTTGAATGGCCGACAAAACATTTTTTTTACATAGATGATTTCTATTTTTGTATTGTTATCTTTAGTTGACCTAACAGTTTTGTTTGTTGAATCGCTGTGTATCGTCGTTCTAGTGCATTCAATTATTTAAGGAAAGCAATAAATTTGATAAGAAAAGCTGTAATCTAGTTTTGATCAGATTTATATAGCGTGGAAATGATGTCCCTTTCCGAATGAAGAAAACAAGTATTATAAAATGAATGGGATTGGGTTTTTGAGACGCTTTGTGACTATTTGAGACATTTTATTGGTTCTGGAAAACTATTCTAACGATTTTCAAGAAAAGGGGTATCAAAGGAAAGATCAGTTACTCCCCTGTGGGCATGCATACTCCCCTAGTCTCTGTTTTTTCGATCATTTCTTGAAACTTAACATCCCAAATTTCAATTCCTTAATCTAACCTCCCAAATTTTAAGTTATGGGTTCAATAGAGAAAAAAAATAGTAGTGGGAAACTCCCCTGCATTAGCGGCCCCTAACAAATTTTTCTTGCACAAAATGTTAACGCCCTCGGAAAAGTCACCATCAGAAATGTTTTGATTGACATCGCGCTCAGAAATTTTTTCGATTTTTTTTACCGTTCTTCAACACTCGAATTTTCTTGACTACCCTGCCATATCTGAGAGTTTGGGATAAGTTCAAGGAACGGGTTGTGGTAAGCTCTTTTGCATACGCCACTACGCGCAAATGTTTTCCCGTTTTTTGAAATTTTTAGACTATCCCAACCTGAAATGTCGGGTTCAATTGAAATTGTAGGTTGTGTGAATTTCTTATGCATAAGGGGCTACGCTCACATTTTTTCCAGGAAAAGCTATGACTCTGGAGAATGTCAAACTAGTGACTTGTAGACCATTTTTGTTTTCTCGATAATTTTTCTGCCTGATAATCTGCATGATTATCTTATATCATAGGTTTAATCATAACTACAGGTTTTGGGCAAAGTTAAACTTTTGTCTGGAATCATTTAAGTAAATTCAAAAAATGTCAAACCCAAACCTCCAGCTTTAGCTGGACCCCTAAGTGTTTTTATCAAGGTATATTTTTATATTTCACCTATTTTCTGACATTTTTCGTTTGCTGTTTTTTATGTTGGCGTTATTCGTTGTTTCAGCGGTAAAGTGCGTGCCATGGGATTTTAAAGTTTGGAGTGCGAATCCTGGTCGGATCTTGTTTTTGTTTGATGTATGTAATAATTTTACTGCAATTTAAGCATATCAGCATTAAAAGTATACGACCTCGGAAAAGTCACCATCAGAAATGTTTAGATTGATAATGCCCCCAGAAAAGTTTGATTTTTTAAACCGTTTTTGAAACTTTTCGACTATCCCCCAACCTTACTTTTCGGGTTCAACAGACACTGTAGGTTGCGTGAATCTTAGGCATAAGCGGCTAGGCCCACATTTTTTCCACAAAAAGCTATGACTCTAGGCAATGTCAAATTTCTGACTTGTAGACCATTTTTCGTTTTTTTTTTCGATAATTTTCCTGCCCAATCTTATATTATAGGTTTAATGAAAACTACAGGTTTTGGCCAAAGTCAAACTTTTGTCCGGAATCAGTCTAGCAAATTCAAAAAATATCAAACACAAACTTCCAGCTTTAGCTGGGCCCCTAAGTGTTTTTATCATGGCATATTTTTTTTATTTCACCTATTTTCCGACATTTTTCATTTTCTGTTCTCAAGTTTTTTTATGTTGGTGTTATTCGTTGTTTTAGTGGTAAAGTGCGTGCCATGGGATTTTAAAGTCTGGAATGCCACTCCTGGTAGGAACTTGTTTTTGTTTGATGTATGAAATTTATTTTATCTGGGTAAGTTTGATTGGTTGGACTATCGTTTGTCTGCTTTAATTCTGCTAATTAAGCAATTTTCACTGCAGTTGAAGCCTTTTTAAAATATAATTTAAGACTTGTGGTGAAATTCTTAAGCTGTTTGAACAAATAATGTATAATTGAAAGTCTGAGTAATTTGCGAGCGAAAACTTTGAAGAGTCATGAATTCACTTAACACTCTTGTATAGGTAATGATTTTTTCCGCTTTTTTTTAAATTTTACTTCCTTTTCTTTGTTGAAAAGAAAGGCTACTTACTCCACTATCAAACAGCAAAAGTGTAAAGACCATAAAAAACGCGATCGTTTTCTCGTTTTTTTTTTTTTCAGTTTTCCCAGCGGAACAAAAAGTATAGATATAGTTTTCTGAAATTTGGTTATTTTTATGAAAAAAGTATCAATCATAAGTTGTTCTTAAAATTGAAAGTTTTGAGGCTTTAAATATAATTTTTAGAAATCCGAAAGTTGAATTTTTTCTAAAAACAATTCAGAATTTTTTCTATTTCCTTGCGTTTATGTCTGTTGGCTATATTTAATAATCAAGTCCTTTCGGCTTTCTTGTTAATCGAAGTTTTTCCAATTTTCTATTTGCTGTTTTTGAAAATTGGCTGATTTTTTTTTGGTTATAAGGGAGTTAGTGCGTAAATAAGAATCTTTTTAGAATCTGTTTATGCGATGAGTGACTGATTCCTGGACCTCAATGACCCTCATTTCTCCTGAAACTCTTTTCGAATCCATAATTTGTTTTTTTTTAGTGTTAACCACCGACGTACCGTTTTACATATTCCTGTCGTGTGGTATTTTGTGTACAAAGTTATTCATACTCAGATTCTCTTGCTAACTGGAATGCGTATAGCGCTTCAAAATAAGAAAAGCTATATTAGTACTTCAATAGAACTTGACAGCGGAATAAAAATTTACCTATCACAGTTCAGTTTTCTCGAATCGTTTAGTTTTTTTAAATAAAAATTTTTTTCATCTGTTATCTAATTAAATGCGGGCTTTACTATCTTTTCATGTTTAAGCTTCATAAATTTATTAGTTTTGCATGGTTAATGGAAAGTTTTTTTTGCACGTTTAAGCTATATGGAATAATGCAATGCATCAGAAATTTTTCGCTTTTCTAGCTTGAATTTAGGCTTTGTTTCACAAATTTGGAGTTAGCAACACAAAAGTGGGATGCTGTCAGGGCCTCCAATTATGAAAACACAAATATTTTTTAGTTTAGGAGGTACAAAGATTCTTGTGATTTGTTTAAAAATTTTTCACAAAACGCCAAAAATTTGGAAATTCTTAACCCTATAGTTGGGCGCTGTCAGGGTACTCCTCTCAGGGCAATTGTATACTGTCGGTCTAGGGTTTTGTTCAAGTACACTGTTAAGGGTTTTATTTTAAATAAATACTTTTCAATTTTTGAAATTGCCGACCCTTTGGCGGGGTGTTGTCAGGTTACTGCCTCTCACCCAATTGTTTTCGCTCAAATTTTTTCATCGTTTTTACAATAAGTTGAGAAAAAAGAGTCTGATATTACGCTGGATTAAGAGCCCCATTTGTGAATATGATGATTTTGTTATCGAAATTGTTTCAGTTTTTTTATTTATGAAAGGGCAGTTGTATGCTATCGGTCGTTTTAGGGTTTTGTTCAAGTATACTGTTTAGGGTTTTAGGGGTTTATTTTAAATAAATACTTATCATTTTTTGAAATTGTCGACCCTTTGGTGGGGTGATGTCAGGTTACTGCCTCTCACCCTATTGTTTTCGCTCAAATTTTTTCATTGAATATACAATGAGTTGAGAAAAAAGAGTCTGATATTACGCTGGATTAAGAATCCCATTTGTGAATTTGATGATTTTGCAATCGAAATTGTTTCCATTTTTTTAATTATGGAAAGGGCAGTTGTATGCTGTCGGTCGTTTTAGGTTTTTGTTTATAAAGATCTGAAACCCAGTAACTTCGAAGATTTGACCATTTTAATTTAAGAAGTTTCAGATTTCATGTTCGCTAATCTGTTTGAAGCACCGGAGGTGCTTTACAGTTAGTTATAAATATTTTTTTGTTCAGAAAGGTTTAAGGTGATGATATATTGTTTCTATTTCAAGCTCAAAACTTTAAATTTTAATTAAAGTTTTTTTTTCAAGTTTATTGTTCCGACTTTCGATACGAAAGTAACGGAATATTTGTGCTCGCGGTGGGTTTTTTTTTCTTCAGACAATTTTCGACTTTTTAACAAGCCATCCTTGACGGAATTTTTTATATCATTCAAAAGGTATTGTTATCCTGAGCTTAAATTTGAAAAGATATTTCAACAGTGATTATTTTTCGTAAAGTTATGAGGGTTTAAAGATTGCCATTTTGGCCATTTTGACCAATTTGGGACAATTAACGCGCGATATAATTCGCGCTATTAACGCGTAAGCGGAGATGTAACTCGTCTTATAAATCGTTCCAAATTGGTTGAACGAAGCTTATTTACCATAATTGATTTGTTACAAGGAACGAAATCTCTCTTTTTGTACTTTATATGGCGTGTGGGGGGATGATTTTCATGAAAAACTTCAAATTTTTGAAAAAAAAAATTCATTTTGTTTAATTTAATTTTTTTATGCTATTACTGCTGCTCCTTAAAAGGCAGTCGGAACATTCAGGGCTTCGCCCTGATACGAGCAGTCTTGTTGGCTTTTTGAAATTTATTTCTTCAAGTTTATTGGAATTTGAAAGTGGGATATTACGCTGGATTAAGAGCCCCATTTGTGAATATGATGATTTTGTTATCGAAATTGTTTCAGTTTTTTTATTTATGAAAGGGCAGTTGTATGCTATCGGTCGTTTTAGGGTTTTGTTCAAGTATACTGTTTAGGGTTTTAGGGGTTTATTTTAAATAAATACTTATCATTTTTTGAAATTGTCGACCCTTTGGTGGGGTGATGTCAGGTTACTGCCTCTCACCCTATTGTTTTCGCTCAAATTTTTTCATTGAATATACAATGAGTTGAGAAAAAAGAGTCTGATATTACGCTGGATTAAGAATCCCATTTGTGAATTTGATGATTTTGCAATCGAAATTGTTTCCATTTTTTTAATTATGGAAAGGGCAGTTGTATGCTGTCGGTCGTTTTAGGTTTTTGTTTATAAAGATCTGAAACCCAGTAACTTCGAAGATTTGACCATTTTAATTTAAGAAGTTTCAGATTTCATGTTCGCTAATCTGTTTGAAGCACCGGAGGTGCTTTACAGTTAGTTATAAATATTTTTTTGTTCAGAAAGGTTTAAGGTGATGATATATTGTTTCTATTTCAAGCTCAAAACTTTAAATTTTAATTAAAGTTTTTTTTTCAAGTTTATTGTTCCGACTTTCGATACGAAAGTAACGGAATATTTGTGCTCGCGGTGGGTTTTTTTTTCTTCAGACAATTTTCGACTTTTTAACAAGCCATCCTTGACGGAATTTTTTATATCATTCAAAAGGTATTGTTATCCTGAGCTTAAATTTGAAAAGATATTTCAACAGTGATTATTTTTCGTAAAGTTATGAGGGTTTAAAGATTGCCATTTTGGCCATTTTGACCAATTTGGGACAATTAACGCGCGATATAATTCGCGCTATTAACGCGTAAGCGGAGATGTAACTCGTCTTATAAATCGTTCCAAATTGGTTGAACGAAGCTTATTTACCATAATTGATTTGTTACAAGGAACGAAATCTCTCTTTTTGTACTTTATATGGCGTGTGGGGGGATGATTTTCATGAAAAACTTCAAATTTTTGAAAAAAAAAATTCATTTTGTTTAATTTAATTTTTTTATGCTATTACTGCTGCTCCTTAAAAGGCAGTCGGAACATTCAGGGCTTCGCCCTGATACGAGCAGTCTTGTTGGCTTTTTGAAATTTATTTCTTCAAGTTTATTGGAATTTTGAAACCATTCGGATGATTTGAATTCAATTCAAACTATCTTCGGCTGCTTTTTTCCCCATTTCTCGCGATTACTGTTTCATAGCAATCGGGTTTATTCGATTATTTTTTTCTTTTATCGCTTTTAAGAAAATTGCATTAGTCTTACTGCAATTTCGTATTTCTTAGCACAGTGCAAACTAGTTTTTCATCTTTTTGTAGATGTGAATATGCCTGTCGAGTCAATCAAAGTTCTCACTTTAAACTGTTGGGGTATCATGTATGTCTCAAAAAACATCAAGGAAAGGTTTGAGGCGATTTGCGATCGACTCAATGACAACGACTATGACATTGTTGGTCTACAGGAAGTTTGGACTCAAGAGCAGTACAACATGATCATAGATAAATGCAGTGAAGCCTTGCCTTATAGTCATTATTTTCACAGTGGCATGATCGGGTCCGGACTCTGTGTTTTCTCAAAGCACCCGATAACCCATGCAATGACCCTTCCTTATTCGCTTAATGGACGTCCCAATGCAATTACCCACGGAGATTGGTTCGCCGGAAAAGCTCTTGGATTTTGTCGAGTCCATTTCGAAGACTGGAACCGTCAGTATGCGTTTTTAGTCACTCATACCCATGCTGAGTACAGTTACAAACACTTGAAAAAAGAGTACAAGTTTCACCGAACAGCTCAATTCTGCGAGCTGGCGATGGCTGCTAATAATTTTACCGATATAAAATCGATTAGTGGGACTATTTTATTGGGCGACTTCAATTGTAGACCGGACGGCTTAGGCTATAAAATAATGAACGCAATAAGTGGTATGAACGAAAGTTGGACTTCGCTTCATGGGGATGAAAATGACGTCATTGCCACGACTAGTGATCGACCCGACAACTTGTACACGAAACGACACCGAGCCGACTACGCGTTCCCGAACGGGCAACGAATCGACCAGGTTTGGTTCTCGGGTAAACTTAAGCCGAAAGAGTGTCGCATTAGACCGTGGGGTCATGAAATTAAGCCAAATTCAAACATTCCATTTTCAGATCACGAACCGGTTCAGGTAACTTTTGATTGCATATCAGAAGATGCTCAAAAATCCGAAGTGAGCGCTGAACAAATCGAAGCTTTGGGAGCTGAAGTTAGTGAAATCTTCCGAAATGGCATGAACGATTTGAATAAATACCAAGTATGGGCAGTGATTATTCTTGGACTACTTTGCGCAGTATTGTACGCAGATATATGTTTCGTAGTTCTCCCATTTATGTTGCAGTATATGATAGCACTGTTGTTGATCGTAGTGTTGGCGTTTTATGTTTTCCAATTGATGTTCACCATTCCTTGTGAGGTGAACAAATGTGTAGGAGCTATTGCAAATGTGGCTACTTGGCCCTCAAACCCACAAATTTTGCGCCACAATAACTCGAATTAATTTGGCACAATAGAAACAATCGTATATATTATTGCCAGAGGAGGTTTTCAAATTATTTAAACCAAGTTTTAGAAATTATAATAGATTATAGATTATTATAAGCCAGTAGAATTTTTGAACCGAATCTTCTTGTTTCATTGTGCGTGGTTGGCCTAATTTGTGGCCTAGTTAGGTGATGTGTCTCAATTGTCTCTGAGATATGAAGTTTGATTCACAACCTGGGACTTAATTTTTTCGATGTATCGCTGTTTTGTCTGTGTTTCGACTGCTTTGGCTCACAATTATTGTCGGGTTAGTCCTTCTAATGTTCGTTTTTCAATATGGCTGTTTCAATCCAGAATAAATTTTATATCTAGGATTGGTATAACCATTGTATATATAACGAACGAACCGTAAAACTTATTTTATTGTCTTAGTCGGTTTTTGGTTTCCAAATAGTAAATTTGTTTGTGCAAAGGGTCGGATGTAGAGATGACGCCCCTTTCAGGTTTTCGACACCCTCATCATCCAAAAGGGTACCCATTTCGTACTATTTTACGACATCCATTTTCGGCCGGCCGGCCGGCCGGCCGACCGACCGTGAAAGTTTTGTGAAATTATTTACTAATTTGAGGGGGACAACAAAACAAATTCGCCAAAAATTTTCATAAATCCACCCATCCTCGAGAAAATCGTAGATCCTGCCATTCGAGTGCCGCTATTTTTGAAATGACTGTTTCTTGATAAGTTTTTTTAAGTATTTATGGTCCTTGCTTTTCGCAACAAAGTACGAGCGTTTTTGCAGACAAATCGTTCACTAGCGTTGCTCTTTGATTTGGTTGTAATACTTTTGTTTTTTGTATCATTCCCGAGTATATGACAAAAAGCAGACATAAAAAGGGTGTTTAACGAGTAGCCTGGAATTTTTCTTTTTAAAAGTTGATTTTCAGTCGAAACTTAAGTTAGTATGCCATTTTCTGGTTTTCGTCCATTGTTTACTGATGCGGTTAGCAAAGAAATTGTTACGGTTTCTAGAACTTTTCACCGTTGAATCTTTGTTCAAATAATGGCGAGATTGGAAAATGGTAAATTTTCTAATGTGCGATCGTTTAAGCTATCTAGTTGGGGGTATTTAGGCGTGTACATTAAGTGTTCTCGTAAAAAAAATTTTGTTACTTCGACAAAATTTTGGTGGGTTTTCGAATTTGTGGGTGTCGATTTATATACCTTGTCTGTTTTTTTCTGTAAAAATTTTTGGTGGTAGTTTTTGAGCCTGATTTAACCCTTACAATAAAGGTTAGAAATTCAGAATCAACCTTAAGGATCCTCCTCAAAAATTTTTTCGCAATAGTTATTATTGTTGAACTCATTATGCGATTTAGGAGTCACTAAACATAGTGAAGACTTTTTAATAAGTCTTGGTGAAAATTTTCTTAATGAGGAAAAGTTTTAAAATGCTCTAATAACTTCAGATGTGGATTCATACATATTAATGCATTTATTAATGCACTTAGATATATATGCACTTTTTGAGTTTAAATCAAATGCATCTGCTAAAAGTTAAGTAAATTGCGCTCTTCAATTTCGAAAAAGGAAGTGGCGCAAAAAAACGTGAAAGACTTCTAGTTTTGAAAGTGGATTTAATTTTTAGATTTCTCAGCGGAATCAAAAAATAATTCTTTTTCCAGTTTTCTCAAATCAAGTAATTTTTATCAAAAATTGTCGATCTCAAATTTGTTTTGAAATTACAAGAGCATTAAGGCGACCTAAGCATTTTTTTGGAATTGATGTGATTTTAATTCAAAAATCAGTCAGTTATTTTGTTTCCTTGGGTTCTTTGATTTTTTCCAACTGTCTGTTGGCTACGTTTTCAGCGACCAGGTGTTTTTATTCTATAGTTTTGCAAGTAATTAATTGCGGGAATGGCTTTCTGCGCAAATTTTCCAGCATAACTTTTGATTATTTTTTTTCATTGCTCAATTTTCGTCAAGTTGATTTCATAGCTTTCTAGCCTATACAATTATTAGTTGATGTATGTAGTTCAGACTTTTATTTAGATCGTGATTATTTCTCCGTTTTTTAAGAAAAACTCTTAAGTTTTGTTCAGGTTTATTTAAGTTGTTAAAAGGAAGGCAAACTCCGCGATCGAACAACAAAAGTGTAAAGGTCACGGAAAACGTGATCGACTTTTAGCTTCAAATTAATTTTAGATTTCCCAGAGAAATAAAAATTTTACTAATTGATCCAGTTTCTCAAATTGGGTAATTTTTATCAAAAAGTTTCAATCATATTTTAAGCTGGAAATTCAAAAAGCTTGAAGGCCATAATTGTTCTTGAAATTCAAAAATTGACAGATTTTTTAGATATTTTTTTCGTTTAATTGGTGCATGGACTCTTACCCAACTGTCTGGGCTGTTTTGAATCAGTAACTGCCTAAATTGATGGAATGGGATGTAGCAAGCCTGAAATGCTATCAAATAATAAAATACTTTGATCTTTGAGATAATTTTTTATGAAAGCTTACCGTTTTGAAATCTAATCTCAAATGTTTTTCGCTTTCTCATAGTTCACTTGTTATCAATCTTATTCTGCAGATGCATCAAAACAAAATACAAGGAAAAACTTGAAAGGTAAAACTTTTTTTTTGCAATATGTTTGTTACAATGTTTCAGGCTTTGGAAAATGCTATTCAAATCGAGGCACATAAACTGTTGAGTGTGCCGTGCTGGAACTGCTATGCTGAAGGCATTCGCCGGCTGCTGCGATCGCTCCCCGCACTTCCTAGTAGGGAGTAAGAGGAAAGCGAAAGGACTTCCAGATGACAGTAACACAGAAGTGCTCTTCCCCTCAATTGCCTCATTCAAGGCCCATCCACAGAACGTGAACTGTCTTGTCGCTTTCAAACCTCGCAGTATTGACGTTGAAAAAGACGAAAAGAAATTGAAAGAAGATAGTGCTGAGCAGTTTGATGATATTGCTCTGAAGGATCTTCCGACTTGTGAGATTTCTCTTAAGAATGGTCTACGTGATAGCTCCCTGGGCTCTGAGGGGGAGGGGGTTTTGTTGGCATCGTGTTCGGACACGATAAAGCTGTTCAACTCTTCTGATTTTTCACCCGTGGCTACCCTGGATAACGGTCACGAGAGAGATATCAAATGCATAGCAGGTACGCGAAAGACACTTTAGCTGGTTTAATAGGCATTCAACTGTTTCGGTTCCGTCAAACGGAAACTCATAACAATTTCAGACTTTGTGTTTTGTCACGTAGCGCGAGATTTTTTTCTCCCAACATTTAAATCAAGAGATATGCATGAAAGAACTGTAAAGAAACTGGGTTGTTGTCCGATTTGTTTTTTTTTGTTGAGTTCAGTGGTATGAATTGCAAAGCAGTTTAGTCTTCATGCTTTGGGAAAATTCTTTTGAAATCAAGGCGATGTAGTGCCGCAGACAATTGTTTGTAGCAGGGCTGGAAAATATTTGAAAAAACGGTGTTTCAAATTTTTTGATTACTCTCTTTTTTACGCTAGCGAGCAGCTAGCGTTTTAGTGCGAACCTTTTTTTTCTAACCTAAACAGCAAATAAAAGTGTTCGCTTGTTTGCCTTTTTGCTATAATCTTGATCTGTAGCATTGGAAATTTCATAGCATCTGTTCTCGTCTTAATTAGTGGATAGAGTTTGTGATGGACTCAGCGTCCGTGGCTGAGTGGTTAGTGCGTGAGTCTCTAGGTCGCGGTAGGGCGTAGGTTCGAGTCCTAAACGTCGCGGAACTTTTACTAATTCGAGGCTTATCTTTACTTTTTCTTATTGCACTTTTTGGAGCTCTGTGTTAAAGTTAAATCTGAAACTTACAAATGTTTTTATTATTATGTTTTAGGATACTTAAGATGTGTGTTTCATCATTAAGTGTTGCTTGATGATTTATTTTTTTTCAGGACTGACTTCTAGTTTCAAAAAAGGACTTGGAAATTTTCTGAGTTCCCAGCGCAATAAAAATTGCCTATTGGTACAGTTTGTTTAAAATGGGATAACCTTTAAGAAAAAAGTGGCAATCTTGAAAGAGGGTTAACGTGATATATGTTTTTTTTCCGAACTTCGAAAGTTTGCAAAATTTTTTAACTTTTTTTTTTCGGTTTCTCTGTTCTTTTAATCTTTTCCAACTGCTTTTCGATGCCATGCTTTATCATTGATTTTATTTTCGATGCCATATTACTAACTTGTTTTTGGTTTCAACAGCTTCAGAATGAGTTTAAAATTTTCTGAAAATTTAGGTTTTCAGCATTTCAAGCGTAATGGTCACCTTTTGTATGACTCAAGTTTTTTTCGAATTCCTGGTTTGTAGCTAGATTTGCATCCTTACTTTTTTGAATACTATTTGTTCATCGGTAAAGTTGCTGGTCTCTTACGAGTCTCTTTTTTATAATTATATTAATATCGTGAGTTGAAATTTTACGGACAAAGAAATACAAGAAAAAGAATTAAAAAACTCAAACAGTTCTTTAATTCAAAAATTTAACCAAGCTGTATTAGTTTAGGAAAAAGAAGATTTCCGCGTGATAGATATAAAAAGAGTTTTTTTTCGCAAAAATTCAGAAAAAAAAACATTTTTTACATCAACTAATGAAAGATTAATATTTCCAATTATAGCACGGTTGCGGATCTCCAACCGTTATCAAATTGGAACTTAGCTTTTTTTCCAGGTAATCAACTTAACTCAATCTCTGAATGGTTTTTTCAAAGCTGCATTTTCGTCAAGCAACGGACTTTTCATACTCCAGGCACGTCTGCATTTTCAATGCCCATTCAATTCGAAATTTATTTTTAAGAGTAGATGAACGTATCTGAAACTTTTATATAGATGATTTTTGTTTTATTCTTATAACATTTATTCTGATAACATTTATTCAGGCTTAAATTTATTATTTCGCGGTTTGATTTTGGATTTCTTTTAAACTCATTTCATTTCGTTGTTAAAAGGAAGGCATACTTCGCTATCGAACAGTGAAAGTATAAACATCACGAAAAACGTGATTGACTTCTAATTTCGAAAGTGAAATTTAATTATCGAACTTCCCAGCGAAATAAAACTTTTACCTATTGATCCAGTTCTATCATATTAGGTTAATTTTATCAAAAATCTGTGAGTCATAAGTTGTTCCTGAAATCCGAAGATCTTTAGGGACATCTATTTTTTTTCTTTGAAACTCGAAAGTCAGTATTTTTCTCTTCACTTGCGTTCATTGACTCTTTTTCAACTGTCTGTTGGCTAACTTTTTTAAAACTGTTGTTAGTAAATTTACCAATTGTTGTGCGCTCAAGTTTTTTAGGCGTTGTTACGCCCCTTCGAAGTTCTTCAGATGCTTATTTAACATTCAATTGTTTGTTTAACTCTTAACTCGTCTAACGTTCTAACTCAAATTGAATTTTATTCAAGACAATTGGGGACAAATATGCATGGAAGTTTTGGTTCATATAGTTTTTTTGGTTTTTTTTGTTGGCCTTGTATCTTCTTTCATCTCTTTTTCGTCGGCTTGTTTGCCGTTCTGTGCTTTTGTTGTATTGCCTCTATGTCATTTGTTTGCCCGAAAATACTTATGCTCAAACTTACTTAACAGATGCTCTGAAAGGACATAGAAACTTTCAAGGGTTCATTCCCCCTTCCCCCTCAGTATGAAAACAAAATAACCAATATGTTTTAAGAATCATGAACAAAGATTTTATATGGACTACTCTTGTTTTTGTTCCGAGCATTGAAAATAGGGAGGAGCTTTGTATTCGGGCATTTTATGATTTTCTTTTTGTTTTCCACGCAAAATCAGATACCGCCAATAATCATTGGACTGGGTTGCGTGATATATCAGTTTAAAGCCCTTTCAGCCGTAATTCGAATTACCGAACTGCCTTGTAATTCGAACTACCTTGTGTCGAGAAAAACCTATTTGAAATTTTTGATTTTTTTTGTCTTAATTCGAGCGAATAAAGCAAGCGAGCACGCTTACAACAGCTGAAATGCTCAATTTATGCCTAATTTAAGACCTTAAAACTTAAGTTTAAGCAAGTAAAACTAGTTTCGGAGTTTTTAGCTTCATTTTGGGAACCAAAAACTTCAAAAAATTTGAAAGTTTACTGCAAAAATTTTGAAAAATAACTTTTTAATTTTTTTTCAGTTTTTGTCCCATATGCCTATATTACTACGACTGTCTAATATGACTAAATTATATTTTTACGTCAGATCACACCAAGCAGAAAAACTACGCTAATTTGGAAAAAAAACATTCTAAACCGTAGTTTTCAAATGAATGGCAGGAATATTCTCTGCTATTTGCACAGTAACCGGCTTTCCTTGTCTTTATTTCATCATTGTTCTATTCAAATGCTAAAGTTTTGTATCTTTTGTTGAAAATAAGAATATTGCAGTTATCGTATGAAAGTCATTATATGTGGATATTCTCTGATTTGTTGTTATTATGATTATTTTTATGATTATTATTTTAATTTTGGAATTTTATCACATTAATGGGCATCATTTTTGTGCTTTTTTGTTTGTTTTTTCGACCCTTGAAAAGGAAAAGGAACTTTGGTTTCGGGTGTTTAAATTTTTTGTTTTCCACTCAAAATCAGTGTACACAACTAATAATCGAAAGGAGCCAAGTGATATATCATATTAAAGCCCTTCCAGTCGTCGTTCGAACACCACAACACATTTTCAAAATTTTTATCCGATGTCGAGAAAAACTGGTTTGAAATTTTCAAGATTTTGTCTAATTTCGAGCGAGCCAGTAACGTTGAATAACAAATTGATGAAAAAAGGTCAATTAAAAGCAAACTTGGTTTTGTACTAAAAAAAAAACTAGTTTTGGAAGCTTCATGAAGCGTTTCTTTGGCAAAAAGAGTTGCCTGAATTTTTTTTTCATTTTCCCTTGTTTTTCATTTTTTTTGGAGATAACTGGGTCAATTTTAACTCTCGCAAAAAACGACAATAAGTTAAAGAAAAACAAAAAGAATTGTGTGTTTTCTTAATGTAGTCAGATTAGTCTGTGCTACATGGACAGCAACCGGATATCTTTGTTCTGTTTTCAAAGAAGAATGATTTATGATATGATTTTAAATGATTTGATTTGGCTGATTTTAGTTTTCAGTCGCAGTAGTAGCTTTTAATCATGCAGTAAACGGAAAGTTGCTTATTGGCTAGTCTTCCTTATTAAAAAGAGGAAAGGTCAAAATTTGAGTCTCCAAGTGATTTCAAAGTAACAAATTTCCACAAAATTGAAAGCAAATTATCAAAAAAAAACTTACTTTATGAGGTGATATGTTACAATAGGCGGTAATTTTGAGTATAGTGTATGTATTAAATTTGAAAACTATAATGCATAATATAGTCATTTCATTTTCACTCAATTGTGCATGCTGCCAGGATAATTTTTTTCTAAATACATTACTCTGTTACGTAAAAATGTTATTCAAAAATTCATGTTTTACACTTTTCGTCAAAAAATTTGTCTTTGAAATTAATCTTAAATTTTGTTAAAACACAGTGAGTAACGATCCAGCTATTTTACTTCATTCTGTCACCTATTGTAATATATCACCATTAGGAAACAAGACTCGAATGGTACAGTCAACGGGACTATTGTTCACTTTAAGTCTGTCCTAGGATATTTCTTTGTATTTTCAAGTTTTTGATTAAGACAACATATATATTTTCATATTTTTATTTAATTAAAAAGAATTTGACAACCACTATTCGATAAAAGCTCAGCCAAGTAAATTTATACTTCTCAACACCTGAAATGAGTGAAACCGAGTTGACATATCTTTTTCCTATTTAGTTTCGGAGGAGCAGAGTCTTCTGTTTTCTGGATCACGTGACTGTGCTCTCTGCATTTGGAGAGTGAGAGGCAAAGAGTCGTCTCTCCACTACAAACTAGCTAACATCCACGAACTCATCATCACATCTGTGGACTTCAATAATGCCACTAGTCAGGTAGAGTTCATTATGTTATTACGCTGCCGGTTATGAATTGTAATCGGATTTGATTTTGTAGATTTTGCGTAAATTAAATTAGATTGTTTATGACGATATTGGGCCAAAAATAAACACTGTTCCATTTGTTTTAACAAAGTACGATAATTTTTTGCGATTTCTAGCTTTGTTTGCTGAATCATTTTTTGGATTTGCAATAAAATACCGGCCAGTTCCATAAGTTTTGTCTGGCTGCTAATTAGGTTCCTTCTTGCTTTGTTCGTAATAGGTCTGTGGTTCAAATATCTGCTGAATGTTTTTGGTTACAAAATTGTAGACGTTTATCCTAGATGATCTTTCCTGCGGACGTAACCAACTTACCACTGTATTATGTGCTGGCCAAGTTTTTTGTTGTTTGACAGTTATTAATTGCTATGTCAGCTTCGGTTGAGATAGTAACTTAAAAAATTCCACTTTTTAGGCAGCGTGGTTTTTTTCTACCGCGAAAGAGTATGTGTAAATTGCTTAAGAAAGAAAGAAAGAATTTATTTCTCAAGTCAACTTTTTTTCAGAAAGATCAATTAAATTTGAATATTGTACTATTTCAGCTAATTAGACGCGGATAAGATAGGCAACGGGACCGTCAGGTCCTCTAATTTTACCCTTATTGAAATGTTAAAACTTTATAAAAATCATAATAAATATAAAAGAGTGTTTAACTGCAGAAAATTAAATTATTATCATAGACAAGTTATTGCTATGAAAGAACATGTCGTCAATAAGGTATCAAAATAATGCAAGTAAAAAAATCATAATAATCTAGCTTTTCGTTTTCACTGTTTGCTCATTTCGTCCGATGCTATCTTTATAACTTCTTGTATAACAGATTGCAATGATGCACGCCTAATTTCACTCTAAAGACTTAGTTGAAAAGGGGATAGTTTTTTTTGAAAATTTTTTAAAGTGTTGTTTTTTGAAAAATCGAAAAATGGCCATATCTCCTGAACTAGAAGCTTCAGAGGCTTCATTTTTTACTAGATGAAATGGAGCCTACAAACTGAATGACTTCTACTGATTTGCATGTTCTGGGAAGTTCATATATTTAAACAATAAAAAGCGAAGGGCGTAACATAGAACCTTGGGGTACACAGGAAGTTTTTTTTTTCATTCAGAAAAAGCGCCATATCAATCCTCTTCAAAGCGTTCAATCCGGCCACTTAATTAAGTTTCAAACCGCTCAGAACAGTTTCCTCGGATACCATTAGCTTCAACTCTTATCAGAAGTAATTTATGATGAAGGGTAACCCAAAAGTTTTCCTGAGATCCAGAAAAAAAGTAAATATTGCATCTCGAGAGTCCTTTACTCTTAATTGTTCAGTTAATACAGCTACAGCATCTATCGTGCTACGTTTTCGTCTCACGCCAAACAGTTTAATTTATAGCAATAACAAATTTTCATAGAAAGAGTGAATTCTTTTATACATTGCTCATTCGTAATTTTTGCTCCAGACAATAAGCAGAGAAATCAGCATGGAATTGGTTTCATCTTGACGAGACCTTTATTTGTGAATGAGAATGATTTTTGCTTTCGAAAATGAGATATTCTTTTCGAAAATTCATGAGATAATAATAAAAATAGGTTAAGATTGGTGCAACAACATTTTTAGAATATTTAACTATTTTGTTACTGATGTTGTCAACCCCCGATGTTTATATGTCATCAAGCTGCGAGACAATTAAAAGTTTTCTCCGATGTTTCTACGATGTTCAAAATGAAAGCGTCGAATTTCTCAGCAATATCTTTATTTGAGGGTTTTTTCTTTGACTTTGAGGTATGAGTCGAAATTTGGTAATTGCGTTCGTGATAGATTAAGTAACATACATTTTTGTCTCGAGTCTCAATTACACTTTTGAATTTTTTCCAGTAATAAGTTACCTTCGTTTTTTTTAATCGCCAGCTCAAATTTTTCCCGTAAGTTTTTGAAGTTAGTCAATAACATGTTATTCGTAGGCTCTTTTTTTCTATGGGCTGCTTTGTGCTTTCTGAGATTTTCCAAGCCATTATTCATTGAGGCCTGCTGTCTAATAATTCGGGGTGAAGATGTTTTAAGCGGAGCGAACTAGCTTAGTATTTTTTCAAAGACTGACGTCAATTGATCAAAAGCTTCGTTAGGATTTTTAGCTATGTTTCACTTAAATACATTATATCTGGTGGAGACTCAAGACTTAGAACAATTTCATTCAATTCTTCGAAGTGAGGTTTTTAAGATATATTAAGGTGTGGAACAGAACATCTAATTATAAAATTTTAACAGTAATATATATCATTAATACTGTCAATTTTGACGGGAGATTTTACCGTAGTTGTTGGGTTTTCAACTTTAGTCGCGAAATTAACTCATGATATCATTCATCGTGATTTGAATCACGTTAAAGATATTTTGAATTTTGTAGACTTGATTATCGTTCTGAAATGTGTAGAAAATTGCACCTTTTCTAGTCCAGGTTGAGCTAATTCGGCTGTCAGTTTTCACATACTTCAAAAATTTTACCCTTGCTCTGCTGATATCTTCGAATACTTTGATGTTTTGGCTCTTTTTCCTTTCCCCCCACCTCACACGAGCATCAATTTTATCGTGTAGCGAGTGGTTGTGCAAGGTTAATTATGAAGACCAAATATGTTTGCCATATTATGCCAATTTTCATAACAATCAAATAATGTGAACAAATTTTCCATTTGTAAAAGTTTGCAGGTGGGGGGAAAGGAAAAAGAGCCGATATTTGCAGTGTTTTGTTTTTCTCCTAAGATACGCTTCTTCCTCATGATTTCAACTTATGCAATGTGTCTGGAGAATTTCACGATGATTGGTCTGATCGATTCATTCTAGGTGTAGTTTTGTCATTGTAGCTTTACATAATGGCTTCAGTTCCGTTTTTAATTTTGACCAGAACGATGTGAATTTTCACTTATTTTGGTCGTGTTTTTAGTCCTGAATATTGTTGATAAATTAGTTTTTGTGTTTTGTTATTTGATTTTTGATTTCTGTAGTTTACTTCTAATTCATTTTTTAAATGGAAGCGAATGATGCTTATAATAATCAAAAGGCAAATGATCCGGTTTTGATCCAGTTTTTTATTCCGACCATTTGAAAAATGCGGAGGAACTTTGTATTCGGGTGATGTTTAGTTTTTTCTTTTTCGTTGTGTTCCTCGCAAAATGAGGTCACACAAAATATCATCGCAATAGGTTGAGTTTTTTTATCTAATTAAAGCCTTTTAAGTCGTGATTAGCAGTACAAGATAAATTTTTCCGTGTCGAGAAAAACCGGTTTAATTTATTTGATTTTTGGTCTAATTTCGAGCTAAGAAGGTCAGCGTGCGGGCTTACAATGGTCTATTTAAACTTAATTTAAGCTTAAATTAAGCTTACATGACTCTCGAATGTGCCCAAGTTCTGTTTTTTGTTCAGATTTCTTTATTACATCACACAGAAAAAACTACTTTAATTTGAAAAATGTTATTTTTTAAGACTGTGGTCGAAGCAGTCTGTGCTATTTGCACAGTAACAGGCTATCTTTGTTCATATTGGGTTCCTTTTATCTAAAAAGTACCTATTATAAATTAAATTTGAAATTCAAAGAAAAAATTTTCAGCTGATATAATTTCTATCAAACTCGAAACAAACAAAAAAACGTTTTTTTGGTTTCGTTTTTTTTTGGTATCATCAACAGTTTTCCAACTCGGTTGTGTCCTTTTTTCTTTTCTTTGGTCAGGTTCATTGGCAGCAGGTATCTATTTTCTATAGCTGTCGTATTATACAAATTAAGATTGTTTCAGTTGCTCTCTGGGTCACGTGACTCTACAATTAAGTTGGTGGACGTCGAATCGCAGTCAGTGGCGCAGCAGTTTCAGAAGATTTCCCGGAATTTGGTCACATGTCTCTGTTGGGTGCCCCAGTCGCTGCATAACTTTGTCCAAACTTCTGAAGACAAACAGGTTTGGAGCAATTTTCGCGTTTCTGTTAAGCAATAAAAAGCAGTACGAGGATCGGTCGGTGTTCTGTATTTTTTTTTGTTACTGATGGGTGTAAAAAAGTAAATTTTTTGCAGAAAATTAATTTTTACTAAGCTGCCCACACGACTAACAAATTCAAAATTTATGTAATTTCAATAAGTTCACATGGCGCTTGGCTGTGACACGTTGAACATGTTACCTATTTTACCACTAAATGAGCTGACATGATCTCTGGAACATTCTACGGGCATTATGTAAATTTGAATCCTTACATTTGCAGTGTGAGTAAAAAGTGTCTCTGGAACTAAATTCTGCTTGTACAGGTGTATGTGTGGGATGTTCGTCAGTTGGAGCCAGCACTGGTGTTCCCGCGCAAGAACTGGATCCAAACAAGCTGCGATGTCTCTCCCAACGGACAGCTGTGCGTCTCCAGTAGCAACGGATTTGATAACGAGGGCTGCGAGGTGTCATGCTGGGACCTGAAAGCGGCCAAAATCATCACAGAGTTCAAATCACACGCTCAAACTGTACATAGATGTAAATTTATGCCCGACTCTAATTCTTACTTTGTAACTGTGTCTAATGATTCGACTGTGAATAAATGGGACATGAGTCAGTCTGCGAGGCCGATCGACACGAAGCGACCTCCGACCTACTCGGGTCTCATTTCACTCGCTATTTCGCGCGGTAGTTTACGTGTGTACACGGGTGCGGTATCTGGAGACGTTTATGCCATGAAATTTTAATTAATCTGAGTTCTAAAGACAAAAAAAAACACTTAATTAGCAAATTGAAATGAATTTCAAGAGTCAAGTGTAAGTCAACTTCATATTTTGTTTTATACATTTTCATATAAGATATAATTATTCATATCAATACGTAACCTGTAATTTTTAGAAAGAAAAGTCTGAGAGTTCCATATACTCTTAAAGTTGATAATTTTACATTGACAAAACATGAAACTGTGATTAGGTTTGTTCACTAGTATTGATTGCGGTTAGTTACCTACATATTTTAGCCTACTTAAAGCCTGAGCATGCTAAAAAAATGCGTTTGGTCCGGAATGTAAAAATATATGAAAACCGAAATTAGGTTATTTGCTATCTCAGATTAATTCTGAATCAACATTTGTATTACAATCATTGTTGTTCATGTAAAAAGTCGTAAGCATAAATTTGGTTGATTTTTTCATCTTGTTCATTGCATATCCGTTCTTCGCAACATTATCATGAATTCATCTCGAAAATTTACCATTATCAGAATCCAAAGATCTTTTGAGCATTAGTTTTATAAAATAGCACTAAATAAAAGCCATCCTTTTTTGTACTGATTTTGTTTCTAACGTCACTTGTTCTGTAGTAAATTGTTTAAGACGATATTTTTGTATTTAGTATCCCAAATCGGGCTTTCCTTAATTCCGATGACATATCATTTTGTAAATGATCAAGTACCTTAAAATGTGAAAATAAACTATGTGAATTTAAAATATATATTCAGTTTGATGATTAGACTCTTCAAATTTGCTAGATATTGAGTTTCAGGTTGTGCGCTTGAAATATCCCGAAAGCTCGATTGTTCTCGAAAGGCATGGATAATGTTTTTTAAAGGAAAGGATTTAATTTTCCCCTTCGCTCCATTTTTTGCTGATTATGGTTGACAGGAATAAATGATGCGTATCAACCAGCCAAAATATAAACTAGCCAAATTATAAACTAGCCATCATATAATTAATAATCAAAGTAAAGTGTGGTGCGTAATATAATCGTCATCGAGAAATTGCTACAGTTACATTCAAGCTTATTTCAACACAAATGAAATAATTTTTTCTGTTTATATACCCTGATGATTTTTGGCTAGTTTGTAATTCGGCTGTTTTATTCACTCTCAGTTTGGGTCTATGTATTTTCATTGGATCTCTAAATGAACGTAAGTTTGCATTTTTTAGTGACGAAACCTCAAGATAAATAAATCTGACAAATTTAATTGACCTGAAAATATCCGGAACTTTTATAATCTTATTTATAACCTGCTGCTTGGCCATTGCTGTTGGGGCCCGGTACCTAAACTCCTGAATGAAATTTCACATCTTATGTTCCTATTCAAGTTTACTGTACCTAAAGAAAAAACGACTGTTGCATACTTATTTTCGATTGTTCGAAAAAAATCATTGCTCGTGAAGCAAGCTATAACTTGCAAAATGCACGCAATTTTTAAAATTATACTAATTGGTAGACCAGGATGTTAACTTAATCCTAAATTGATAATTTTTTGAAGAAATTTGTAAATTATTTCGAGTTCAACATTTATCTCAATTTCAAAGCTTTCGAACAAGCAAACTGGCCAAACGAAAAAAAAAAAACACTATGTCAAAGAGTCATATTAAGTATAAAGTTTTTTCTGAGCCACGTGAAAAAACCAGAAATATTTTCCGAACTTTTTTGTCGAATAAAAATTTCGGTTGGAAGAACATTTGGAACCTGGAGTGTTTTTTTTATCCGCCCAAGTCTTGGACATTCTTGCGAAACGCTTGGTTCGATCGAGTATGATACCAAGTTAAAGAAGAGCTATCCTTCCTAAAGAAAATACCTAAGAATTAGTTTCAAGCGCAAGCGATCCAATTAGTTGGGGTTTTTTAAGAATCGATGAACGTAGTGAAGACTCTTATATAGGTTATAATGATTTTTTTTTTCAGGAAAAGTCTTTAGTTTGTTTGCAATCGAGTTTGATTTTCCGCGGTTTGACATAAGTTCATTTCCCTTGTTAGCAGGAAGGTAAATTCCACCATCGAACAGCAAAAGTTTTAGGCCATAAAAGCGTGATTGATTTTTACTTTCGAAAGTGGAATTAATTTTTCAGATTTCGCAGCGGAGTGTTAACTTTACCTATTAATCCTGTTTTCACAAATTCGGGAAATTTGTCCCCAAAATTGACCATCATTAACTGTTCTTCTAATTCAAAGAGCTTTATGGCCATTTTTTACCTTGAAATTCGAAAGCTGAAGTTTTTTCAGAAAGAAGTCAGTGTTTTTTCTGTTTCCTTGGGTACACTGAATTTTGTCCAACTGTCTCGGCTATGTTTGATTGGGAAACGTTTTTTATTAAGTATCTATGCATATTATTACCAACCGATCGCAATTTTTTTCCTTTGCAAAGCAAGCATCTTCATTGAACAAAAATATTCATTTGCGGAGTGTCTATGGAAAAAGTTTTGCGAAAGGTTCATATTTCCCGAAATATACTTTCGTTGGGTTAGTCTTATGAATTTAGGACGAAACAATTGAGAAAAATGGCTTAGCCTTCTGGCCTTAAATCATTGATCACCTCGTGTTCTTAGTTTTGAGTTGGTGTCAGTTCGATTGACTGAGGTAATAGTTTTTTTTGCGTAATTTGATTTCATCAAAGAAAGAACGGAAGAAGTTATTTATCCGAAATCATGTTGAAACTAACTATAATCATCAATTTAATTTCAATTAGTTACAAACAAAAAAAATCAACAATTTCAGTCACATGAAACTGGAAGGGATACAATAATGACTCATTGAGCGCCTACTGAAGGTCTACACGCTAGAATAACTGTAATTAAACTTCTACAACAGATAAGAATATATCAGACTAAAATTATTAAAGGGCGTTTATTAATTTTTGTTGGCGTTTTATTAATTTTTAGCACAAGTCATTAGCATGCGGTCATGCTATCCTCGATAAAATTATACCATGTTTTAAACATCACGATAACTACTGGTTGAACAAAAAGGGAAAAATTACCATCAAGAAAAATAAGTTTTAATGTTTTTCCTAAATGAGATTATTCCTAAATTGAAAAGAAAAAGAGGGATCTAATTTAACGACTAGATTAACAAATTTACGTTAATAATCATGTTGCAAAACATGCGCTTAGGACGAGATTTTTCCAAAAAAAAACATTAAAAATCATGTTTTGAAATTTTCCGAAGTATTTCAAACAATGCAAAATCTTAAAAACAAAAAAGATATGAATATTAGTTTTTTTCAGGCTTGATTTTTTTTCACCATGAACTGATCTGGTAATATTTAAATAATAGGTAAAGCATTTAGAAAATATGATAATATATTGAAATATGAGCTGTACCTGTTCATTTTTTACTAAAAATGAAATTATTTTCATATAGATGAACAAAAACATTTTCTTTTTTACTGTCATTTTTTTCCAGACAACAACTGTCAAAAAGTAAACAGATTCTTTTCACTCATCATGTTTATTAATTTGGCTCATCTGTTAGCTAAGCTTGATATTAATATTTTTTGGCCGGCCTGTTCATTTTTTGTTTTGTGTAATCACAACATTGCTGGCGTATTAAATGTATTAGAATTGTCTAAAAAAGAAAGAAAGATTTCTTCCGGCAGCTGTTGAAAAACGCAGAATGTTGGGACCAGTCGCTTTTGCAAAATGAATAACGATTTTTGGATTATTCGTACTTGTTCTTTATTCGTAACTGCGAACTCATTACATATGGCTATATGCTCTCCTTCGGTTAAAACGAGCAAAAACCACTTTTTACTGTAAGAATCCCAATTTTTCTCAAAAATTGATCTGAGAGCTCAATAATAGTAATTATGTGTGGATTATGTGATCCAAAAATTGTGCTTCATTACTGTTAATTTTTTTCAAAATTCGCTCAAACGCCTTTATTTACAAAAAGTTGCTTCTAATGTTGAAAAATTTTGCGAAATTCGAAAGTACTTTTTGTATAAGTGGAAGGATACCAGTTTTTTAACAGTCTTACTTCATATAGCTGTAATTGAATTATGTTTTTACTGATTCTAACTGAGTTTTTTTAAGAAGTAACAATCTGAGTAAAAGAACCAAGTGAATATCACATATATAATTCGTGCTGATTTTTTTTTGTATTTTTTTCAGAAAAAATAATTGATTTAGTTACGCACAAAATAGATTTTTGCGGTTCATTTTTTTATGATTTTTTTTCAATGTCGGGTCATTTCTTTTTTAAAAAGAAAACAAACTACTATCGAACAGCAAAAGTGTTGATGTGACAAAAAGCTGGATGACTTCTAGTTTCAAAAACTGACTTTAATTTTCTGAACTTCCCTCGGAATAAACATTCTATCTATTAATCCAGGTTTTTCTAAATGCGGTTAATTTAAAGAAAAAGTGCCTAAAAAAACTGTTTGAAATTCAAAAAATTTCAATGTGATGTATCATTTTCTTGGAAATTCGAATAATGAAAAATAGGTGAAATTCAACTTACCGGATTCCGACTTTCGACATCAAAACATACATTCTCGTAATGCTTTTTTAGTGTAGAATCCGAGTCTGTCGCTAAAATTGGTGAAAACTAATAAGAAAAAATAATCTCAGTTTCACATTATTTCGAGCTGCAGAAAATGTTAAGAACGCTTCAATACTGTACGGTTTGCGAGCAAACGGGTTCCAGGCAGAAGCCATCGCGTGTTTGTGCATCGACATGCGTGCGTGCGTTCTTGTAACTACACTTTTGTGTTTTTGTTTTAATTACTTAATTAATTATAAATTAACAATGATTTAATTCATCGAATAGAATAAAAAAATTCAAAACTACTATCAACGCGTGTTTCAGTTCTTCAGATGCCACTGGCATAATTCATTAATTTTCATGCAGATTTTCAGATTTCAAGATATCAACGGTATTTCAAATAAAATTGATTGCCATTTGATGGCGTTAAAACTGTTTAGGGTCTATTGCCAGCCTAAATTTAAGTTTTCACCAAATATTTTAACAGAGTCAAACTCAGGCGATTTGATTATGCAACTCCGGGTCAAAATTATGCAACTCCGGGAACCGGTACCTTGAGCTTCGCCAAAAAATTCGAGACGAAGCGAAGCAGTTAAAATGCAAGGAAAATCAGCGAGATTAATAAATAAGAAGTTGATTTCATCAGCAATTACAAAGGTTTCTCAAATTATCCAACTGTTTGAAGAAATTTTTATTTTCAGTTTATCGCATGAAGTATCAGATCTCATCAGCTAACTGTCTTAATGTGGCCATCGGACAGTTTTGAGTTCTATTGCTAACGAACATGTGCCAAATTAATCAATCCACATCTATCAATTTCTAGTTAACTAATTCCGACTGCTTTTAATTAATTAATTTAAATCATTATAAATCAAACGATATTTTTGGCTGTAAATTGTATTAAATCACCGTAAGAAAAACAGCCTTAATTTTATACTTTATAGTTAAGAAACAAATAGCTTCTCAATTATTCTGATTTAACCGTTATTCCGTGAAGAAGTTCTCAAATTAAAAGTGTTTTTCTATAACCGAAGTGCAATTTGAACTTTCGAGCTGCTTCTGTTGATTTTAAATGGACCTGGGAATCTCCACACAATCCAGAGATGACCAAATAAATCAGAACACCCAGACCGCCCAGCTCTCTCGTGAGCCAGCAGTTTTATTTGTCTCTGGCAGCTCATCTGATGCCAATTTAGAGAGCGAAGAAGGAAACCGGTAATTTAAGTCTGCTGTAAACTAGAGAAATGTTAATTGCTGTGGTAAAATCTTTCGCAAAATACTGTTACTCATTTATTTTGTTCTGTGGTGGGAAATATGGTACTTTGGTGTTGAGCTTTGAATTCACATTGGGCTTTCAAAAACAAACTAGAAAATCAATCTTCTATAATTTTCTTGCTTCCAGCTTTTGAGGTGATATGCTTCTGTTTTTATGTACATGTATTATGTAATAAACGCAGCAGAGGTGGATTTTTGATTTGCTCGGCGGAGAGAGGGGTTTTCAAAAACAATTTTGTCCTCCATTTTACAATTCTTCCAAAACACAAAAAGTATATTTTGCCCAATAATTTTCCGCCGTATTCCGGCAATTTTTGTTAGCAAAAAGACCAAAATTGACTCTTTTGAGGTTTATCCTCAAAATTGTTTTATATTGTCGCCCAAGGCGCCTCTTTTAAAATTCAGGGTTGGTTGGACAAAATCAATGCTGTAAATCGTACTAAGGATAAGGCAATATGGGTATTAGTTGATCAGCTGTCGAAGCTCTGAGATGGGGCCTTTTCTCACTCCCCTGCTAAATCCGAATTGATTTTTCACGGTTGGGTCGATGGTTTTCTTAGTTTTTTTGCACAAGAAATGAAAGAAATGATTTAACACGGCGTTGTTCTTCTTTTAAGGCTAATTAAGAGTCAATGACAAAATAGGTCGCGATGATTTTTTTCGTTTTTTTTTTCAGACAAAAAACTTTTCTCAGCAAAGTAAAACTTTCTTATTGATCAAGTTTTCTCAAATTGGGTCAATTTTATCAAGAAAGTGGCGGTCATAAATTGTTCTAGAAATTCTTAAGGGTTAAGAAATTCTTAAGGGTATCAATTTTTTCTTTGAATTTCGAAAATTGAGATTTTTTCTGTTTACTTGCGTTGAGATTTTTTCTGTTTACTTGCGTTCAATGACTTTTCCAACTCTCTGTTGGCTGTTTTAACAACATTTGACAAAGTTTTTCTGAAAGGTAGCGATTCTTTGAGCTCAAATGAAAATAAATTTCACTTCTGATAATTTTTCATTAGAATATGGTAGTTTAAAATTTGTCATAAACGCCAATTAGCTGTATCAAATGGGCGAGATATCTCCTGTTTTTTTAATGGAATCCAGCTTTTTTTTAAATTCGAAGAAATCCGGCTTAGAAAGCATTTCGAATTGGATTTAGACTAATGTATTGTCGCAAAGGATGCGTTGGTAGGTGCGAAATAATTTATGTTTGTTCTTCAAAATGAGTGTGGGAATGATCTAAAAAGCTGGGGAAAATATACATTCAAAATATTTTTACCCAAAACACAGAACAAAAGATAATAAAAACCCTTATGGTGTTTTAGTTTCACGAAATGGGTTTTAATGAAAAAAATATTCATTTAGCCAATTTTCTCAAATTGCGTTGTCCTATCATAAATCGTGAAAGGGTTCTTTAAAAAGTTATTTTTTCTCTCTTGGTTTTGAAAAAAATTGGGCACTATTTCTGTCAATCCAATTGCTGGAAAACTTTCTAGGGAGCATCGAGCATGTTAAAATGGTAATTCAAACTGCGTACAGTAGACTCGATTTTTCCAATCATGTAGAGTCGATGCCGCCGTCCAGATCACAACAGGGGGATGTCTTCAGATCCAGAAATCCTATTCTGAAAACGACAGCCCCAGTCGCAACCGCATCCTAGAGGCCAGACTTGACGGAGGTGTAATATATGACACACCTAGACACGAAGATTGTTGCGGTGAGTTACTTGATAGTATTATATGTGATAGTTTCGGCAATTGTACGTATGGCAAATTCAATGGCCAAAAATGGTGGTATTTATATGATATTTTGATACCAAAAATGTATTCATGTTTTTTGTGTACTTTATGCCCGTCTTGTATTCTTTAACATTAGTAATGCGTATAAAAATAATGCGTGTATTACTTTTTCGGTTCAGTTTTTTTATGCTTGAAGTTCAGTGATATTTTACAGAAGGCGCACCAGCTGCCTATCCAGCGAGACAATTTGATTGGCGTAAGATATATCAAATTGATTAAAGTATTTCTTTCTGTCTGCCGTTATTTGATTTCCAGCGAATAAAATGGATGCGATGAAATTCGTATCCAATGTAAGCGGTATGTCTCTGATATGAAATGCCAAGTTTTGCAAACAATGAAGATTTTTCATGCTAATTAAAAATCAATGATCGTATTGAAGACTAGGTTTTGTAGATTTTTTGTTTCGTTTTTTTTTTGAAAAAGTAGCAAAAGTTATTCACGCTCAAATTTGATATTCAGCGGTTTGTTTTGATTTACTTTTCAGTTCATATCAAATTGTGTTGCTCAGAGAAAGGCAAGTAGGGCGCTTTAATTACAATTGTGCACATGGGCTAAGAAACGTAAACTTATTGAAGTTTCGAAAAAAGTTTTTAGATTTCCCAGCGGAATTAAAAAATCTGCAGTGATCCAGTTTTCTCAAATTGACAAATTGAGCTAGTACATATGAAAAAAGAACAATCATAAAAATATTTTCAAATTTAAAGAGCTTTATTATCATAGTAGTAAAAAGAAGTGATTTTTTCGAAAGTTGTTCAAAATTAAGTCAATAAAGGCAGGAGTTGATTATAAAGGAACTGGGTTGTTAATTGATTTGGTTTTTTTCGACTATTGAAAATGGGAAGGAACTTTGTATTCAGGTTTTTGAGTTTTTTCTTTTTTTTCCACGAAAAAATCTGCTAACACAATCATCGGAGAGAGTTGAGTGATATGTCGTAATAAAGCCCTTACAGTCATGATTCGAGCGGCGATAAAAAAAATTGAAACATTTGTATGGAGAAAAAGCGGATTGGATTTTTTGGTGTTTCGTTCCAATTCGAGCGAATGAAGCGAGCGATCAGGCTTACAATAGATTATTTGAATGACTGTAGCTTAATTTGAAACGTAAAAGTTTTGGAATCACACGTTTTTTTTGTTTGTTTTTGTTTTTTTAGTCGTTTTTCTACATGACTATCGAATATGCCTAATCTGCAGTTTTTTTCTTTCAGATCATTTTATCACACCACGCTGAAAAAACGACGGTGATTTGAAAAAAAAAGGGATTTTAAGACTATGGTCGGACAATTCTGTGCTACTTTCACAGTAACCGGGTATCCTTGTGTTTTAAAAATGTTTTCTTCAACATAGGCTGTTTTTTAGGGATTCATTGACTAAAACTATTTATATTTGATTGCCCTCGTCTGAAACGCTCTGGTGTGGGAGTATCGAAATGTCATAAGTTTCAGCGAAAAAAAAGAGGTTGAAGGTTTGTTATCGAATAATTTCGTGCTATTTTGTCTAAGTTTTTACGCTACGAAGCTTGTTCTGATTTGGTTTTATTTCTTAATAATCGAGGCAATATTTCTTTGCTATTATTAATATCAGCCGCATTTAAGTTTTTTTTTGCTTTTTTGAAAAGTTTGCGAAGAGTATGTGCATCGCTGTGTTGAAGCAGCCAAAACATGTTATTTTCAATGGTCTTCTGTTTTTTTTTGCCAAAGAAACATGCGCTTTTTTGGGTTGACAAGGTATTACGACGTTTCAAAAAATTGGATGAAAAGGAAAAATTGTTAGATCCTCAAGTCAAATAAAACTTAAGAATAAGTGTCCTGAAACTTTATTCATAGTGTTTTTTCTTTCAAATAATCGTAGTATTTTACAGTCATTCACTTTTTTCACCCAGTTTTTCTCATTTTTTGCAAAGTTTTTTGCGCAAAAATTATTGCAATGTTTGTCTATGAGGATCTGAAGTAAAACGTAAAATTTGACCTGTGGTCTTCTTTGTAAAATTTTGGTGATTTTTGTCAATTTGCTGCACTAAAATATGCGCTATTTTATGAACTTTTCGTTAGTGTTCAACGTGTGAGCGTAACTTATTTGAGCGCGGTGAGTTAAACCAAATTACAAAGTGATCTTGTACTTGTTTCAATTTATATTGAGATGAGTCAATTGGTCCCAGTTGTTTCAAATCCAAAAGCCTAATTGTTGTGATAAACTTATTAAATAGAGCAATGAAAATGATCGCTTGAATTTTCGAGCAAACGAAAGCAATTCTTTACGTCTGAATTTCAAGTATCAAATAGAAATGACTGCAGAAAAAGTGAAAACAATTCTGGATTCAGCGAGTTCAGCGATGTTAAAGAATTATTCCAACTATTGATTGTAGAAAACAAGGAACTTACGAAATCTGTTATTCGGCTACAATCCAGTGTGCAACAGCTTAGTATTAAAACGAATGAACTCGAGAGATATAACTCCAAGGACTCAGTGATATTCAACAACTTGCCCCTGGGAATTACTGGGACTTTAATCGGAGACGTATCATGTTTTTGTTCAAAAGTTCTGAATATATCGGTTACAGAAGACGGTCTCAAGGCTTGCCACCCTTTGTATCCTGTTAAGGAATTCAACAGACCGCCTCCAAGTATTGCGAAAGTTATACGATTTGACAAAAAGAATAGTCTGGTGAATCGAAAACCTTTGCTTTGAAATTTCGTCAACCCGTGCAACAATAAACTGGTATTTATTAACGAAAGTTTATCGAAACGTAATTTGGGATTGAAAATTGAAGCTGAATCGAGAGGCATGATTGTTTCTACATGGAATTCTACTCCTTTTGTGAAAGTTAAAGATATCGGAGGAAATTTTAAAAACGTCAAGGTGGATACTATGGAGGAGTTGGAGGGCCTAAGCAACACTGCGGTTAGCAAAGTCAACACCATCAGGTCAGCTAAAACTAATTCGGAAATTTTGTAAATAAGGTTTTGACGGACAATATACTACCGGCTAAAAAGCGTTTTCGCTTTCAAGTTTCACCAGCGCCAGCATCTACAACTAACGAAGAAATGCAAACTCTGAAAAGTGAATTGGTCAAGCATGTGGATGATGATAATGCCTTATTGGATTTCATTAAAGGACTCGTAGGCGGTACTATGCAGTAATATTGAACAATATGTGATGAGTGAAGTACTTTCAACATACAACTTAACTTAACCTTAACTCAACCACTTAATTTAATGCCTTAATTTTTGTTGGACTTGGGAAACTTAATGGAGGCAAATACTGGGGGAGTTGAGAACGTTCTTTTTCTTGACATAAGATCACTTAGAATACATCATGACCAGCTTTGTTTTTGGTTGATTCACTCAAGAGAAAACCTTTAGTTATAGCTTTCTGCGAAACATGGTTGAATGAAAATGATTGTTTGGAAATGTTTCAGTTGGATGGTTATCAGAAGGGGTTTTTAAAAATAAGGAAAAAAAGGGGTAGTGGTGTAGCTTTTTTTTGTGAAAACGAGTTGAATTTATTCTTCAAGATCTGAAATCAGATTTGGAATATCTAGCTACAACTATTTGCAGCAATTTAACTACGTTTAATATTTGCGTTGTCTACAGACCACCTGATCACACGTGTCTAAAATTTTTGGAATGTCTGGATACTCTGTTGAATGAACTTCGATTTTTAAAAGGAACACCTACAATTGTGGGAGATTTCAATATTGACATATTTTCGAATGATAAGAAACCAGAACTTTTAAGTTATTAATTGTTTCTGAAATCTTTTAATTTGGATGTTTTCTTGAGTGAACCAACCAGAGTCACCAAGTTTAGTGCAACCTGCATTGATCATTGGATATCAGAAGATTTTTTTCCAGTGACAGTTATTAAATCAACAATTAGCGACCACTATGCATTGTTTGGTGAATTGCCATTTACTATCGCTAAGGCTGCTAAAACGGTTTATTAAGCCAGAAATGTTGAAATACTGAATCTGAATCTACTGAACCGACAATCTACTTAACTGTTATTTCTCCTACATATCGAATTGGAAAAATTGAGCGTAGATAATTCCGTGAATTTTAAAATTCAGTTTTTAATTCGGTCAATGATCAATGTTTTCGATGGGTTTTGCCCTTCTAAATTAAAAACTGTGCAAAAATAGAGAAACTGCGCATAAAAGAATGATTACTTTTCCCAATCAAAAAAAAGTTCAAACAATTGAGGAATGAAACCAAAAAACAAATTGCGATAGAAAAGCGAAAGTTTTATGACAATGAATTGGGTAACTCTAATGATTCAAAAAGAATGTTTCAAGTTTTTATTAAGTTTTGTGGAAAACAGAAAACTAGTTCAAATAAGTTAGAGGTGAATGATTTGAATATCGTTTTTTGTAACCATTGGACCTGAACTTTCAAATAAAATTGGGGATTTCAAATATGTTGATAGAATCTCTCGCAATTGCGAGACTTTTGTTTTCTTTCCCACTGACATTGACGAAATGGCAAAAGTTATTGAGAATTTAAAAAACAAACATTCGACTGGTCATGATGGATCGAGTAATATGATGGTTAAACTTTATGCACCAGTCATTATGAAGCTCATGGTTGTTTGCTTTAATGAAGTGTTAATCAAAGAGACTTTTCCTGATATTTGCAAAATTGCCAAGGTAATTGCTTTATTCAAAAGTGGAAGTGACATTGATTTTAATAATTACCGGCCATTTTAGCAAAGTTTTTGAAAAACCTATTTACCGACGAATGATAAATTTTTCACAGAATTTCAAAATACTTTATCCTGAACAATTTGGGCTCAGACCAAAACACTCGTGTACATGCAATTACACGGATAACTGAATATATGCGCAGAGTTTTGGAGCAAAAAGATTATGGAATGGCCCTCTTTCTGGATTTTAAAAAGCATTTGACACTGTTAACCATGATATTTTAATCATTAAATTAGAAAAATATGGCTTTCGTGCAAAGTTTTAAATTTTGTTACAGAACTATTTAACTAACAGGATACAACATGTGACTGATGGTACCATAAATTCGTCTTTGGAAAAAATAACTTGTGGTGTGCCCCAGGGCTCAGTTTTGGGTCCTTTATTGTTTTTGATATATATCAATGATATTTCAATTATTAATGAAGTAACTGAAATAAGTCTTTTTGCTGATGACACTGCAATTGTAGGTTCTGGAAAAACACCAATGTTTATAAGAGACTTCAGCAAAGATGTCCAGAGCATAAATGACTGGTGAAATGTCAACAAGCTATCGATTAATACAGACAAGAGTAAACTAATGGCTTTTGGAAAAGACCTATCAGATTCCAAAATTTCAATTGCTGGCCAAACTATGGAAAATATGGATAATTTTAAGTATTTGGGTATCGAAGTTGACAAAAAACTAAATTTTAATAATCAAAAGCGGTTTTTTTGTACCGAGGAAGATCATACTTCTCTAAACAGTCATTAGTTAAGTTTTACATGGCATATGTGATTCCGATAATTTCCTATAGCATGATAGCGTACGGATGTACTTCGAAAACAAATCTTGATAGAATTTTTTTGACAAAGAAAAAAGTTTTAAGAACCATTTTTTTCCTTCGTAAGTATCATCATGTGTCCAAGTATTTTCCAAAATATCAGTTGCAAAATGTGCATGAAATGTTCATCAGCCAATTATGTTCTGAGGCAATGTTTCAGTTCTTAGAAGTGTCCCCCTTAAACTTTTCAAATCTTCAATCAAGAAGGATGGGTAGACTCACGCGCAGGGGTAGTTTAGGATGTTTGTCACTGCCTTTAAGAAAAACAAAATAAGCCCAAAGGTCGGTGTCTTACAGAACTCTGAAATGTTTCAACTTTTTGTTGTCAAACGATTTATTACCCCTCAACCTTAACGAATATTCTAACAAGCAAAAGAAAGATTTTTTCGTCAAACTTAAAAAAACATACCTGAATGACAATCGATTGCTTGTTGACATGCTAATAGGATGATTATATGTGGTATCCAAGGGTGCAACTCTAATAACTCTGTTTTTGCCTTCACTTATTTACCTAGGTTTCCCTTGGGTTACTGCCAGTTGGGCTGTACTGCCCGTACAGTAACCCTGATGCAGTTTGTTAGTTCATTAATGTTCTCTAAACTGTATCTAAATTCAAATTCATTGTTCCTTCTAGACTCAAGTTTCATTTTTCAGTACTTGTTCGTTTTTGCCTTTGCTTTTCATACAGTACATTTTTCTGCAATGTCTCCTTAATTTCAATTGTGCCTTTTTACACTATTTTGTCGTCTTTTTGTTTGCGTCTGCGGCAACTTCGCCTTTGTATTAAACTTAAACAGTAGGTTTGAGATATATCCGCCCAAGTCTGTGTGAAAATTGTGTAAGCCAAGAGGCCATGGATTAGTGGTATATGTGCGTGTTACAATCATGTGGTTTCCTAGGTTTTCATCTTTTTTCTGAAGTTGATTTTCTATCAAGACACTATTTTGTGTTTTCTTGGATTTCTCCTTCAGGCCGTTTCCTGAGCTGCTTCGTATTTAACATTTTTTGACTTGTAATTTCAATTTGCAGCTTTGTCTTTGTGTTACAGCAAATAATTTGAAAATTACAGTCAGAAATTTTTTTGGCCTTTCAATTGTCGATGAACGTAGTGAAGACACTTATGTAGGTGGTGTCTGTTTTTTCTCCATTTTTGAAAGGGTGAAGTCTAAAACTTCAATCAAGCTCAAATTTGGTTTTTCGCGCGTTGACTTTTTTTCTTTTCAAGTCTAATTCAATATTGTTTCTATTTCAAGTTTGTTTCAAGTTCAAGGCCACTCACGTTCTCCAATATAGAAAGTTCACTCGGCGCCGCTAGAAATTAAAAATGCGGATTTTATTTTTCAGTGGAATGAAAATACCCACCGACCAATTTTCTCAATTTGGGCTAATTTTATCAAAAGAAGTTTTTTCCTTTATGAACAATCTACTATCTCTATCTCTAGGCTATGTTTTGTGATTTGGTTGTTAAATTGATTTTTTGCTATTTCCAGCATTTTCTGAAGCTCTAATTTTTTATGCGTATCTTTTGATCTTTTTTATATAAATAAGCGCGCATGTTTCCATTAGCTTAGCACTGATACTATTATTTTTTGATGCGCTATAAAACTGAAAAATGGAGTTATTGCTTCAAATTCAAACTATTGGTTTTTCCACCGGTTAGTCTCAAGTAAACTGCTCTGGTTGAACTTATGTAACAGATGGCGGTTTTTCAATGGCTCAAACTGAACAAATTACTTTTTGTGTGTAGTTTATCAGTAGAGCTAGTAGCTATATTTTAGTTTGAATTATACCACCGATGCTCGCATTTGATCTTTTTTACTTGGTTGTACAAAACATGTGCCTCCGTTAGTTTGACGCATAGTTTAAAAAAACTAAGGCACTTTTATGTTTGTTCTATATTCTCTCATTAAAAATGAAGAATTACCAAACTAATGGCGAGTCAAAAGGTTAGTTGTTTTTCCCTTGGTAAGTTTTTACTACCAAAATTTCAACAGAACCTCAAAAAAACTTAATTTTTGTCCTATTGATCTCTCTTGCCTCGTTTGCAATTGCCCAAAATGGCACCTCTCCCTTTGCTAGTATTTGACTGACTTTTTGAATACTAGATTTTTTAAAGAAATGCTTAAATACTAGATTTTTAGGAAAGGAAAAATTTTAAATTTGATTTTGATTTAAGAGACGAGAATGGTATCTTATGAGATAACCGTCTCAGTCGCAATTTTGTTTTTGATAGAATAGAGTGTTTTTTTTAGACTTTTGTTGCTGCTTTTTGCATGTGAAGTTCTGAAAAATTTCTACTTTATACACGTAATTGTAAAATCGGAAGGTTAATTTGGCTACGCCTATATTTTCATCGTATATTTTCGTTATGAGTTTCACCAATAAAAAATTCAATATTGTTTGTTTGTGAGTGTAAAAGAACGAAGTAATTCTCACTTGTACAATTTCTTTTTAAGTTAAGTTGCTCTTTTCCTTTGTTACAAGGAAGGCAAACTCCTCTATAGAATAGCAAAATAAAAAGGTCAATTGAGTATTGATTGATCTAGTTTTCTCTAAATGGGATAGTTTTTTGAAGTTTTTTGAAAAATATGCCAATCATCAGAGGCGGATCTAGGATTTTCTCGAGGTGGCGGATTTTCAAAAAAAAATCGAAAACTTTGTCGACCTTTTTTTTAGGTCGACCAAATTGATTTTCTGAGCTTTCCTAAATCACTATAAAGACCCCATTTTTACCAAATTTTCTGCGCCGTAGGCAAACTTTTGAAAAAAGGGGGTTTTTAGGTCTTTTTCTGGAAAGTTTTGACCAAAAAATCACGTTTTTTCGGTTTGAAGAGATTGAACGTGATATTATTTTTCTTTGAAAAGTGAAAATTTTTCAATAGTTTTCCTCTTATTTTTTTCGATTTCGTTATTTTACACTTTTTTTTCTGTTCAGAGACGTTCACAGTGGACAAGGCAGTGGACCAACTGGGCTTCGGGCGGTTCCAGTTGTTCCTCAGTCTGCTGTGTGGACTGGCCTGGATAGTGGATGCAATGGAGACAATGCTACTCTCTGTACTCGCCCCCGCCCTCCTCTGCGAGTGGAGACTGACCGCCTTCCAAGAGGCCATGGTCACTGTGGTCAGTACACTCAGATGCTCTTATAGAAAGATGCATAATGTGTTTTTAGTCTAAAAAGTTTCAACCATAAATTGTTCCAGAAATTCAAAGAGCTTAAAGGCCATCTATTTTTGTTTTGAAATTCGAAAGTTGAGATTTTTCAGAAAAGTTCATAGTTGGAAAAGACAATATTTGCATAGAAAAACTTTGTCTTAAGACAATCTGAAAAATCAAATTTGCATGCTTGTAGAGTTGCTGAAAATTGACAAGTTGCTTTTTAAAATTAGTTATGTCTTCTAACTTTTTCCAATTTATCGTAACCAGACAGTAACATCGATTTTATGTTCTACGCATTATAGAGAGTTACACAAAAGAAAATTAAATAACAGAGAACAGAAAATGTCAAAGTACAAGTATGATAGTTGGGTCCCAAGAAAAAGCAAGTACGAAAGATGGGTCCCGCATTTTTTGTGAAAACTTCAAAAAACCAATGAACAAATGCGAACCATGTTTTCGAAGATTTTAAGGCCTAAAAAATTTTCCTCACGGACCCATCTTAATTTTTGGGAACCAACTATCACACTTGTACCTCACTTTTAATTTTGCATACAATCTTGAGTTTTAAACCAGCCTTGAGTCATATCTTCAAGTGTAAATTAATGTAGCGTCACTGAATTCTAATGGACCATCATAGTTTTTGGCCATTGTTTTTTTTTTGTGAAATTCCCCCGAATTTAGCTTTAAACTGAAATCTGGAATTATGAAAAATTTTTATTTGTTTTTGTTCAGACTGTGTTCACGGGGATGTTTGTGGCGTCTTCCTTCTGGGGAGTGATAGCTGACAAGTTTGGCCGCAAATTTGTAAGTGCTTCTTCAGTGTAAAACTTTTCCCAAATAGAACGAAAATTATAACATATTTATCAGTAGGCTTTAAAACGTAGATAGAGCTAAGCAATAAACTATATAGACTTCATCATAGTAGTCATATTAAATACGCGAAGATTCATTTTTATCACCGAAGAAGTTCGAAACAGAACCTGCTCAATACAGATATTGATTCTTTTTCTTTAAAACCAACCAATCTCTCAACTCAAATAATCACTTTTATGTTTAAGGACTTTGGTTGAAGCTGGTTTTTATCTCAACCTAAATTTTGTCGTAACAATTAAGGCAATGTGAACAAAAAATGAAAATGTAAAAAGAAAAATGAGGAAAGGAAAAAGTAACTATTGAGCTTTTTGTATTGTGCCGGTGTGTCTTTTATTTCAGAGTCTGGTGCTGTCTTCCTGTCTGACATTTTACTTTGGAGCATTGACTGCCTTCAGTCCAAACTTTTATTGGGTGCTGGTTCTCCGAGGCCTCACAGGAGCAGGCATCGCAGGTGCACCTCAGGCGTAAGTAAAGTACAGTCAAGGCTCTGAAAAAGGTCACTGTTGGAGCATCTGCCTCCTCAGGGTGGGACCGGCTGCGGCGAAATGGATGACATCTCTCTCCCCCACGGTTTGTCCTGCACTGAGCAGGAACGGGGGCTAATTAAAAAAAGGTTCTGAGATAATGACTGAAAAGAATTTTTTTTTCGTGGTTTCTTACTAAAAAGTCGAAAATTTGTTCACTCATAAATATCATTACAAAGTTTTTTGCTAATTGGAAGTCACATTACGCGCGAAAAATTGTTAATGAACTTTAAGCTTTTTTTTGTTTCTTTTAGTTTTCAGATTTGCCAACGCAATTCAAAAATTGTGTCAAGATCCAAACTTTTCTACTTGACTTAGTTTTAGTTGAAATAGCAAAACTATGAGGTGATCTATTTGGAGTTTATTTATTGTTTTTAATACTGTGCTGGCCATGTTTGTCATATTTGTTGTGAGCAAGGAGCCAATGATAAGAAAAGAGCATAGTATTAAGGCGTTCACTTTGTAATCGTCAGATCGTGTAATCAATCCTGTGCCCTGGCAATGATAGTGTGTGAGGACGAGGACTCATATGACCTCTAGCTTCAGGTCGGCTACAGCATGCTCGGTTTCGGCTGCAAAATTGGTACCATGCGGAAGTTCTAGTTGCAAAAAAAAACGGACTTTGAGCCGAAAAAGCTTCGCTCAGCAAGTTATTTCAGTCTGGAATGTGGGGAAATACGAGAAACTGACTATGATAACCTTAAATTGTTTCACTTCTTTTGGTTTGTTTATTTCGCGTTCTGATTCTGTTTTTCTTATTTTCAAACGCAACTGGTTCTTAAAGAGTGAGCTGAGAATTGTGTTCTACACCTAAAAGGAAATAAAGGGTTAAACTACTTCCTATAAAAAGTTTTTGAATTATAGGAAGGTGAAACGTGCCTTTGGTCAATAATCTTCAATGATTAGTCATGCTTAGGTCATGAAAACTTGTAAGAACGAGGGAAAAAATCAACAAATTTTTGCTCAATATAAGTGAAAAATTGATTTTTGAGGCAAGATGATCTGCTATTCGTTTTTTCGAAGGGAGATAAAGGAGTTTTTTTGGAAACCTTTTTGTCCATTTTTTGCCGGCTATTCCAAGTAATGATCTCGTATTTTGGTAAAAAAAGTGGTAAGAGTTCAATGTCCCGTGTGGGTCATATCCTCTACTCGCTGTGTATAATGGAAAATGAATTAGGGGCAGGCTTGGTAATTGCATCATGGGTTTCCTGAGGGATACGTTTTAGGGGAAGTCTTTGCAACTTGAATTGATGTAGAAGTCAAGAAGTGAAAGAGAATATGCTGATGGATTTTTTGTCCTATTACGGACTTAAAGAGATGTAAATTGCATTTTAACAAAAAGAATCCATAAGTTCTCGGGTTGCATTGATGGATAATCTTTCAATATTGGTGTGACCTCTTATTCTTGAAGCATTGGTGACACTCGAATATAGGAAATCTTTTATGAATTGGAGATCGAGATTTTTTTTGTTTTCAAAATTGTGAGTGTTTGTTGTGAGTCTTCTGTCGAACTCAAAATGGTTCATCTGGTTTAATTATCAACGAAATGCGGGTGAAAATGAAAGTGAATTGCAAAAAAGGTTTGTTTTTTCAGTGTTATTAAAGCGATTTTTTGGTTGATGATTTCATAGGGCTGTTATGATGAACTGCTTGTTAAAAATATCAGTGGCCAAGTGCACTAACATCTGAAAAGGTAAAGGTTCAGGCGATGTTTCTCGTCAATCGCGCTTGCGCGAGTTGCACTGGGAGCAAGTCAAGTGTTATTTTCGAGTTTCCGCTTTTTAAGATAGTACCAGCCGGGCTAAAGCGTAAATGGTAAATGAAAATGGTGGTGCATGAAGGTAAATAGTACCAGAAACTATTTTAAAAATCATTTTTTTGGTAATTTGTCTCCTAAAAAAGTTGGCTTTTGAAATAAAGATCATCATATTAACATCAAGATTTGATAAAAATTAGTCAGCGAACTCTTGGTCTGTCTGGTTTGCGTTTTGTTTGGTTCATGCTAAACTAACATAGCTGGGATAACAGGTAACATCTGATGTAACGATAGTTTTTCATGGTTTCTTTAGTATTCCTCTTTTATTGGAAAGTTAGTTCACTGAACATTCAAAGGACAGACGTTTTATATTGGCCGATGCCTTAAGAGGCGATCAGGTCTTCAAGAAAAGGTAGATGGTTTGAGAGTTTTGCGCTAGGTCTGCTTTTTGTAATAAGGAGATACTGTCATTAATGACCATAAAGGTTAGTAAAGCTCCTTAATCTTGGTAGAAGTTGATTTTGCCAGCGTTTTTGGTATGACCAGATAAGTATAATCGCCTCAATATCTAGTGTGTTTATCTCGAAAGTTTGCAATACCAGTTGCCGACGTTTAACCCGCATCTTTGGCCGTTAGTAGTATCCGAATGATAGTAAGTGCACCCAGTTTTGTTTGTGAGATCTCGGTTTTTGATTGGGAAAATTATTTAAAAATCGTTGAGGCAATCTTTCAAAAGTGCAGTTTTGGACTTGGAGAGTTCGAAGAAATAAGTATCTTCCTGACTATTTTGATGGTAGTCAATAGAAATTGAATCAATGTTTTAATGATCCTGATGGTGGTCAATCTGCGAATAATAGAGCGAAGGTCTTCGACCATCATACTTTTGCTGTCTCGTAGCAAAACCTTCTTCTACTTATAGGGCATTCTGCCAATGAATTGCTCTCTTATTCATCTGTTCCGATCTGCTCGGATTATTCGTGCGTCGTTAGCCTGGCTTCGTGCGTCATCATTCGTGCGTCATCTAAAATAGCCTGGCTTGCTAGACGATGCAATTCAAGTCAGTTTAAAAAATCCAGTGTCTCTTCATTTTCAAAAACTTTGTTTCGCAATTTAAATCCAGCTTCTCGGATTCGGCCAGGCCCTGTGTATCGATTTTGCAATTGCTCCAAAGCTTATTCGAGATTTTTTTGCGCAGCTTCATCAAAATTAGAATAGAAGCTGAAGGCCTTTTATCTCACTGGAGATGTAAATACTAAGCTTGTTGGTTCAATGCTTCTGGTTTGCGGCACAGTGACACTGGCTCCTAAGAGTATTTCGAACTTCTTTCAAAGCAGTCTTCGTCAGTTTCTAAAGTCAACCTAACGAAAATTAGAGACAACCTAAGATAGCAATCAAAGTTTTCACAAAACTTTTTTTTGCAGTTGAAACGTTTAGGAGTTTTCGAATTGTTTCGAAAGAAAGAATATGATCAAGTTTCCTGACGATTTTTGAAAATTATAATGGTTTAGGGAATGACTATTTCAAGTTTATTTGTTCAAATTAATAACATTTATACACTAAAATGAATATCATTCTAACAAGATAAGGGATTGTAGTAACGCAAGAGAACATTCGATAGCATTTTTTTCTCGCGTTGAAATCTATTAACAAAATAATGTAAGAATTTATATCTGTATTTAATAGAAAAAAAAATTAAAATATTTTGGAAGTTTGCAGAAAAATGCCTCAATCTCTGCTGCCATTCGATAACCTTAAGTTGTTACACTCCTTTTGTTCGTTTTTTTTGCGCTTTGATGCTGCTTTTTTATTCTCAAAAGCAACTTATTCTTAAATAGTGAATTGAGAATTGTGTTCTACGGCTAAAAACAAATACTTGGTATATAATAATGGTGTATACAGCTGAAAATGGTACATATTTGGTGCGTTTTTAATATGATCATACTCTGAACTTTCGATCGGGTTATCAAATACGGTGCTCTTTCCGCTTTAAAAATACGGTACCCTTGATTTTTCAGTTAAGGAACATCACGTTCCTGACACGGGCTAAGCTTAAACAGGCTGGATAGTCTTCCATTGATCTTATGTCAATCGCAGAAATCACAATAAAAGCTGAACAAATTTTGGAAAGAAATTTGGCCGGATTTTTTGCATATCAAGTAAATCTAATAATTTAAATCGGGAAATCAGTTTTTAAGTTATGGTAAATTTAATTTGAATTTAAGTTAAACACAGTAAAAAAAACTGTTTGCAGAGTGTCAATGACATCAAGATACCAGAAACAAAACGTTGAGGCAATTCTATCTATATGGCCTGAAAGCTGTTTGATATTTAGAATTTTTTTTAAAATATGACGTTTTTGATAAAAATTAAGCCAATACGAAAGACCCGGATCAATGGGTAATGTTTTTTTCATTTTTTTTTCAAGTATTTCCATTTATATCCATTTTTTGATTAATGGAGAAGGTAACTTTTTCTCGATTGAGCCAATAAATTCAAAGTGAGCTTAAAAAGAAACGAAAGTCGAACCGCGAGAAATCAAGTCTGAGTGTAATTATTTTTTTGGCTTTCATGATTTTTTTCTCAAAAATTACATGACCGAGAGAATGTCCTTACTTCGCCCACCCACTCTAAATTACTCAGTAGAGCTAAAGATCATAGTGTAATAGCATGAATCGACTTTTTTCCAACCTAAGTAGCAAATAAAATTGCTCATTTGATGGCTATTTTGCTATAATCACGATCTGTAGCGTTGAAATTTCATATCGTATTTAATCTGCTTTATTAGTGGCTAGTGTTTGACGATTGTTAGGCGACCGTGGCACAGATGGAATGAATTGAGATTTACAAACGTTAACTTCATTAACAAAAAATATATGGTGCCAATAAGCACCTCCACATTTTTATGAAAGAGGACTTCATTTTTAGAAACAACAGTTGATTTAGAAAGTACACTTTGGTTCAGTTGATTCAGGTTAGTTTATCAGGAAAAGAGTCAATTAAACGTAAAAGTAGTGTCTTCTAAATCTTTTTCCTCGACCTATTGTTCCTTAACCTTCTGTTTTCTGTTTTTTTGCTCCGATCATTAAACCGGCCATCGGCATTTCCTTTTTTTGCATTAAAATTAATCTCAAAATTTTTTTTGGAGTTCAGTCTGGTTGCTGCGTACTATTTGATGTTTTCAAGTATAAATTTCTTCCATCTGCAAGTTTTGTTTATAGATATTGCTTCTTCCATATTAAACCAAATCTAAAATTTAGCTTTTTGAGTATTAATGAACGTAAAGAAGACATAGGCTGTAATTTTTTTCGCTTTTTTTTCTTCGGGATTGAGTTTTAAAAGCTGTTTACTCTCAAATTTGATTTTTCGTGGTTTGACTTAAATTTTTTTTTTTCATTTCATTCTCCATGTTTTCGTTGACCATTTTCCAACTGTGTGTTGGTTATGTTCATAATTGGCTTTGTGTATTTTAGAGTGACGATCTATTCGGAATTCCTGCCGACTGTGTACAGAGCTAGAGCCATTGTGCTACTCGAAGTGTTCTGGGCATGGGGAACTATCCTGGCTGTCACCCTCGCTCTCCTAGTCATGCCCGGCCTCGGCTGGAGATATTTTGTATTCTTCTGCGCACTTCCTGTATTAGTCTTCAATCTACTATGCTATGTGAGTGCTCCATTACATGAGTTTTCCATTACATCACCCCAATGCAGTAACAAAAAATATAGCCCTCTGCACTGTAATTTTACTATTATGGGGGGCTATAATTTGCTGGGGTGGCTATTATTACGCAAAATCGCCTCCTTTCGGCTCTTTTGTAGTTCCACATTCCTGGCAGTGTTGTGTAAAACTTGTGGCACGTCCCATAATTTATACCGGGGTATAATTATAATAGTTGGGGCCCTTAAATTTAGATGGGTTCCTGAAGGGGCTTGAATTTTAGGTCTTGAAATCTTCGAAAACATGATTCGCATGCGTCGGTTTACTTGTGTGTGTTTTCGAATACATACATGCATGCTTTTACATCATCATACATGGCGAACAACTATCATACTTGGTACAAGTGTGATAGATGGTTCCCACGAAACTAGCTGGGTCCCTAATGTACATCCGGTGCCTCGATATTTCCAATATATTTCTTCAGTGATGTAAGTTAAAGGATCGAGTAAGTTATCAGAAATGTGGCAGATTAGAGAAAGTTTGAGAAAGAGTCTTGAAAATGATCGATCGGCGTCCATTGATGAACTAATTGCTAGTTGTGATATGGGACCCCTCGGCTCTTTTCCACTTGCCCTCACAATTTAAATTTCTTAGTTGTAAAACTTTTTTTGGCTGAATGCATGATCTCACAATATAAGGTAAGAAGAACAAATGCGTTCACAAAAGCTGAGTTGTTCACCATGCAAAATTTCAATACATTATGACTACGTAAAATTATGGCTCTTCTTCCTCTCCCCCCCCCCCCGCACCTCACAATATGTAAGTTAAAGCATACCCCCTAATATGTAAGTTAAAGACAATTATGAACAGATTTGTTCTTCATACTTTACAGCGTAACATCACGCATATAGCCGTAATAACACGTAAAACAAACATAAATATCGATATTTTGAAAGGTGGGGGGGGGGGGGGAGTGGAAAAGAGCCACAATATGTAAGTTAAAGCGCGTCAAAATTTACTAGTAAAATTTTGCAGTGGGGGGGGGAGGAAAAAGAGCCAAAATTGTTTTTCAGTGAAATTCAAATGACGGGGAGTGGAAAAGAGCCGACCCCTCTGTCACATTTGGTTTTTAAAGGGACCCCCTTATCACATTTTAATTTTAAAGGGACCCCCGCTATCATACTCATACCTCTTAACCAGTTTACTTACTTAATTATAACTAAAATTTAAAGCCTAATTTAAATTACCTAATTGTCCAAAAATGGTCCCAGAGAGGCTCGAACTATCGACCCTCGCGTTATTAGCACGATGCTCTAACCGACTGAGCTATCGAACCTGACCTGTATTGCACAGGTATTGCGAGAATTCAATATTTCGTAAGTCAATGTCATTTGTTATGCAGGTGATCATAATAATATGCCACAATTTACTTATATCAAACTTGTATTGAGCGAGTAGTTGCTGGTTGATGTTGAGTTAATTGTTAACACACGGTTTGCTCGATCATTATCTTTTAAAAGTACCTTGCGCAATTGCATTCAATAATGTGAATATCACAATGTACCATGTATATTCATTTTTATTTTGTTAAACTTCAACCAAACGTTTTTTTTTAATAGGGCGATCTTTTAACGTTCTCTTAGCTATGACCAAAAATCCCCATCAATTCATGGAGTAAACTGATTCATTCAAGTTACATATTGGAAACATATTTATTCGATCGGTCATTGATAACATACCTTAACAAAAACAACAAGGATAGACGGTTGCTCTGCAAGTAGCACAGAAAGTTCCGAACCATCACAAAGAAACTAAAAAAAAGCATAAATTTTCGAAATTGTTTTTTTTTTCAATTGTATTCCCAAAAAACGCGCCTGAATACAAAGTTCCTCCCAGCGTTCAGTGGTCTGAACCTTAATTGTATCTGAAACGTAATTTTGCAAAATTATGTTGCAGTTTTGCGCGATGCTATGTTGCAATTTTTGGGGAACTTGCGCGCCGTTTTTTTTAGCGTGCTGCGTTTTTTGCAACTTTGGCCGTGAGATGATCAGATGCGTGATCCTTCTAGTCTCAACATAAGTTCGAGTCTCACTCTGTTCGAGTGATATTTAAAAAGGGAAAACTGATGCAAGATATGGAAGCGTTGAAAGAGTCCTGTTTATTTTCAAAGTTCGGTTTTCTCATCCAGATGGTTAAAACAATTTTTGACTCTTTTCCACTCCACCTTTTTTTTGCAAAAACGTCAAAAAGCTATTTAAAATGAGTTTTATTGTTGTAAATTATACTAAAGTGTGTCAGTGTGGACAATCGAACAGGCTTGAACATTTTTGCTAAAATTCAAAATTTTTATTTGAACAAATTTTTGACAATTTCCTACTGTAATTTGACGAGATCGATGTGGTGGGTCGGACAAATGAAAAAATATATAATTTTGTTTAGTGGTTGCCAGAGAGTGCCAGATTCTATATGGTATCCGGGGACAAAGAGGCAGCCTTGAAGACCATCCGACAGATTGCCCACTGGAATCAAAAGCCCATGCCCCTGGGAGAACTAGTGGACGACAACGCCTTTGGAAAAGACAAAGACGTTGACCAGGTCTGTTTATCTCCCAAGTGTTATTAAAAAAAGTGAACACATCCATTTAGGGCATTTGGCTTTTTTCGTGTTTCTTTGTCAAGAAAGTTTTTTTCCAAATTTTTTTTTTCGATTTCAATTCAAATTCATTTGCTAAAAGAAAAGCAAATTAAAAGGAAAGAAAAATTTGTTGTGACTGACTATCGTTTTCTGCATATATTTTTTGTCAACTGAAGTTTCAAATAAGTGTTTTTCTACTGATTTTTTTCTGATTTGAGCAAATTTTACCATAATTTAAAGGCCTACTGGAATTTGTAAATTTCCTATCTCTGTTTATGAATGAGCTCCTTTTTATTAAGAGTCAACAACCGCAGTGAAGACTCGTATATAGGAAGGGTAATTTTGGTTTATTTTTTGTTTTTCAGGTCTTAAATTATGTTCGCTTTCAAATTTGATTTTGCGGTTCGACTTTTGGTTAGGAAGGCAAACTCCACTATCGAGCAGCGAAATTGTTAAGTTCACGAAAAACGAAATCGACTGGTATTTTCGAAAGTAAATTTTAATTTTCAGATTTTCCATTGGAATGAAAGTTTTCCTCATTGATCCGGTTTTTACTCTTGGGATCAGCTTAGTGCGTTATTACGAAGCTTCTTTTTTTTCTAACCTAACTCGCAAATAAAAGTGTTCATTAAAAGGGTTCACTTATGTGGAAATTGCATAACATGTGTTCTCTGCTTTTTTTTGTGACTGAGTGGTTTATTGGTACCGATTAAGTTTCCCTGGTTAGTGTGTGAGACTCTTTATTTCTAGGTCGCTGGTTCGAATCTCAGAGGTAGACGAATTTTTGATAATTCGAGGATTATTTATATAATTTTTATCGTGTTCTTTTTATCGTGTTCTGCTTTTTGTCGTGTTCTTGCAAGTGTTTGCGTATCGAAGCTTCGACTCTGTGTCTCAAATCGGGTTGTTTATATCAAAAAATACCAATCAAAAACTTCTTGAAATTTGAAGAGCTTTAAGGGCATATAAAAATCGAAAGTTGAGATTTTTTAAAAGATAAGCCATTTTTTTTACTGTTTCCTTGCGTTCATTGACTTTCCAACTTTCTATTGGCTATTTTTTGTTTTTTGTTTTTTTAGCTTAAATGGTTTTGACTTGTTAAAGGGGTTGGGCGTCTTCGATCTTTTAAAATAGTAAGTTTAATTTTTTTTATGATAACAAAAATGTTTATGGCAATTTTGTTTTCGGCTCAACATGCGTCTTCTTAAGTTTTACTGTATAAGCTGCCGCTAGGTATATGACACTGAATGCTTATTTGACGCTGGCAATTGTGTTTTCCTGAACCTGAACAGTTTTTCTATAATAAATGAAATGTTTCGAGTTATAGTATAGGTTTACAAAATTTTTCATTTCTAATTTAGTTGAGTGCTTCAATAAAGCGAATTCATCGCTGAAGGGTATTTATTATGCAAGTCTCATTTTCATAAGGTCTCCGGAATCGAATGAGTAGTCTAGTGGACAAGCAAGTGCAGATAGTACATACGATCCTTTGTTGTCACTAAGTCTTTTAAGCCTTAATTTCTTTTTCATTCTATTTCCGTATTTAGTGTTATTTTTACCGGTTTGGCTGCAGTGTTTACAAGTTGCAGCTTCATTTTAGAAAATTTCATAAGGAGTTATTCGATAGCAATTTTTTTGCAATATTTCTGAGTATTGTTTATGGAGTTTTTATGTTTTGTCAATTAGTTTTCTATCAGACTGTTATCTGTCTGACAGAAACTACCGTTTTTTGGGTCATTTTCATACTCCATTTTATAGTCCAAACTTTTGAAAACGTTGCTATAGGCGATTAAGAAGGTCTGATGTGATCTAAGATTTTGGTTCAATTTTCTAATTTCATAACCGTCGTGATTCGCATTCCAAAATGGTATTTCAAAAAAATCGCTGTTAGAAACTGGTCTGAATATTTCTGTTTTTCAGAAATTGTTGCAGAGAACGGTTGAATCCTGTTATTTTTCTCTTTTGCTGATGAAACTTTTTTGTTTTCTCAAACTATAAATTGTTAATTTCAAATTTCAACTGCAAAGCATAATTTGAAAACAAATTTAGAATATTTTCAACAAATATTTTTTTAGTAATTCTTTTTAAGCGTACTTGAACGCAGTGACGAAATTTATATGGAGTGACGCAATTCGTTTACGGAAGGCTAATTTTGCTCTCCAATCACAGAAGCCTAAATAGCGCGAAAAAACGTGAAAGAGGTTTCGAGGTTGGATTTCACTATTCAAATTTCCTAGCGGAATAAAAAATTTACCTATCGATCCAGTTTTTCTATATTGGATTAATTTTGTCAGAAAGGTGTCAATTAAAGTTTATTCTGACAATTCACAGAATTTTAGGGCCATGTATTTTCTTCTTTGAAATTTGAAAGTTGATTTTTTTTAAACAAAAAGGTCCTTCATTTGTTTTTGGTTCCCTTGCGTTCATTGTCTTTTTTACAATTGTATAATGGCTATGTTCCATAATAGTTTTGACACTTTCTGTATTTTGGCAACCTTTTGGACTATTTGAGCAGCAACCGGTTTCCTTTTTAAAATTTTTTCGGTGATTCATTTTTCAAAATTTATGTATTCTTTCATTCATGATGATTGTTTCTCATTCTGTATCTATTCGATTCGCTCTTGTGTACAGCATTCTGCCGCATTTTTTTTGAATAGCTGAGTTGGTATTATTATTTTTCTCTATTTCTTCTAGGAAGAGGGAGTTGAAAGTGATAGAAGAGGCACTTTTGGGCAGCTTTTCAATAAAGAGTTCTTGCTAACAACTACCATTCTCTGGATGTTATGGTGAGTAGTGGTCATGCGAATTTCGAGAATAGATATGCGAAAAATTCGATAAAACCGCATTTAGTCCATTAAAATTTTTACATGATGCTTTAATTTTGTGTGGTGTTTTAATAGGTTTGTGGCAGCGGCGTCTTACTACGGGATAGTTCTGTCGACCACAGAGATATTCTCAGAATTGAGCGCGTCAGAGGAGAAATGCGGTTAGTGTCGCCCTTCACTTATCTCGCACAATTTTAAGCAGTTTATGTGAGATATTAGGGGCGAAATATGACACTAAATTTAAGAGGGGGTGAAATAAGGGACCAAGAGAACTATCGCACCCCTAAATCATAATAAAGGGAAGATTGTTCACTTGATTGAAAAAATTATTTTCAGCCAATCAGATTTGAGCATGGCACATGAAGGTCATTCTGCTTGAGCATGTCATTTAATTTTAGCAGGGAGATTGTTCGCTTGATCTTGTCAGGGGAGATTGTTCACTTGGGCCGAAATATGTGCAGAGCTTTTGTTTTTAAGTTTTGAACTAGGAAAGCTACTTAAATATCCCGCCCTCATAGGGAACATAACAATGTGCTTTATAGGCAGAACCCCTGTTATTCTATGAAATCTTTGTTCGTAACAAATAAGTCCCTGGTAGATTTTATCGAAGGAAGGGGACAATTTTTTTCCATGTTTTTCAGATCGACCGCATTGATTTTCCATGCATTGATATTGAGCTTTTTTGGCGCGAGCTTCCCTCAAAATAAGTATATATTTATGCTAAAGGAGCCTTATAAAAAATAGGTCAGCCAAAAACAGAGTCGGTCAGACAAAAACAGACCCCAAGGGGGCGATCCTTTGTGTAAGTCATTGAAGCGAATCCCTAAATCCGCCCCTGCTCCGAATCGTGCTTAAAAAGCCTTTCTTCCAAACTGCATTAGTCAAGCAACCACTATATTGGAACCAGTTCAAAACAAGTATTTAATATATCCAATAATATTCTTGATAACCAGCACTGTAAAATACTAAGAACTAACCAATCATGATCCATGACTAGAACTTACAACAAATTGCAAGGAGAAGAATAAATAAGAGAAGAATAAATTTAATTTAGTGAACAGTCGCTTTTTCTTGATTTTAACCTCGCATCAATACCAGTATATATTAGATCTATCGAGACTAGGAAATATAAGAGTAAGATTAGGATCGGTATTAGACTAAGAAAATGTACGAATCTCTCCGGCCGAAAATAAGATAGCGTGACGAACAGACGGTGTACCTTGTCGAAAATTATTCTATGAGAAAGCCACCCGGACTTAAACTCATATGGTGCGACCAAACGAGTCTCAAAGAGACATCCACTATTTTAGATTTGGCAAAAACAAAATAGAATAGACAGATTAGATCAAAAACGCTCAACAAAATGATAAACCAAATTGACATAAGATAAAATTAACGTCTCAATAAGTCTACTCAAATCAAACGGATAATAAGGCTGGCACCAGGTCACAACCAGGACGACAGGCCGAGCCTCTACATCGTGAAATGAAAAAGCAGACTACAACGGTTATTCCTCTACAAAACTACTTATGCAGTACATTTTTACGCAGTAGTAATATGAATTGCAATAAATATAGCTGTAAGATTCTTTACAAATATAAAAGGTTAACTTAGCTCTTTTTATACACAAAAAAATATAATAACTAACATCATAAAATCAAATATATAAACTGGTCATGCGCTGAATACATTTCAGATAGCAAGTGTATTGCAACTAGCTACTAGCTTTTTCCCGTGAATTATTGTGTTCACAGGACCTCACTATGCTTAATTCCTAGAAGCCTCTGTCAGCAACGAAGAAAAAGAACTTCAAGGGCATCTATTTTTTCTGGAAAGTTCGAAAGTTGAGATTTTTCAAAAAGCGTTGTTTTTTCTGTTTAGTTGCTTTCATTGACTGTTTTCGAAATACCTTCTTGGTTTTGTTCTTTATGGGGGTTTATAGCTTTTGGCCTATATTATATCGGCCTACTAACCTCATATTGCATTGTTTTTTGAGAGAAAAAGTGTTTGCGTATTTTGAAATTGAGGGGGACTGAATGAGTTCTTATAGTCTTTTTGAATTTTTTTATCAACTTGAATGGTTTCTGCTACGTGATTTTCTGCTTTGTTACAGCTTGACTAGTATTTTTTCCGATGCTAATTTCACATTGTGTTGTCTGGACACGTTTTGGTTTCAAAACTAGCTTTATTCATTGTGATAGGTTAGTTTTTTTGACATTTTCAAGTTATTTAAATTTTTTTTTCTCGCTTATCGGTTGTCTTGTTTTGTGTTCGTCTCTGTGTTCAATCACTGTTTTTTGAATTTTTTCAGCCTAATTTTTTTTGGTCATTGACAATGGTGAAGAACTTTGTATTCGGGTATGTTTCTGTTTTTCATACGCAACATCAAATACTTGGGGTGGTACCTGATTTTGCGTGTAAAAGAACAAAAGCATGTGTTAGTTATTAGAATGGTACGAGAGTGAATTATCAGAATGATATATAATATTAAAGCTTCTTCAAAAATTTGCCTGCTAAAATCATTTTTGCCAACATGGGTTTTAATAGTTTTCTGGGAACGCTCGGAAAATCAATTTAGTCTACCTAAAAAAATCGACAATTTTTTTTGAAAATCCGCCCCTCCCTTCGAGAAAGTCTTGTATCCGTCCCTGTACTACAGTATAATGATTAAATTCCAATTTCAGAAATTTTTGAACTCGGCATACTTCGCGAGATTTTTGAAATGCATGATTTATCCGCAACTTTGTTCAATGCTTTCTAATTTATTGGTTGCCTTTAGCTTATTACAATATAAATTATTATATGCAAAATTTGAGTTTTTTTTGCATTTTAGAGCTCACAAACCTTTGCCGCTTTCTCGCTCGTGTTTGCAAAGTTCAATAAGCTTAATTTTTTTTTAGTTATTGTTATTGTTTTTTCATACATTTTTTGAAAGCAATTGTTTAACTTTTTATATCTAATTCTTTTTGCGCTTCTTGCACAGCAACTGGTTTTTTTTGCTAATACTTGAATTTTTTTCTATATTAAAATGCAAAAAAAAAACAAGGAAAGCCCGTTGCTGTGGAAGTAGCACAGAGTGATCCGACCATTTTCATATTTTTTTTCAATTTTCATCAAATTAGTGCCGTTTTTAGTGGGTAATGTGATTCGAGATCTAAACGGTCGCGTATAGAATGAATGAATTAGGTATTATCGACAAAAATTGTTTTCACGAAAAGAATACCAAACAAAAAAAAATTTTTAAATGATTTAAAGTTTTTCTTATTTTTTGTACAATCTTTTTAATTTATTGTCAAATAAGCGCTGAAATAAACATCTAAAACTATTTTTCTTGGTAATAAAATCAATTTTTGTGAGCCTAATTTTGTTTTTTAAAAAAGCTAGTTAATTTCCACATAATCAACGTTACTCGATCGCGTTTTTCGCTCGAAATTGATTTATAAATCAAAAATTGTAAAAGAGTTTTTCTCGACACAGGCCTTAAATATGATATACCCCTCAACTCTCTCCGATGATTGTTTGTGGTAGCTGATCTGCGTAGAAAACAAAAAGAAAACTCACCCGAATACAAAGTTCCTCACAAATGGTCAGAACAACAAAACGTTTCTAATTAAATTTGGTAGCCACGATTCGAACCATTTTATGTTACTTTTAACAGTTGTGGGATCTTTTTAAGAATCGCCCTCCCCTTGAGCGCCATTGTATTTAGTATTTAAAAGGGGAGCGTTGGGCGTTCACCGCTAGAGTGTTGTACTTAAAATTTGAATTTTGCTGCAATCTGATTGGTCAAAAATTTGACTACTAAATCTACTTAACAGTTGCAGCCCTTTCTTAAAAAAGGGAGGGGGGCAATTGTTAAGTAGATCCCATTTTTTTCTCTTATATACTTTTTATTATCTTTACCCCATTTCATTTTCCGAATGCGAATGATTATGCGCGTTTTCTTTCGACACAGTATGACGCAACGTAAATTTCGGTTTTGATTTTTTTGCTTTTACGTTGAAGAAGTTCACACGCACTATTAAGAGTCAGTCAATTAACGTAGTGAAAATTCTTATTTAGGTCGTTATGATCTTTTTGTTTCAAGAAAGACCTAAAATTTGCTTACGCTCAAATTTGATCTTTAGTGGTTTGTTTTTTCATCTATAACTTCAGTTGATTTCCTTTGTTAAAATGAAGACAAGCTCAATTTCAATTTTCAGATTTCCTAGCGGAATAAAAATTTTACCTGTTAATTCAGTTTTCTCAAATGGAGTTATTATTATCAAAAAAGCGTCAATCATAAAATGTCCTTGTTCTTGAGATGGTATTCTCTCGAGATTGAGATTGGGATCGATTTTTCAAAAAAAAAAAAAACTTGGGGAAAAAAGTTCCAATGATGACTTTGAAATGCTTTAGACCCGAAATTTTGGCCGAAAAGTTGTCTTTCTGTGCGCTCTCTTACCTCAAACTTAGCATAATTATTGGTGCCGAAAGCGATCGCCTCTAGAAAATGTTTTGAGTTGGTCGTCAAAAAATGGACGTCGTAAAATAGTAGTACCAAAGTCAGGCAATCTAAGGATTCTTTTCCAGTTTCCCACCCTCATAAAATTACACAATAAAGCTGTTTTCACAAGTAAAGCTTGTGTGATAGTATGAACTCTCTTTTTTACACAAGCAAAGCTTGTGTGATAGTATGAACTTTTTTTTCCAACCTAAGGGGCAAATATTAGTGTTCATTTTGAAAGTCCATTTTGATCCTTAACCAACTATTAAGTACAGCCAATGCTAAGGATATTTACACAGACTATTATATTACAAATAGCATTTTAGCTTCAAGGTATCATGAATCTGTGGCGTGGAGGTAGGGAAGGAGACCCGCAGCAAAACGTGAGGGTTACTAGTTAAAATGCGTCCGCTCTATAAATTGAGGCATGTTAGTTAGTAAATTTCTATTTTCTTTTTCAAATTGACTGATACTGCTAGTGAGTCACAATGGCTTGCGTCACTTAGCAATCATGTAGACTCATAATTGGCGTGTGTCACTCAAGAAATTTTGTAGACTCAAAGTTTTACTCATTCAGTTTTTCCCATTAGTGTTATCGGTCATATTTTGCTTGTGTGTGCGAAGTGCAACTTCGCCTGTGTCAAAAATTGTTTACACGGCATTTTGCATGTAAATGTTGTAGAAATTTGTTCACCTGTTCATGTTGACACCTTTTAATGCAGTTTATAGCATGAAAAGTCAATTTAAATAGACTTTCATAATTTGAATTTCAAAAAGGGGGGTCTGGGCAAGAGCCAATTTTAAGAGATGTGGGGTGGAGGGTGGTTTCCTAAATCCGACTCTGGGTAAAACCCAAATACATACTTGAGTACAAATTTGTTAGGTCTTCAAACATATCTTAGTTAAACAACGTGTTGGACGATGCAATTAAAACTTCTGAGATGCTATTGACAATAAGGTGAAAGAAGAAAGGTATATGTAACAAGCATGCGCGTCGTGACGAAATTGGTCATAGCAATGCAATAGTCTGATCAGCAATAAGTATCCGCCGATAGCTCAGTTGGTAGAGCGGAGGACTGTAGAATGAACTGATATCCTTAGGTCCCTGGTTCGAGTCCGGGTCGGCGGAGGATATGTTTTAGGTTCTTGATGGATCTTTACCAGTTCCCCCTTTGATATTTTCTGAAATTCAATATGTGAAAGTCTATTTCGTAATTGTGTATCTGATTGTTAAGTGAAATTAATTCTTCTTCTTCTTTTATTTAAAGTGTTTTTTTTTTAATGTTATAAACTGCGTTAAAACGTGTCAGCGTGAACTGGTGAACAAATTTGTGCAGCATTTTTAACCTGCAAAATGCCGTTTGAACAATTTTTGAACAGTTTGGTTTTGTAATTTTTCGAGGGGGGTGGGAAACTGGAAAAGAGCTCATTTGTAGGACGAGGAACCCAAATCACTGATGGGTATTTATGTTCATCCTGATGACTTTCTAAAAAAAAGGATCTGCTTAACAATCTCTCCTCCCCCCCCCCCCCGTTTCAAGAAAAGGGGAGGGGGAGATAGCAGATTATTTGCAGCGAATTTTCGACCAATCAGAATGCAGCAAAATTCGAATTTACATACAACGCTCTAGTGTATGGACCTGATTGTTTAGTCTAAGTAACATTTATACTGAAAAAAAATTTAATACATTTCTAGAAAAAAGTTAAGTTTCAAAATCTTACAGTTCCTTTATTTTGCATCTTATTGATATATTTTTACAGTAGTAATTACAAGCATAGAAAGATAACAAAAAAAAACAATTTTCAGACTTGAAAATTAAATTTTTAATTATTTGCTTTATTTCAGTTAGTACGATGTTTTTTTGGGTTCGCTTTATATTTCAGTTATTTAAAAAAAAACTCAAAACGTTTTTACCAAAACATTTTGTTGAAGTAATCGCAATCAATTAATCAAGTATCTCTGATTTTATGCGTAAGTTTGTCTATAGACTGGTTAGGCTCGATTAAAATTTCGTTAATGATATTCATATGGAAATTAATTAGAGAATTAAATAGTGTCCGTATTTGCACAGATATTAATTTTTTGTTGTTAGGCGTTAATTTTTGTTTTGTTGCTAGTGATTTTATTCTTCTAGTGGTCACGAGTGATTTGTCTAATTCTTGTTTTGAAATGAACTTTCATGTTCTCGTCTTATTGTTTTGGAGAGTAATTTGGGCAGTTCGTATACGTGTAATTCATTGATTGAGCAAATTCCCTGCGTTTTTCTTATAGTCCTTACTTCTTGTGTTTTTTTGAGACGAAACGCAATTCCATTTAAAAAAATTCTTGTGCTTGCTAATTTTTTAAAGCGGTTCTATTGGCAACTCCATATACTAATACACCATTTTGATATATTGGTTGTTTAAACTGCTTGTAAATTCTAATGAGAACAGATGAGCTAAGAAACTGTCCTGTTTGATAAAAATGGATATGATATGAATCGATTGCATTTTTTTCTTACTGATTCAATATGTTGGTTGAAGGTAACATTTTGATCCAAAATAATCCCAACTATTTAACTGCATAAATTATTCATTTTTTTGGTATTTTTGACGATGCTAATAACTGTTTTATCATCTAGCCCGTATAAACCAATAAAAGTCAATGTTTTTCTGTTTTTCTGCTCTTAGACCCATTCTGCACTTGGACCATTCTGCTTATTGCCCCCCTCCGAATATTGGAACATATGGGAACTCACCGATTTATTTCCTTAAGGTTCTGTTTTGGGTCCCCTGCTTTTTTAAATTTATATCAATGATCTTCCCAATATACCACAGCACAGTGAATGTATTCTTTATGCGGATGACACTAATATTTTTGGAACACTCAACGAAACTAAAGAACTTAAAACAGACTTGGAAATAATATCCAAATGGATTAAAAGTAATAAACTTACAACAAACAAAGGAAAAACACAAATAATGATCACTAATGTAATTAAAAAAAAATTGAAGCAGACAGTTTCTTAGCTCATCTGTTATCATTAGAATTTACAAGCATCTTATACAACCAATATATCAAAATGGTGTATTAGTATACGGAGTTGCCAATAGAACCGCTTTAAAAAATTAGCAAGCGCAAGAAATTTTTTTAAAATCGGATTGCGTTTCGTCTCAAAAAAACACAAGAAGTAAGGACTATAAGAAAAACGCAGAGAATTTGCTCCATCGATGAATTACACGTATACGAACTGCTCAAATTACTCTCTAAAACAATAAGATTGCTACAAAATTTGGCATGCGGTCTAGGCCACGACAAACATATTTGGTCTTCATACATAACCCTGTAAGACTCCTCGTTACTCCAAGAAATTGATAATTATGTGGTTGGGAGGGGGGGAGAGGCTTGGTTACTTGTTCACGCTGTCATGTTTTATTGCAGCTGAGAACATCTATATTTTTTTAAATAGACTAAATTTGAGTTCCAAAAGAAATCAGAGGGGAACTGGAAATGAGCAAGCGAATCACCAGCCTAAGATTAGAAGCAGGATAAATACCCTCCCTGGTGCTGACCCCAACTCAACAAGTTCTGTGAGACTCCCCCCCCCCCTCTAAATTTGAATTTCAATTTTGAAAAATCATTTCAGGATTGAGAGCGCATTTTGAACAAATTAACAATTATGAACAGATTCCTTTCTTATATTTTACATGCAACCTTACGCATTTAGTTATGATAACACGGTTAAAGGACAAGGAAATAATAAATTTTGAAATGTAAGGAAGAGCTAGTCTGTGCTGTTTTAGTGACGAAGGCACAGGACAGCGACGACGAGTGCTGGGCCACTTGTCAGGAGCTGGACACTGACGACTATTTGGATATACTATGGACCACTTTGGCAGAATTCCCAGGTCAGCACCAATCAATCACCTGATTTCATTCAAAGTTTAAATCCCAGCTCAGATGAATAAAATTGTTTTCCATTTTCTTACAAGGTACTTAAGTATCACAAATTATACAGTCTTGTGTATCTACAAGAAGAAATTGAATTTGAATTTCGATGTAGACAAACTGTTTAGGTATGTTATCAGTTAAATTACAAACACTACGCCAGGAATGCTATATGCGTTATTCAGCCCTTCTAGTAATATCCCTCCAGGTCACCTAGAACACAATAAATGGCACTTAAAAAGAAATTTACTGTTAGTAAAAAAGAGAAAACATCTTTTCACTATCGCAAACTTAAAGCTTACAAAAGTTTTGAAAAAAGTTGAACTCAACTTCAATCATAGAGAAAAGGTCTTTGGGGATCATATTGCTATCAAGTAAAAAAATATATACCCTCTTACTATTTTCATTGAAACCGAGTTTTTCACTTTCGTAGTTTTGACATTAGGTAAAAATAGTAACGCTTTTATTTTTTCTCTAGTTTTTCTTGCAGCCATAGGTCTGTCCAAATGCAGAATATATCAAGTTGATTTCTTTCTTAGTTGTCTAAAAGTTTCTTGGAATGGTTGGACAAAGAATATTTCAAAGGCAGTATCAATATTATTTTCAGTGAAAACGTTTGAAATATATTCCAACTCACACTTTAAAATTATAGTCCGTTTGTTTCAGTTCGTTACAAACATTTTCAATTTTGTCGCTGAAGTTGAGTTCATTGTCAAGCATGACTCCGAGGCACTTGGAATTCGTTGCTTTTTCTAAATTTTACCAGCCAATGTTATTTATTTTAGAATACACTGTTTTTAACAAATTGCTGAATTTTACACCTAGAAAGAAGTATCGTTAACTTATTTCCTGTACATAAATCGTATACACGCTTTATGTCATCGTAGAAGTGAAAAAGCCATAATTTTCAGGAAAACTTGCGAAATTCAAAGGTACTTTTGTTATAAGATTAAATGTGATTTTTCGCAGTTTGAAGTTGGATTTTTCTAAACTTTAGATCATTTTTTTGTTAAAAAGAAGGCTAACTCCACTATCCAACAATGAAAGTGTAATTTATTTAGCTCAGCAAATCCTCTGATAGTTTTCGATAAATAATATTTTCAGTGAAATTTTATGAGGAGCCATTGCTGGTATTTAAATTGATAATTGAGGCTCATTTACATGACACCCAAATAGAAGATGTAGAATGTTTTAAATATCTTGGAATTCGCCTTGAATGTAAATTGAATTTTCAGCAGCGTATTTATAAGGTAAAAAACAAAATTTTGCAATTCTGTGGAGTGTTTTTTCATTTGAGAAAGTTTTTAACGGGATGGCAATTAAAATTTGCGTATAAAAGTTATGTGCAACCAATCATCCAATATGGAGTTTTAGTTTATGCAAATACCGACAAAACCAAACTGTTAGAACTGGAAATGAAAATCAGAAGGCTAATCAGAATAATTTTTTATAAACACAGGATGGATTCAATCACTGATATAATGCATGAAAATAAAATAAATACCGTAAGAGAGTTTTTTGCGTACGAAGTTCTGAAATTAACCGGGAAAATTATTCGAAAAGAGTGCCAAGTTGATGTTAAACTTTGTAATAAATTTTTTCCCGCCTGGGTCATTTTCTTGAATGGGGCTTCTCGGTTTCAATTAAATAGTTTTAATCGTAAATTTTTGGATAATTACATTCTAGGAAATACGGTTTTACTGTGCATGCTCTGAGACATTTTTTGGATCAATAAGTAGAACTTGTTTCTGTTGGTTTCTAGATTATGGGTAGAAAAGAGTACCCGAGAAAACAAAAAATTAAAATAATTTTTTTTAAATATAGAGTTTGGTTTAAAGGTGCGAATAAAGAGGTTTTACGTTTAATAAATGTTTACCGGTAGAAGGTCCATTGCATTGGATCGACGAATTTAACTACTTTTTTTGTTCTCCGCTTAATGAGACACTTGAAAATGGGCCGTGTTGGCTTAATGGTGTTCTCCCAAACGATTCTATTTTGTATTTATAAGTTTGTTATGAATAACTTTGTTATTAGATATCGTTTGGAAACAATTTGTTTTTATGATTATTATTTGATATAGATTTAACACATTGGTGTTCAAAAGTTTGCGTCCCAGACTACTGTGACCTCGATAAAGTTTTCCGAAAAATTTAAATTGCACTAGGGCATGCTATTGCTGATGCATCCTTTTAAGAAGTTAAGGGGTTGAATCGGCTCAAAGTCCGCAACTAACTCGGAATGAGTTTGGTCAAGTTTCTCATGGTGTTTTTTGTTACAAAATTTGCTTCACTCGGAGCACATTTTCTCATCAGGTTTTTGACATTTTTTTCTTTTTGACGCTTTCAAATCAATGGCTACACATTCGGCAAAATACTTATCGAAGTTGTTCAAAAATCGGATGTACTTTTAGCAAGACTTACACAATACGAATGAAAACTCCCTCGATTAAAATATATATTGTGTAATTAAATATGGAGAAAACATTTTGGGCCGTAAAATTGTGCCGTCGGAAAACCAATCAACAGAGCCACACAAGATCTGATGATTGGTAAAAATCTTAAAAAACATATTGTTTCGGCATCTTCTGGTCTAGAGTCTGAATAATGGAAGTAAACGCGAAGTGAAGCCAATCATGCATTCGCATTTTTTCAATGCCACAGGAAATTTTCGCTATCTGGGACAAATGTTTTTTGGCTATTTGAGTATTCGGCTGTGACTTATTTTAGTACTTGGAGCAGTTTTTATTATATCAGTGTTTTTGGTAGATAATAAAATGAGTAATTTCTTTTGGTGCGTGAAGAGTAGTTTGATTAATTTAATAATCATAATAATAATTATAATAATGGGTTTCTCCAATAAATGGAAGGGCTTATAAGGCCGTCGGAAGTTTGAGTTTTCTAGTCTGTTTCGTTATATATCCAATAAGGTCCAAGCTTGTATATAGATCCAAGTTAGTAGTCGTTACAAGATATAAAGTAGTTCCAGTAAAAGTCTGATAATTCTTTCTTGACGCTTTCTCCAAAGAGCTAAGGTTATACCAAAAAAAAATAAAATTCATGTTTATGTGCGTGTGTTGTAGGTTTACTGATAGCACTAGTATTGGTAGAGCTGTTTGGTCGCAAGAGGGCGATTGCGATGGAGTTTGTGCTGTTTGGTGTCTTCGCTTTCATTGTCTCCATTTGCATGCCACGGTAAGTTTTAATAGTGCATTCAATTGAAGCCGCAGTCTACCCTTTCCTCATCATTCAATCCCAACAGCATTTTGACCCCTTTATTTCCCTGCGAATTACCTTTCAAACTTAGTACAGTTTCAAGATATTCATTTAACCGATCATCTTTGGGGCCAGTTCGAATTTATGATTCATTTTTTTTGTTAAAATATTGTCTTTTTAATTCCTGAGATCTGGAGAAAAAAAAGTTTGCCGCTATTAAAAATTTTGACTTGGTTTTTTCTCATTCAAAAGATTCATGCATAGTATAGGCTAAATCGCCTATTGGTGCTCCTCGCTACCTCGGAAAAATGTTTTTTTTTTACTTCAAATTTTTAAACTGCTGTATTTTTTACAGAGGCCTGGTCACATTTATTCTGTTCACTTCGCGTGCTTTTGTGGTGGCTGCATTCCAGACTGTTTACGTGTACACGTGTGAGATATACCCGACTACCATTCGTGCGATCGGTGTCGGATCCGGAAGTGGCATATCCCGAGTGGGGGCAATGGTCACGCCATTCATTGCACAGGTATATATATATATGCCTTCGCTTACAAACAGTTATAGTTATACATGCATTTAAATTTATGCTTGAATTTTAGTTTTAAAAAGTATTTATCAGCTGAAAAGTTATGATCCTGTTTTCTTAACTGGATTGGTTTCATCAAAAAACTGCTAGTCATAAAGGCTCTTGAAGTTGAAAGAGATCTGTGTTGACCTCAAATTTTTATCTAAATCAATTTTTATGAGTTTTTTTGTGAGATATCTGTGAGTTTCTCAAAGCTTCAGCAATTGTCTATTGGATGTCCTCTAAATTCTGTCATCTGTGTAATTGTGACATTTTGTGAATTGTGACCTTACAGGTGCTACTGAAGAAATCGATCCAGGCGTCTATGGGAGTGTACTTCCTCCTTGGGGCAGTGGCAGCTGTGGGAGCCCTGTTTCTCCCCACAGAGACCAAAGGAAGAGGCATGCGGGTCAGTCAAGTTCACTTCTCTACTACAGTGCTGATTAAATTAACAGGACACAACGAAGAAAAATTAAAATTTCAAACGCGTTTTTCTCAATTTGGGTCAAGATTAGACAAAAATTGAAGAGAACAAAAGTTGCCTTAAATTTCATCAGAATTTAATATTGTGCATTTTTCCGAAATTCTTTACCAAAATTTTACCACAAAAATAGGTCCTTTTAGATTTGTCAATCAAGAATTACGCTAAAACTACCAGGTTAATTGATGAGAAAGTTATATCAAAAGACGCCTCGTACACAGCCCAACAAAGTTTTAAGGTTAAAACTATCAAAAATTTTCATAAAAGAAAATAATTTGTGGTTGATAGCCAAAAAAAAGTCATTTTTAAGAGTAATGAACGTAATGAGTGCTCTTATATAGGTCTTGCTGATTTTTTTCAGCAAAAAAGTCTTAAAATTTGCTCTCGCTCAATTTTGATTTTTCGCGGGGTTTGACTTGTGATTTCTTTTTAAGTTCAGATCATTTCTATTGTTAAAAGGAGGGCAAACTCCAATATCGAACAGCAAAATTGTAAAGTTCTTGAAAAACGTGATCGACTTCTAATTTCGAAAATTGAAATTAATTCTCAGATTTCGCAGCGTGATAAAAGTTTTACCTATTGATCCAGTTTCTCAAATTGGGTTAATTTTAACATAAAAGTGTCCATCATTAATTGTTTTACAAATTCAAAGAGCTTTAAGGGCATCTAATTTTTTCTTCGAAGTTCAAAAGTTGAAGATTTTTGAAAAAACTTCAAACGCTTACGCAATTTTTTTGAAAATTTTACCCGTCTAAGACCGAGTTGGGCTGTGTAAGAAGCTTCTTTTGACATAAGTTTGTCATCAATCAACTTCGTAGTTTTAGCGTAATTTTTGATTGACTAAAAAGCCAAAATGATCTTTTTACGGGGTAAAATTTTGCTTCAGAATTCCGCAAAAAAATTGCACCATATTAACTCTAAGTTGATATTCTAAGCAGTTTTTGCTTAATCTGTTCATTTTTGCAGTTCTTAGCAGTTTTTGTTTAATCTCTTCGTTTTTTGTCGCTTCATTTTTTTTTTCTCAACTTGAGAAAAACTCGTTTGAAGTTTCAAATTTTTTTCGTTTTGTCCGGATAATTTTAACCAGCACTGTGTGCAAGGCAGTTTATTGACAAGGCAAAGGATCAAAATAAGAGTTGATCAACTCTTCATGTAAAACCGCTGTTGTGACCCTGCTTAAGAATTACATGCTTTTTTGGCTATTTTTCTGGGCTGGGTTTTGTTGTCGCGCCCTAAAATAAAGGGCACGGATCATTATGGGCCTCAAACGACTGATCTTTCGACTGAGGGGAGATGTAACCTTTTAACCACCGCTCAAATGCATTTGTCAATTACATCAATTTAAATTATTTGTAAAGCCTTTAAACCAAAAATTTAACGGATCCTTCAGAGGATTTTTCAAATGTTCATCACTTATCCATTTGAATTAAGCATCTTACTGATGGTAATCGTTTTGAGAAGGGGATAGCTATTCGACTGCAATAATGATTCGTTTAATGACAGTTAGTTGAACATACAAAAGCGTAGTTTGGCACATAAGCAATGAAATCTGGTAGAAGTTCCATGTTATATTTTTTCTGGTAACAGGTCGGTTCTCAACTATTAGGCTCTTAGTACTAATAGGATTTCATTGCTTAAGAGCCTAATAGTTGAGAACCGACCTGTTACCAGAAAAGTTATAACATGGAACTTCTACCAGACTCGATAAACAAATTTGATTGACAGATGTATTGACGCCGTTCAGTTTGGTTAAAGACAATGATTTCACGGTTTCTCAGCAAAGTTTCGTTTGTTCTTACCGCTTCCTGTTCGAATCTTCCACTAACTTAAATTTATCTTCATTGAATTATTGCATTGTATTCTAGTAAAAGGTCGGTCTGGTAAAAAAATCTGTGGTAAAAGACCTAGCCCCCTAATAGTTGTACAAAATACAATTGCCTGTGAAAATTCCAGCTTTCGAAAACACCGCCGAATCGTTCTTAACGTTTTTTTTTTTGCTGTGGAATACGGTAGTGCGACAACTCGTAACAAGCGTTCGAAAACACCGCCGAATCGTTTTTAACGTTTTGTTTTTTTTCGCTGTAGAATACGGTAGTGCGACAACTCGTAACAAGGCATTGGCAAGTAGAATACGCTTGCTCTGCTGTGCATACATTTGGCACGAGAGGAATACTGCACGTGAATCAGATTTCTTCTCTTAATCCACTTACGAATTGTTGCTTGTTCTTCCGAATTCGTAACGAAAGTAACGGAATATTTGTGCTCGCGGTGGGTTTTTTTCTTCAGACAAGTTTCGAGTTTTTAATTAGCCCTTTTTGACGGAAATTTTTTATACTATTCGAAAGCTATTGTTGTCCTGAGCTTAAATTTGGAAAGATATTTTACCTGTGATCATTTGTTGTAAAGTTATGGGGGTTTAAAGAGTGTCATTTTGGCCAAATTGGGACAATTAACGTGCGATATATTTCGCGCTTTTAACGTGTAAGCGAGATTTAATCCGTCTTAGAAATTGTTCAAAATTGGTTCAAGGAAGCTTACATGCCATAATTGATTTGTTAATAGGAGCAAAATTTATCACGTTTAAATTTTCAAGTTATTACTGCTCCATAAGCAAAATCCAGGAGCAAAATTTATCACGTTTAAATTTTCAAGTTATTACTGCTCCATAGACCTTAAAAAGCAGTCGGAACATTCAGGGCTTCGCCCTGATACGAGCAGTTTTGTTACGAATTGTCGCCTAACGGTCGAAACCTTCTTTGAACTGAGCTAACTTCTAAAACTTTTTGAAGCAGTTTTTTTTGTGCAGCGGATACAAGATAAGTGTGTTGGAAACGGGGCTTAATATTTTAGACGACGAGCAAACTAGACGATCAGAAAATAACGGAATTTAGACAATAACTTGCGTGCAAATTGCGTGAAACTTGTTTACAGACTTAAATTATCTTTTGGCTGAGTAAATACTGGTTGTCCAAGGTGGAATCCCTCATACGCGAAGGACCGAATGGGCGAAAATAAAAATCAGATAATCAGATTTCAGTAAACTAAAATTGGAAAGAAATTAAACGCTTCCAGGGACTGAATATTGATATTGGCCGAATATCTAAACAGCAGAAATATGCAAAACTTTCCAATTGTCACTGACCGCCGCCGAATCGGAACAAATTTTATATTTCAAGGGTTTAGTTATGAAGGAAGCAAAATATTTTTTGATTTAACTTAATTTAATTGAATGGCAATTGCTTCTTTTCAAAAAATTGACTTTCGCCTAATTTTGTCTTCGGTCTTTCGCTCACAAGTTTTTTCGCGCATGAGAATAGCCCCTGTTGTCCAATTTAGACAATAACTTGCGTGCAAATTGCGTGAATTTTGTTTACAGGCTTAAATTAACTTTTGGTTGAGTAAATACTAGTTTTCCGAAAGTCCGTTTCTTTACGATCGCCTAATTTGCTTGTCGTCTAATTTCGTAGGCCCCGTTGGAAACTTATATCATTTAGCATCATCATTTAGTGTATACAAACTAACCAAGAATAATTTTTTCTACCTTCATGTTTTAGTCTACTTAGAAGAAAACGAACAAAAAGGGTGCCAATAGCTCTACAGTGTGAATGGGCGTTTGTTCAGTCGCAAATGACGAGGCAGTGATAAGGAATACAAATGTTCATTTTCAACCAAAAACAAACTTCTGATGTCTAAATTAAGAATTATTTTGTTGTTCAAATTCATATCAGTTCCTCACTCAACCTTGGGTGAGTGTCTATTTTAATGTCATTCCGAGAAGCTGTATCCTTTTGAGTTAATGTGTATATTTAGGACAAATGTTTTTATTTTTCTAATATCAATATTGATGTTTAATTAATTTTATAAAAAAAAATTTCTTTGAATTGAAAGTAATAAATTATTGCTCTAAACACTTAGTGAACTGGACAAGCAATATGGACAATTTTATTGGCTAGTAAAAATATTTATATCAAAACCCTAGAATACAAGTTATTTAAAACTGCAAACGTATATTTTGCTGAACTTGGATTAAAATCGACAGTTTAAAAGTTTAGTCAAGCCAGATTACCAGAAAATATGTGAATAAACTTTTCAATGAATGAATGATTGTACCCGAAAATGCCATGGAATTGAAAATGCAACTGGATATTGTACCTGGAAAAGTCCTACTTACATCTTGAGCGAGCAATTTTTGACTTCTATGAACTTCTGATTTCTACTTAAGTGCTTAATGCTAAGTGCTGAGTGGCTTTTATATCACTCTGCACGTGTGAACACGAATGAACTTCGCTCTCCAGTATTGTATTGATGGGAATATTCTTCAAAATATTTTGAACTCTGGATTTATTAGCGGAATAATATATTACGGTGGAATCCCTCAGGCGAAGGACTGAACGGGCGAAAATAAAAATCAGGTTTCAGTACTCCAAAATTTGGAAAGAAAGCGTGTAAACTCAAGAAAGTAAACATTTCCAGGGACTAAACAATTTCTAAGCAATTTTTGTTCTCTTCATTTTTTGTCTAATCTTATCCCAATTTGAGAAAAACGTGTTTGAAAATTCAAGTTTTGTTCGTTTTGTCCGGATAATTTAAATCAGCACTAGTATTGGCCGAAATGAAAACGGCAGAGTTATGCAAAATTTTCAAATTGTCACTGACCGCCGGCGAGTTGAAACAAATTTTATGTTTCAAGAGTTTCGTTTTAGAAAAAATACTGCTTCATTTAATTCCTTTTAATTGAACTGCAGTTGAATCATTCTTATAATTGACTTTCAAATTTTTCTTTTCAGTCCATCGCCCATTCGGTCCTTCGCCCATGAGCATAGCTCCCATATTTTACGGCTATTTTGCACTTTCCCAACCACAATTCAAGCTTTCCGTTTTCCCAGTTACCTTGTTTTTCTTAAACAAAAAAACAGGAGTGAAAACGGAAGTCAATTTCAATGATCAAACAGCAAAAATATAAAGAGTGCAGAAACAAGATGGACTTCTGGTTTCAAAAGTGGAATTTAATTTTCAGAGTCGCCACCGGAGTGAAAGCATTATTTTATGATCCAGTTTTCTCTAATCGAGTTAATTTTAACCAAAGTATTTTCATTATAAAATTGCTCTTGAAATTCCAAGAATTATATGGTCATATATTTTTCACCTAGAAATTCTAAAAGAGAAGTTTTAAAAAAGCACAAAACTTTATTTATGTTTTTCTTCATTCATTGACGTTTTCACACTTTTTCTATACTAGTTTGAGAGAGTAAAAACCTATTTGATATGTAAATTTTAAGGGTTTTTGAAAATTAAAAAACTTTTTTCAGATCATTGGCAGCTGAAAAAAAAAAATAGCTAATGTTCCACAATTTCAAGTTGGCTTAATTAGTTTTTTTTGTGAATTAAAGTTCATCCGAATTGGAAAAAAAACATCAGACATGTATGCGTTCAATTGACGCTCTAGACAGCTTTGGCCCTTGATTAAGTTGTTTTTGACAGAAGCATGCAAAGAGAGCATTAACTGATCAACTTTTTTTGTAATTTTTGCTTAGGTAATAATTGATAGTTTTTGATAAAACTTGTGCCATCCAGCACCAAATTCCAAATTGAGCGCTGCATTTTTGGTTTTCGATGAGGCAAGTGATAATCAAAAAAGCGTTGGCGCTCACAAAATGTATAGTTAAAAATATTCAATTTTATGTTTTTTAAATCAAACTTTTGTCTGAGAATTTTTTTAGTTTGTTTCATTGTTAAATTTAAGTTCTTCATTTTGTCCATTGGTTACGTGAAACAAATATTTAGGTCAGAAACGTTTATCTAATTCGCTAGGTTTTTTTGACAGCATGGTTTTTACTAGTTCTTCACTGGTTTTGCTATTATTAAATTTTTTCTGTTGTTTGTTAAATTAACAGCTTTAATTTTGTTTAAATTTTGTTTGTGTTTTAATGCTTTTCTTAGGTTAAGCAGTTTTTCACCTCAGAAAATTTTGGCCGATGTTTCAACGGCTTTGTGCCCTTATTTTGTCTCAATTAGTTTCAATACACTTGTGTCTAAAGAAGTAATTGTACAAACGTTCCAAGTTCATTCGAGTATTACAGGCTAATTGACCAGATGTCTTATTGCTTATTATCGTTTTTTAGTACAAGATAAACCACGAAATCTAAATTGGATTTTCTATGAGATTAAGTCAAGAAAAAAAAAGCCCAAAGCGTATAGCGCCTCGTAAAAAAGGTTTTTCTCACAAAGAATTTCTAATATCGAAACAGGTTTCTTTGTCCGAAAATTCATCAGTTTTCGAACAAATTCTCAGGAAACTTGGTATGTGTCAGTGCTGCTCTAAATTTTCTAAACGCTTCCGCGAGAATTTATTTATATTTCTAGAGAATAAGACTTCAAACCTATTAAGAGTTGATGAATATAATTTTATAGTTATAGGTCGCGATGGTTTTTTTCAGGAAAAGTCTTTTATGTTGTTCAGTAGAAAATGTACTTTTTCGCGAGTTGATTTTTGATTTTTCTCAAAATTCAGTACATTTGTTCGGTTAAGAGGAAGGCAAACTCTACTATCAAACAGCAAAAGTGGAAAGGTTACGAAAAACAGGCTGGACTTCTAATTTCGAAGGTGAAATTTTATTTTCAGATTTCCCAGCGAAATAAAACTTTTTGTATATAGTCCAGTTTTCTCAAACAAGCTTAATTTTATCAAAAATTTGTCAACTATGAAATGATGTAGAAAATCAAAAAGTTTTAAGTACATCTGTTTTTTCTATGAATTTCAAAAGTTTTAAAAAAACTCATTATTTTGTTTTTCTGTTAACTTTCCTTCATTGACTTTTTTCCAACTGTCTGTTGGCTATTGAGTTAGAACTGGTTTGTATAACTCATAGAGTAATTTCGGATAGGGTACACCGTCTGCTCGTCACGCTATCTTATTTTCGGCCGGATAGATTCGTGCAACTTCTTAGTCTAATACCGATCCTAATCTTACTCTTATACTATCTAGTCTCAGGTTGTTTAACTAGTCTCTGCTAGGCTCAATAGATCTAGGGTATACTGGTTTATTGCGGCTGCTGAAGTGCTCGGGAGAGTCCAACTAATTTCTAAGTTAAATTCAAATCTCTCTGGTGCTGAAATTACAAGTAACTTCAGCACTTACGAATAAGTGGGTTGTTAGTTAGATGGATCATGATTGGTTAATATTAAATACTTTACATTGGTAAAACATTTAATTTATCCAATCATAAAATATAGTTTAGATCAGGTTCCACCCATCCGGGGTTTACAGAGTTTTTTAGAACAGTTCTTCTGTAATTCAAGGGTGGATGATGGACGTTGGTATTTGGCGAACATCATAATTTTCTTCCGCTTCTTCTTGTGACAACGACTGAGTCTCTGCAACAAAATCAATTCTGATTTCAGAATGGTTGGCTATGTCAGGTTTTTCTGTTCTTCGGGGAGAACTTCTTTTGTGTCTGATCTAGCTTGGGAATGGCGTGGAGATTGTGCGTGGAGGGGATGCCTGGTTACTCGGATCTGTACGTATACTTGAACATCGAGGTGGTCATTGGTCTAGTTCAATGAAGTCCTTTTCTGCGAAGTCAAGTCGTACTCTAAATCCTTTGAGTTGTGATTGTGAGCGGCATATCGATTGTAGTTGGTCATTCTCTCTCGAGTGTAGTGGGGTCGTTTTGTCTTTTGATGTTCGTCCTTGGTGTTGTATTCTGATCTATATATTGCATCATGTGATTTTACATTTAATAAAACTTTTATTAGTTTAATATTTTTTAATAATGATTTTAGTTAGTTGTTTTCACAAAAGCTTTTTGTTTTAGTTCGGTTATTTTGAAGAGTTACTCACCCTTGAGTAGCTCTTATTAAAAATAAAGGTGTGGTCACAAAGCGTGGATGTAGCGCGGTGGGTTAGGCCGGCTATAGAGCATGCTCAGGACGTCCTTCCTGGTGGGTTAGGCCAGGAGTGGGAGTATGATTTCATGCGGTTTTTGTGAGTTGTCCTGTTATGTGACAACGTTTTATGTTGGGTTTGTTGTGGTTTTTCTTATGTTTCGTTGGTTGTGTCCTTTTTTCAAAAATCAAATTGTTTGTGGTATGGGTTTGTCTTTCGACTTTTTTGTGTTTTATTATTTCTTTCTAAGACTTTGTAATAGTCTTCAAAAGAATAAATTATCCAGTTTTAAACTGGGTTAATCCGGTTTGGGTACCGTTGGTTTCCTTTTCTTAGTCATGCTGTTATTCTATGATTTGTGGTATTTAGTAAGCTGCGTTGGTTAGTTTTGTTTAGTATATGATTCCTTTCCAACCGGGTGAAAGGAAAGTTTGAAACATGTTATTATATGTTAGAGTTGTTGAGTGTGAAAAATTGAAACTGAAATTCATTATTTTAAACAATTCTTCGTGGGCGAGCTGTGCGAGTGTGGATAGAATTTCTGTGCAAATGAATGAAAATATGAAAAGGTTAGTACTGCAATTGCATTTTATTAATTTACTGCATAGAATTTGGAAATTTACTGCTAGTTATGGGGGAATTTTAAGGTACAAATTTTCATCATAATTAGATTTACTGCTTTTGGGGGAAAATTTTATAAATTAATTTACTGCATTGGTATTATATTTATTTAATTGTTGGTGCAAAAGTTTAATAGGGTCTTAAACAGTTTTGAAGAAGTTTGCTATTTTTTATTTTTCTTTTGTGAATTTTTCAGATGATCGAGGATGAAGGCTAAAAATCTAAAGAAAACATGAATAAAGAATGGTGAGTTTTTTAATATTTTAATTAGTTAGTAATATTCATTTAATTCATACTTACC